TACCGTGTCCGTGCACCGAACGCCCGGAGTCACCGAACGCCCGGCGCGTAACATCTACACCAGATTTCAACGCGTAATAACTCAACACCATGCCAGGATTAAGCAATGCCCTTGCAGAGATAGTTGCAATGTGACTAGAAGAAGAAGTTGTCTATACAAAGATTGCAGAAAAACACAGTGTATCACGTACAACATTGTTGCGCGCGCACCAAGGCGTGCAGGTCCCCCACTATATCAAGACACGCAACAACTAAAAACTCAACTACTAATAAGAAGAGGACCTAGTTAAGTATATAGAGAAGCTAACTAGGCGTTACTTGCCACCTACAAGGCGTATAGTACAGAATTTCGCATCTGCAGTTGCCTCAAATCCTTGCTCTAAAAGCTAGGTTACTTGCTTCCTCCACCGTCACTGCAATTGGCTCACATTATAATAGGCAATAGGTATAGACTCTAATTGCCACAACGCTGAATTAGAGCACAAGTACAAGTTATACTTTAAGCTTCTGCAGCAGAAAATTACTTAGTATAGTCTTAAGCCTAAGCACACGTACAATATAGATGAGAAGGGCTTTGCTATTAGAGTGCTGGGTAGATCTAAACAGGTATTCAGCAGGCGTTAATATTAGAAGAAGGAGGTTAGGCAGGCTTGTCAAGATAGCTCACGTGAGTGGGCGAGCCTCTTAGCTACTATCTGCGCTGATAGTACTGCTCTTCCCCTAGGCATCATCTTTGCGTCAAAGAACTCTACTATACAGAGTTGCTGGGTAGCGGATATCTACCCTGGAAAGCACTCAGCTCACGTTGCCTCTTCGCCCTCAGGATGGACAAACAATAAGATAGGATTAGCCTGGCTTGAGCAGGTGTTTGACCGCTACACCAAGCCAAAGGCGCGATTAAAGTACCAGCTTTTAATTGTGGATGGCTATGGGAGTCACCAAACGCAGAAATTTATTAAATACTGTCACTAGAAATGGATTATACTAGCAGTGTTACCACCTCACAGTACCTAGACTCTGCAGCTGTTGGACATAGTCTGCCTCAAACCTCTCTCCTCTAACTACACCTGTGAACTTAACAACCACCTCCAGGCATCTTAAGGCCTTGTGCCACTGTCTAAAGGTGACTTCCATGCCCTGTTCTGGCCTGCCTAGGTACATACGTTCAATAAAAACCTTATATTAAAGGCCTTTACAGCCACTGGCATATCTCTAGTGAATCCCCCGGCACTTAACTGCCTCTGAACACACACAAGGGATCCACCCTAATGTACACACACAGCTCAGTCTCCTCAACTGGACGGGGAGCTGTAGTTCTGAAATGGTAGTAATATCCGCGCAGGCAAGAAATGCTTTCTAAGGTAGTGGCAGCACTGTAATTCCATAGCTTAGCACGTCGTATATGCCCTTCGGGAGGCGAGATGATGGACTTCATCCTCATCAACTAGACGTAAAATGAATACCAACCAACCAACCATCTAGTGAATCCCAACGTCATACTTGATAGGTTCCACTACAGCACCCCTGACAACTCAGGATTAGTCTCCTCTAGTTCTATAGCTTATTCTGCAGAAGATTGGCTTAAGACTTGCACTACACTTCATGCAGAGGTGAAGAATAATTCCAGTGTAGGTGCGCGGAAGCTAGGTCAAACTATCCACTATCTATCAACTTAAGTAGAGTTGCTTAACACCGAACTTAACGCCTTGCGCAAGAAGCTATACTAAACCAGGAAGCACTAGAAGCAACTAAATAGGCAATTAGACTTGCAACAACACTAAGAGTACTATAGAGGCGCGATGATGTGGTCTCCTTAGTCCTTCTAGGAGGCGCGCGCTTGCATGGCTGTTGCAGACTACAAGAGGCAAGAGGATGAGCTCAAAAAGGCAGAGATGAAGGATTTAGCTGCTGATAATAAGCTTTTCAACGAGACACTAAAGGAAGAAAAGCGTGTGGCAGCAGCAAAGGCAAAGAAGGTGCGTGAGTGTGAGCGTGCAGAGGAACGCGCAGCCATCAATGCGCGCAAAGAGCAGAGACGTAAGGATAAAGAAGCTCGCAACGCTGCAAAAGCTCGCAAAGTATCCCAAAGAGGCAAGTGCACAGCCTTAAAAGCTTCTTCAGTCAAACAGAAGCCTGCGCGTCGTGCTGTGGGTGCTTGTAGTCATCCCAAGCCTGCAACGCCTCGTCTACCACGCGCAACTGTCACTACTAGGTCCAGCCGCACCGCCACGAAATATAAGTAACTTTGTATAAAAAAATTTGTTGCATAGGCCCATAGAATACTCCACTAAAAAATCTCACGATAATAACTATTGTGCATGGCTCTACAGCCTCGTCTTTGTGGTTGCAGTGCAGGGCCGGAGCGGGCGTTGTTCGACTCCGGGCGTTGTGCGCACGGACACGGTAATGGCCTTGGCACCGAAAAAGAGCCGAACCACCCGAGCACAAGTATTCGCCACCCCATGACGATATAAAGTTTTCACTCGGCATTTTCGAGTAATTAGCAGTGGTGGATGTACATGAGGCAACCCTAGGGATCTTGAAGATTAACATCGCACAAGGTGGCAGCACTCTGCATGCAGTTCTCGAGGACTACAAAACCATGACTGAGGAAACACGAATCAGCATCTTCAAGGCTTTGAACATGTCGGTATTAACATTAGCCTTTAAGTGTTTTGACGTAGCCGTCTATTGATATCCACTTCTCAACGTCTACCAGCCGTTATTCCGCCGCCCAACAAGCGCAGCCTCGTCATCACTGCAGTCGTTCAGATCCCTCTTCTGTGCATTTGAGCCACCTTTGACACTTTCACTGCGTTCAGTGACGCTCTCCAAGCTGCCTGTCCTAACAATAACGGCATCTTTCTTCGAGTCATAACCTCCTGTGATCTCGACGTTCGAGCCTGGCCTCTCGCCCTCAAAGAACGGATTCGGCTCACTGCTGATGACGACTCGCTGGGTCTTCTTGATCTCGTTGCCGGTTGGTGCAAAACTGACGACGCTATCGTGTTCAGCACAGTGCGAGGCGCCCCCCTTGTAGCTAAAGACACTTGCCAGCTCGTGCTGTGAATGGCGACGCGACTGTCTCTGGGCTCCTGTAGCGCCTGACTTGGCTCCGGACGTCGAAAGACTGCCGGATCTGAAGTCGTTCGCGAGGGAGGCATTTCCAGGCTTACGGGACGCGGCCATGGCGATACGTTTGATGAGGTTGGCCATTGTCATTTCAATGTTCAACTTGACCAGGTAGGCAAGGGGATGGAACTGAATGTAGCTAATTGCGAGTCAGTAATGCAGATCTGGCGTTTGTTGTGACAGGGTAGTACTTACACGAATGAGTTGTTTATCGACATGGCTGCAATGATCATGACGTCCATAAGGAGGGAGACGACAACGATACGTTGGTTGAAGCGGACAAGGCGGTTGTACTTGGTCAAACCATTGCTGATCAAGTTTGCCTTGACAGTCTTGAGGAAGTACCAGTTGAGTGAGGCATCGACGATGAGATACAGAAACTTCTCGATACGATCCCAGTACTCGTTGATGATGTGGTACTTGTGACTGATTTGGAGGCGCGCTGGTATCCAGATGTTGAAGACACTGATATTGATCGTAGTAACGAAAATGGCAGTGGCAATCATGATCTGTCTGGAGCGCTTGCGGTCAGGTACGATGACGCGGATACGGTTGATAATGATTTGGAGCAAGAGTTGGACCTGGACACACCACCAGAAGAGGATGGTGAAGTAGAAAGCGAAGCCTAGTACTCATCAGTGTGCATCACGAGAGTTGGGTATGCACTTGCTTACTTGGTTTGATGTATTTCAACAGATGCAAGTAGCACTCAAGACCCATTATAAATGAGATAATCAACTCCAGCCAAATCATCCAAACATACACACTTCGCAGCGGAGAACGCGAGACGTTCGATTGACCCCAAGCGAGCCATATGGCGACGATAAGGTTGATCAAAGTCAGTCCCCAAATCGTCGATGCGATGATGATATCTGCCGTGGTGATGGGCTCATTCTTGTACTGGGGTGAGATCAGAGGACCCCAGGGCTGAAAAGACGGGTCGTCACGAAACTCATGGTTCATGGCTTGCGGTAACGGAATCGACTCGATGCGTATGTGCGTGTGGTTTTAACAAAAGAAATCATAGACCGAGCGGTTGCTGGAGATTAACGACGACAGGTGAAACCCATTCTTTTGACATCTGAGGACCCAGACAATAGAAACCCAGATGTCGCTTCAGGAAAGGAGCACTCAACCTGGCAGAGACTCGAGTCAAGTTCAGGTTCGTTTATCCCTGCAATCGGCCCTGCAGGCATGATGGAATGTTACGATTTTCCGGAAGCCGCACATCAGATTGGCCTCCAGATGGCCAGGCACAAGCGCGCCATGTCGTTTGACATGCTCTTCCTGGAATAAATTCGACACTAACGTCCGCCAAGGTCAGAGGATCGTGCTGACCTGCACATGAAACGGGAGTGATCCTAGTAGTGGGACATTGATCGCACTGGCTTCCAGCCTTCCACGCATTCGACACCCACTTGACGCCACTTGATCTGCCAGACGCCCCGTATTTTCTGGATTTTTGGTCGTGTTACGGCTCCCGCGGGCCTGTCAGTCGATCCACGATGATCAATAGACTTGTCTTGTAGATCCTGCGGTCTGAACGTAACTGTATGTTACAGATGACATGACCCTCAGGGTCTCGGAGTGAAGCTGCGCATGCGTTGCATGGGACATTGCCGGAAAGCCGCAGAGCAGCAACTTGGGAAACCTTCCTCTCTGTAAATGCTTCTCTCAACATGCGAGGAAGATGCGGTGCATTATTCATAATCGAATGTAGAAAGCGTGGCAGGTTCTCCGCACTCTGTGATTTGTTGAGAATCCAGCTTAGCCCTACGCCCCGGGCGACAGCGGCCCTGGATCTTCCACGAAAGCTGGTCGGCCTTCCCGAGGTGTCAAGGCGTTAGGCCTGATGTCTCCGGGAGCCCGCAGCATCCGCGGTGCTTCACGTTCGCCGATCAATCTGACCGTCGTTGTGTTAAGGACTGATAATATCGGCACCACGACGACAGCGAGGCGCACCATCGACGTCGCAGAATACCCATAGTGATTCCATATTCGTAATGTACCTATGGACAATACCACTTCCTAGATCTTAGTGAAGACGCTGTTCATCCCTGGCGCAAGCCGCCGCGTGCACAACCGTGTGCGGTGCCTGAGCTCTAACGGCATCGAGAGTGCGGCGATCCTTCTCTGACATAGTATTCGCCGCCTGCCCATAGCTCATTACGGGGGGGGGGGGGTCCAAGCTGAGCGTCTGGGCACTTACCAAGCTTGGTGTGCCGGGGACAGCGTTGTTGTTGAAACGTTGTCGTGACGAAGCAGACGCCACCTGGGCGAGGCTGTGGAAATTGCGAGCTGCCGATGCTAAAACGCTAATCTTTACTTGAATCAACAACCGAGTCAACATCGAGCTCAGGAAAGGATTGCGATTTCGAACGATGGCGGGCTCAGGCTGAAGGACGCAATGCTTGCGCAAATCCGGAGGTCGTTTTTGCACCTATGTCACGGCAAGGAAGCCAATTGGTGGTTTGTGAGAACGATCGACAGGATCTCTTAATTTCAAACACCACCGAAGCGCCCCAGCTGAGGACAACGCGAAAGAACTTCACAAGCTGACGAGTTACTTCACAGTAGTCATTCAAAGAAAATTAGTTATCTTTTGTGGGGGAAGCTGAACCACGTGGGGACGGCTTGTGAAATCATTTAAGAAAAGGAGCGACAGGAGCGACAGTAGTCGTCTTCCACCTCCATAAAAGCAGACAAATACAGCCGACTCATGGAAGGCATTGAGGCGGGCAGCCAAGTATCAGAGATGCACTCCGGAGCTTGTAGGTTCCGCTCGGCGTCGTGGTGGAGAGTTATGTGTCGTTCACATCTGCGAACCCCTCAGCTTTTGCCGGCCTTTCCGGTTTGCATACTTGTCGGCGCAAAAGAAAATGCCAATAGAAGGCTGCTTGGAACATTTCCAGTGGAGACCTAGATATCTTATAACATTTGTTGAAACAAGAACATTGGACTTCGCTCGTACTTGGGTACCCATTGCCCTCTCCGTCTCTCGCAAAGAAGGTTCGATATATCATACGAAGCACCACACCCGAATGATTCTTTGATTTACACCAGCAAGTCCAGGTAGCTCAAGCCTTAGGCAAGAAGAAAGTGGTGTGGGTCAGACATCACTCCTGTCCCCGCAATATGCTATCCCAGTCTTCCGACGCGCGGCGGCCATATGTCTCGATAGGTAGATCCGCCCAGACTTGGGCTCGCAAGAGCTGGGGTTCCAAACTTGTCATTGCCGATCTCAGAGAACCCAACCGCGAAGTTTGCACACGTATTGAGTACAATAAGTTTAAACACCACGACACGGGAAGTGAGGCGTCAATGCCAATTCGCAACAGTCAGATCATACTGCATACGTCGGCATGCTGAGCTCAAGAATAGTAATGTCGAATTGAACTAGAGAAATTCGAGTCAAGAGCGTTTTGTCACCATTCGGGCTACTTGCGCCTGATCACTCTGGCCGCCCAAGCAGCGCACATCAATCCTTGATGACATCGTGGTGCTGCCCTCCCAAGCCGCCATGTCCTTCAAAGTGCTTCCCCATCAAATTGTCTATGTGCTCGTTCTCTGCCTCCTCACCTCGCGACAAGATTCTTACAAACTGACGCATACCGATCACCGTACAAAGTTCCGACAAGATGAATACATGATGAATACAAGAAACTCTACACTGTCATACTCCCTCACTCTCGCCATTCAATGTCACAATCGCTGACTCCCGATCCTCATCTGGGGTTTTCCCCTTACCGGCATCTCCCTCGTTGCTTCTCCTCTCACTTGCACCACGTTCCTCACAGCCCAGCTGCAGCCTCCTTCCCCTCCTCCCAACGCACGACCGTCCGAAAGCCCTACAACTTGGCGCACACACAGCAAGAATGCTGCTCACAATCTCCACCAGCGCCCAAATATCGATCGTATGCGTGATACTCGCTTTGGGCACATCCTGCACCACGGCCAAACAAACAAACCTGACCAGCGCAGCAATAATACTGACGCTCCCCATCGCAAACACAAACACCAAGCCCACTTTCTCGCTGCGCCCGAACTGCTTCGCTCGCACCCACAGCGCATGCACGGGGATACTCAGTATGATGATGTCAGTGGTGATATTGGCAACAGTGGATATCGCGACACTGTCGATGGAATGCACAGCTGAGCAGAGCGATTTACCAGGTGGCGGCGCCCAATTCGCAGACACAGGGGCACACCAAAAGGCGATGAGGCCGATATGCAGCACAAAAGTGAGGAAGGTGAAGATACTTGCACAAAGGAGAGCGATACGAGTACGCCGCCCTTGTAGGCTGAAAATGGAGTAGTAGAGAGCTAGGAACGCGGCTTTCGCGCTCCACAAGCTGATGTAGACGAAGAAGAGACTGATCCAGGATACGAAGAGAAGGTGTCCGGAGAGGAAGACCGGGACGCCGTAGTACAGGTCCTCACGGGCCGTAGAGAGGTAATGCATGCGAAGCGTGTTCTTCCAAGTGTTGATGCAGATCAAGACGCATCCGGAAACCCACGCGAAGATTATGAAAGTGTCGGAGAGGTTTGCTGCCAGAGAGGGAAGCGTGCGAGCACGGAAGCGCAATATGATGCGGACTATAGTTGGGAGGAGGGCGAGAAGCATGAGGGACCAATCGAGGGCTATGAAGCCGGCTGCGAGGTGTTAGTATGTTGATCAGATTGAACTCATGGGCGCGTACGTAGTGGAAGTTGGGTGTCGGTATGAGCCATGCTTTTGGAGGATTTACTTCCTCCGCCTGGTGGTGATGCTGATGTGTTGCGCTTCCTGTCATGGTCATTTCTGCGCTCTTTTGTACACTTCTGCAATGTAATGCGACCAGATTTATTTATCTGTGTGAATCGCGAATAGTTTTACAGCCCCCGTTCTGCTGCTGACTACGCGCAAAGTCGCTCTGGTCATACTCGCACATATGCAATCCTCCCGCCGCAGGTGAGGGCCATTGGAGCAATGGGCTGCTAAGTTGGTTCGCATCTGCTGACAAAATGTGGGCGGTGCTTCATTTGTACGGACCCGGAGGGGTGACGGGGGTTTCTGCAGCTCGCTAGGCAATAATGGATAGGGCTGACGACCGATGTGGTGCTGACTTGCATGTAGTGCAAACTCCGCGCAGACAATTGGTGAAAAGTCCTAGTTTTGCGGTGAGTTCGCTGACAATGTTAGCAGCGGAGATGGCGAGCTTAGGATAGTGTAATTGATGCTCGCTTTCAACTCGTCGGTATGCGTCCGATTAGAGCCGTTAGCAAATGTCTTAATCTATGTGGTGTGTAAATCTACCGGGAATCTCTATGTCGTAAATGCATCCTCTATGTCCTCTGATACTCGTCTATATGCAAATCACATCTATTTGGTAGCCTCCTTGACGTTGACGCCGGCGGCGCCACTCTTGTAAGCCTCGAAGCCTGCCTTGGCGGCCTCCTGTACGGTGGCCTTGCCCTCGACGATCTCCTTGCACTTGGACAGGATGTTTGTCCAGTCCTCAAATACTGTAAAGGGGACGTTCTCGCGCGCGCAGTAGTTGATCAGGTCGTGTCCCTTCTTGGCGAACAGCAGATCAGTCTCGCGAGCAGCGGAGAGATCTGAGACACCGTCACCAGCGTAGAACATGGTGGGCCTCTGGTCCTCGGGAAGAGAAGAGTACTTCCTAAGCTCGATGGACTTGTCATGTCCAAAGCCAGACTCGGGGTGCCTGAAGAGAATGGTCCAGCCACCCTCCTCGTTGATGTCCTTGCCGTCCCTGGGGCCAACCTGGTTACCGAGAACCTGCATCTTCTCGGCGTCGGGACCGACCAGCTTCTTCAACAGCGCTTTGATGATGGGCTCCATGCCTGAGCTAAGGACAACCACAGGGATGTTATTCTTCAAGCTCCACTGGAAGAACTCTGCGAAGCCGGGGTCGAGCTTGACGTTGTCGACGACGTACTGGATGCACTGGTCGTACGGACGGGTGACGCTGTCCATCATGTCCTGGAATGAGTCGCGGAAGGAGATGCTGTCGTTCAGGCAGGCAATGTTGCCCTCACGGCGCTTGTCTTGACCGTAGCCAATTGTGTCGGTCATAAAGTCATTGCCTTGTGAACGGTCAGTATGCTGGCAGTCGAAGTTGGTTGGCGACGCAACTATGACGGGGCGAGGCGTGGCGCGGCGGTCGTGAAGGGTCGGAGAAGTCGCGATGAAGGGCTCAAGACTCACTGTCCTGCTGGGTGATTGTGCCGTCAAAGTCGGTGAAGAAGATGAACTTTGGTCCCAGTCAGTGACAGTGCTCTAAAACTCGGAACGGAACAGCGTACCTTTGGGTTCGACTTCATGGCGGGAAGGTCCACGGCAGCATTATGAACACCCATCTTATCTGTGGAGGGGATTGTATGAAGGTGAAGGGATCAGCGAGCGAAGAGATGGCCGAGAAATTGTTGATAGAGGGGCCGTCAGAGCCGCCAGACCTCCAACGCTGCCGTAACAGGCAACCCGTACCATGCGCGTCATGCTTGGCGGTTCCGCATCGAGCTCCGGAGGTTCGGCGGACTACCGAGAGTGTTTTCCCAAGCTCGTGGCCGACAGAGACGAGAAGTCAAGCCGCGACAAGCATGCGGCCGTTGCTTCAGCATGCTTCGCGCTTACCAAGAGCCCATGCAGCGATAATAACACCCGTGACTCAACCCATTAGACGCGTCGTCGCCCGATCGCCGTCAACATGCGTCACCTGTCAGTACCGGCATGCGTCAACCGCCATCACGAGGCCTGAGGTCAGCAATCGGCCGCGGAGGTGGCTGCCACGTCACTTCTCGAGCTCGTCGAGATGGCTGGAAGAAAAGAGACCCCCTGGGTCTTCCGATCCCACTGCAATGCAGCCGCCTGCAACCGAGCAGAAGCCCAAGCCGTCTTCATCTGCGGACCGGACGCCGGAAGAGCTGGAAGCACGACAGGAGCGGTTGAGGCGGGAGTGGGAAGAGCAGCAAAGGAAGAGGGAAGAGGAGGCTCTGCGCAAGAAGCAGCTGGAAGAAGAAGCTCGCCGCAGGAGAGAAGAGGAGGCTCTGCGGCAGAAGCGAGAAGCAGAGGCCTTGCAAAAGAAGCAGGAGGAGGCTGCACGAAAGAGGCAGGAGCAGGAAACTCCGAGGAAGGCACAACAGTCAGTTCAGCTGAAGACTACCCCTACACAGCCGAGAGTACCCACACCAGGGCCTGTCCCGGAGCAGCCTTCAGCAGTCGAAACACAAAGACCCATTCTCGAACCTTCCGTTAGTCAAGACAGGAAGGATGTTGTGGACAACGTCAAGCGGGTACCTGACGAGCAACTGCCTTCCCACCAGGAGCGTCAGCGATCGAACCTCGAGAAGCGCTTCTCTGTCCTGATGGATGAGCTGCTGCCCAAGATCGCCATTGTCACCCAGAAAGTCAACACCTATACTGGAACGGACTACTCAGGCGTTGAGGCTTTGAGGAGGGAAATTCAAGAACAAGGTACGCACGCACTCGACATGAGAGGCTAACATGTTTAACATTACGCAGAGAAGCTTGTCAAAGCTCGCCGTCTTGCGATCGACTCGACCAAAGAAGCCCTCGATGCGGCTCTTGAAAAGCAGGCCGCCTCGCAGAAAGAGGTCGTTGCCCTCCTCGAACGCAAGCACTCCTGGTCGTCCAGTGATCTTGAACGCTACATGTCCCTAATCCGCTCCGAACACCTCAACGACAAAGCTGTAAGGGAGGCTAAAGAGGCTGTCGACGCTGCTGAGAACGCGCTGGAAGAGGCAAGAAGCTATCTGGAGAAAAGGGAGCGTGCACAGTATCACGAAGAGCAGATCTGGAGCGACACGATTCGACGGAACAGCACCTGGGTCACCTTTGGTCTGATGGGCGTTAACATCTTCCTCTTACTCCTCAGTCTGCTCATTCTCGAGCCATGGCGAAGGAGGCGGATGGTCAGGGAGATCAAAAGCGCGCTGGAAGCGCAGCAGGCTACTGCTGAAGCAGCTCTGGTCCCAACTCCTGCAGCCCAATATGTGATGGCCAATCCTGTAACTGAGCCCTCAGCCATTGTACCAGCTACATCCGTTGCAGTGTCGCAACATCAGTCTGTAGAGGCAGGAGCATTGACAGAGAAGATCGTCGAGCCAGCATCCACAGTGTCACAAGCTGTACCCGCTGCCGCTGCCGAGCCCAGCATCGACGAGTCACCGACCGCAGGAACAGTAGAGCCGTTGCGCATCACAGACGAGCATGGCAACCAGATTGGCAATGTCATTGACGAAGTTATCGAGCCCGCAATCGACCCAGCAGTCCCTGGTGCCGCACCTCTGGTACCTGAAGACGCAGAGACCACACCACAAGAAAGCATAAACATCCAGAAGGAAGCCCGGGGGTCAATGTCGACGAGCGAGAAGATTTGGGCTAGGCTCGGTTTGTGGCAGAGCAGGGCAGCCATCGTCGCCGAAGACATTGTGAGCGATCGACCCATCTCGATGCGGCGAGTCGATTTCACCACCGCCATCTTGCAAAGTGCTGCTGCAGGTGCTGTCGTTGCAGCCTTATCCATTGCGCTGCTGCTCAGGCCTAACTAATCTAGCATATAAGCTCGATGGAGACGGCATTACCGTGCAACATGCGAACAATGTACATATCTTGCATAAACCTCTCAAAGCTACACATCCCGTTTGCGCCTCCTTTGGACATAAGTCATCACTTCTCGTAGCTCTTACTTACGCGCACCGCTATAGTCCTCAAGACCGTCAGATTCCGCCCCAAGCCCGGCGCACGCGGATGCAGCGAAATTAGACTCAAAGGCCCATTCAGGCTCATTGGCGCCTCATGCGATGTCCACAGACTACTCCTATAGCTCCCCCTCGTCATACTCTGCCTCCTAATCCGGCCGACATCGACGCCGCTACATCTCTGCCTGGACCTTCAGCCCGTGGACGAATGATGAATGGGTGACCAGACTGGTCATGGAGACTTTCTGGTACGCCATGCAGGGTGGCGAGAAAGCATTCGCCAACAACTTCATGGACGTACACATTGCCGGCTATTGCGCTGTCGACGGTGACCCAGGCTCCGACTCCTTGACGACTCCCAGGGACCCGTACCTCTACGCCTACTACGCGCAGGTCGACCGCGTCTGGTGGAAATGGTAGAACCTGACCCCCTCTAAGCGCACGAAGGCTACATATGGCATTACTGTACTCACGGACCCCGCAGTCCCTAATACGACCGTGGCTGAATGACCCTCGAGTATGCGATTGCGGAAGACATCACATCACGGATGGCGATGCTATGTCGACGATGGGTGGGCCGTTCTAATACACATACATCTGAATAGTCTTCGGCTGTGTAGAGACTTTCAATGCACACATCCGACATGTAAGTGCTGTGGTCTTCCCCTGCTTCTACACTGACCCATGTCCAATTCTTGCAGCACTATTGTTCGCAAACAAGCAGCGTCCATAACTCCAGTGTGTCTATTTCTCCTACTCAACAAGTTCACCGCCGTGCAGCCGCCCAAGGCGAGCGCTCGCGAAGCTTCCCAGACGTGCATCAATGTCGAAAGCGCCGATTGGAGGGTGTCGTGCATTGCATGACGGTCATGTGAGATAGCGCGGCAGCGCCATCTGAATCGATGCGCGCCCTGCATTGCCAACGCATCACCGTACCAGAACAAAGCAATGTCCTCCAATCCATTTGTCCACGGCCGTTGGGCGCGATCTGCTAAGCAGAATCTACGGCTGGAGGTCCTTCATTGGAACCCCTCTTTCTGTGCCTCGAGCGTTGTTTGCGATCTCGCGCTACCCCGCTAGATCCGGCGCATTTATCGATCGATAAACATCTGAAGCTACAGCAACAGCATTGCAATCCGCAGCAGCAGCAACGACTCGCAGGCTCGTGCGCCCACATCTATTCCAACCCGACGAGATGAACGCCGACCCCCTCACAGGGCAGCCGCTGCCCGCTAGCGCAATTCAGCGTGTCCTGTTCATCGCGCCCAAAGTCCACGTCTACCAAATCCCGCCCGCAACCTCCACAAAGGGCTACCAGGCCAGCAGCTGGACCGCAAACAACAATAAGATGCAGATATTTACCGCGCGGATACGTATCGTCGAGACCTCGATCCCACCCGAGCGCGACGACGCCGACGAAAAGGTGTCGACCACCATCTTGCTCGAGGATTCCAAGACCGGCGACCTGTTCGCCGCGGCGCCATATACGAGTGAGCGCGCGGTTGAGCAGGCGCTGGATAGCAGTCGGTTCTTCGCGATCACAGTGGTGGGCGAGGGGCGGAAGGCGGTGTTGGGCATGGGATTCGAGGAGCGCAGCGAGGCGTTTGATTTCAGCATTGCATTGCAAGACGCGCGGAAGGCGCTGGGCTTTGAATCCAAAGCTGCAAATCCCGGCGCAAAGCCTATGTCTAAGCAGGAGGAAGTCAAGCGCGATTTCAGCCTCAAGGAGGGCGAGACAATAAGCATCAACCTGGGAGGCTTGAAGGGAAGACGGCAGCGCCCGGATGCAGAGAAGAGTCCGAATGAGCAGAAGAGTGAGCAGGAGGCGCTGTTCAGTATTGCACCGCCGCCGGGGAGTGGTGGGGCGAGTTTCCTGCCGCCGCCGCCTAGTGCGAAGAGTGTGAAGGAGGAGAGAAGGCGGAGTAGGCAGAACTTTGAGCCCACGCCGGAAGATCTGGGGTTCGACGATGGAGAATTCGGCGAGTTTCAGTAAAGCTGCATAAGGGATATGGGTGGTGGATTTGCTGCATATATGGAGTTCTGCATAGTATTATAGATCCACGAATTACGCCGTGCACGTACAAGATCAACCGTCTTGCTCCTGGCTTTCATGCACATCTCGGTTGATGATACCAAGAGGTGTGTACCTCTCCACTTCTTAGAGTGGCGCTGACGGCTGTGGATCCCACTTCTCGATGCGTTCTCTCAAAGCAACTAGACGCGTGGGCAAGTCGAGAGTCACGAACCTGATACTACTGCTCTTGATAGTCATCTCTGTGGTAGCATCGATGAAGGCGTTGACTAGTTCTAGAATAGGCTGTTTGATCCTGACGTGCTGATTTCGAGCCCACATCTTCTTCAACTGCACCAGAAAGTGACTGAGACCTGTCTCGTAATGACTGAGCGAGTCGCAAACAGCGCCCACGCTGTTCCTGTCTGTTGGCATGTCGAAGGTATACCTCCACCTGACTTCCGAATAGCCGGCCTGGTTGCGCAGCCTCGCCCAGGCGGCCAGTCTGCAGAAGAATATGAAGTAGAGACGCATATTATCTCGTGAGGTGCTGTGTTCCAGATCGTCAAGTCGAGCATGATGTGCACCTTGAGGACCGGGATTGGTTCCCCTGATGGTATACAAGTTGCCAAAAGATTGACAGGCCTTCCAGTGATTTGCTATCGTATCGTCGAGGAGAAAGTCCTTCGGTGGATAGGTGAACGATTTTGAGAGGCCGGGGTAAATTTCGATAGTCAGATTTGCATTGCGCGACAGCAAGGCTCTATGAGACGGTTGCAGACTTTGGAGCCATTTTATAGCCTTGCTGAAGTTGAGGTTCTTGATAATCCACGTAAATGAAGCCTTAGGAAAGTATATGTACGCTGCTTCAATACGGACGGCACGGCATACATGTAACAACGCCACCGGCTGGTGTCGTGTACGGCCACAGTTCATCAAAATCGGTCTTTGGAGATCGCCAAATACGTGAGCATAGATCTGTGTCCTGATCTCGGAAGGAAGTTTTGCCAGCGGGCAAGGCTTCGATGATCTCAGGGGCTTGATATAGTACAGGCCTGCGTTGTAGGCAATACTTTCGCGAACACGCTTGGTGAGAGTCGAAGGGCGTTTCAGCTTCCTGTTAGAAGCCAGACCTCCCAAAGACGCTCTTGGGCCAGGTGTCTTGGTCGGCGTCTTGGTCGGTGTCTTCAGTAGTGTCGTGGTGTCTTCGCATGCTCCACCCTCATGACTAGCTCTCGAAGTTGAGGCCGCAGTCTCACGAGCAAAGGACGGCACTGTCATAGTCTTATGCGATGGAAAGTAGAATGATTGCAAGACGAGAGGCTATCGAGGAATTGATGTTCCAGTCTTCGTGAATTCGTAAGGGACTTAAGGTGTCTGCATGCGGTATCAATTGACGGAGCGGGTAGGGCGCGTCAGGGCCGCTGCATGTGCGGAAGTGCAGTACGTACTTATCCAGGATGAAGAGGATGTATCTGGGGTCGGCCGATACACAAAGTGAATTATGCAGTGTTGACAGTTGTTGCTCGCGTACTAGGGGAGGAAAGAGAAGTGGGGCGCCACGTGAGCACGCGCCATTGTTCCTTCCCATTTACTCGACCAACGGGTCGTGCCACCAACACCAATCCAGCTCAACATTGCTTCGATGGCGGATGCAAACCTCCATGATGGCAGATGACATGGACGTCACGCCGCCTTCACCCCGTGGCACGAAACGTAAAGGCGACGATATCCTGCCTCTTCCGGCACCACGGCGGATCAAAGCACTCGCACAGGATGTTGTCAACAAGATTGCGGCAGGAGAGATTATCGTTGCACCAGTGCATGCACTGAAAGAGCTAATTGAGAATGCTATTGATGCAGGGTCAACCGCGCTGGAGATCCTAGTCAAAGATGGCGGTCTCAAGCTGCTACAAATCGCAGACAATGGCCACGGCATCGATGTCGGTCTTTCTTTATTATCCACTGAACACAAGCTCACATTTCTCACAGAAAGAAGATCTGCCAATCTTGTGTGAGCGTTTCACAACGTCGAAGTTGAAAGCATTCGAAGACCTTACCTCTATCGGCACATATGGCTTTCGAGGAGAAGCGCTTGCAAGTATCAGTCACATCGCTCACTTGAAGGTCACGACGAGAACGAAGGAGTCTAGTTGTGCTTGGGAAGCTCACTATGCTGATGGTAAGCTGGCTAGCCCCAAGCTAGGGCAGAGTACCGAACCAAAGCCCAAAGCCGGGAGACAGGGCACTGTCATCACGGTCAGTCATACACTTCGGCGATAGCGATATTACAACTGATACAACACAGATTGAGGACTTGTTCTACAACGTTCCTTCAAGACGACGTGCTTTTCGCTCGGCCAGCGAGGAGTACGCAAAGATCCTCGATCTGGTCGGTCGGTATGCTGTCCATTGCGCTGGCGTAGCATTCTCATGCAAGAAAGCTGGCGATAACTCTGGAAGCGGTGTCTCTGTTCCTGCTGCCGCTGAGACAAAAGACCGCATACGGCAGATTCACGGCAGTGCAGCAGCAAACGAGCTTGTCCGTCTCAAAGCTGAAGACCAGCGCTGGGGCTTCAAGTGCGAGGGCTGGGTGAGCAACGCAAACTACAGCTCAAAGCGCACGAGCCTGTTGCTCTTCATCAATCACCGATCCGTCGATTCACAAATGATCAAGAAGAACGTTGAACAGACTTACGCTACCTTCCTGCCAAAAGGCGGTCATCCGTTCGTGTACCTCAGCCTCGAGATCGAGCCGCAGCGAGTCGACGTCAACGTGCATCCAACGAAACGCGAAGTGCACTTTCTGAATGAAGATGAAATCGTCGCCATGATTTGCGACGAGATTCGCGAGAGTCTAAGTAAGGTCGACACAAGCAGGTCTTTCATGACGCAGTCGCTACTTTCGAACACAACTAGGAAAGTCTCAATTGTCACGCCCATGAAGAAAATAATCCCAGCGACACCGAGCAAAGACGATCCACCGGAACGCAGTGTCTCGCACGTCCCAAGGACGGTGACGAAGAGGGCGAATGAGAACAACCTTGTTCGTACAGACGCATCAGCACGCAAGATTACGTCGATGTTACGACCAGAGCGAACTGTTGAAGAAGCAGCTGCTGAGGGCGACGATGATGATATGAAGTATGAGTACGTGGAACGAGAACCGATGGCTTGTCGTCTGACTTCCATAAAAGAGCTGCGCGGCGAAGTGAGAGACGCCATGCACAACGAGCTCACAGACATAATCTCGACACATACATTTGTCGGGATCGTGGATGAGCAGAAACGGATCGTGGCAATACAGGGAGGCGTGAAGTTGTTTCTCGTCGACTATGGCATGCTCTGCAACGAGTACTTTTACCAAGTCGGGCTTACAGAATTTGCCAATTACGGCCTAATACGTTTCAATCCACCACTGCCTCTACAAGATCTGCTTGAGGTGGCAGCCAACCAAGAGATGAAAAATTCCGGCGATGCTGCGGATGAAGTTGACTGGGATGAAGTTGTTGACAGCGTGAGAGAGCTGCTGATCGGTAAAGCACCACTGCTAAGCGAGTACTTCTCCATTGAGATCACTGCAGAAGGCGAGTTGTGCTCCATACCCATCCTCACCAAGGGCTACACCCCCTCGTTGGCAAAGCTTCCAGAGTTCCTGCTGCGTCTTGGCCCCCATATCAACTGGGAGGATGAGAGGGAGTGCTTCAGGACGCTCCTGCGTGAGCTGGCTTCATTCTATACACCTGAAAGCTTACCACGACTGCCTTCCAAGTCGGCAGAGGACAACGGCAAAAGGAAGGATGCAGTCATCGAAGAAGATTCAGAGATTGCGTTGAGACGTCGAAAGGTGAGGAAAGCGGTTGAGCACGTCATCTTCCCAGCTTGCAAGGCACGACTGGTGGCCACGAAAGGACTGCTGAAGGGTGTCATGGAAGTCGCCAACCTGAAGGGACTTTACAGGGTCTTTGAGCGTTGTTAGAGACAGGGCGACGGTGTATGGCGAAAGGATGTGCCATCAACGTGGACCGAAATCGTGGAGGGACTCAGCTATTGTATTCTTATGAACAATATTGACTAAAGCGGTGAATTGGCTTTATTCATCTGAGCTGTCAAGACTGTAGTTGTGCGGTATGTAAGCGTGTCCTAAGCACACGACCTATCCGTTAAGTAGTCTTCACACTGCACGCCCAGTTCTACTGGGCACTCCATCTTCACGATGAGTCCCGAAGTGTGAACTTCGCTGATGTTGTGAGAAGGATCACGAATGCTGTGACACTGAGACCGTGCTCCGTTGCGGCTGTGGAGGGGCTGCCAAGTGAATGCACGTGCAGTCGCGATTGACGGGGCGCAGGAGCATATCTTGCGCGCCTTGTTTTGTTTCTGATCATTAACATCCGCAGTCAACAATCAACAAGTCAACTCAACTGCACAAGATCGTAACGCGCAATCGGTCTTCTTCATTGTCAGTATCACAATGCCGGCAGAACAAGCATCAGTTGAAGTCCGCCGCAAGGCGGCCCGTGAAGTAATCGACATTCTCCACGAGATTGCAACTCTACTCGTATGTTTAACAAATACAGTCATACTCGATCTAGCTAACAATGTCAGAACACACACCTCGACCGCCAGCAACTTTCCTATTGCGTCTCTTTGATCGAGAACGGTGCAAACCCCGAAGCGTTAGCGGTACGTGCATCCATCCTTCTCTCCCAGCTCGGCATGATGGCGTTGCTACGTGCAGTCCCGCCACGCTGCAAGTGGTAGCCATGCCTCCCACGCCCTCATGTACTGACACATTGCAGAAAGTGATCCAACAATTACGCGTTCAATACCCACTCTCGGAAGACGGCGATGCAGAGGTCTGAAGTTGAAGCACTAAGCGCGCGCTGACAGCGATCGGCGACAGAAACTTATGCAGCCGTGTACAAACGCAGTCCATGTTTCATATCTTCGCGCAACGCCAGCACTGCATATGATTATCTGCCGCTTATCGTCGTGGACCATGTCGGTTGCCGGAAGTTAGTGTTGGTGTTACGATTACCGACAACCCTGGACCACCCGCAGGCAGCTTGGCCAGAAAGCTTGGGATACGCTTTGATGGAGGGGGATGCGGGGTCGTTGTTGGACGCGCCAAGGGCTCGCTATCAACCACATGCAATGTTATCAAACTCTCCCGGATGACGCGATAAGGTGGAAGTACGACGGCTGTACGGGACGGCAGTTCTTTGCTCCCCCCATAGCTGCGAGGGACTGCAGGTCGCGAGATATTCAACGAAGCGCTCGGAAGCATCATGCAACTAGCCATCTTAGATGTCATCATTGAAGCCTAGCCGATGCTCTAGAGTCGTGGCTTGGGTATGATGGGAAACGCCTAATGTGAAATGCTGACAGCGAATGGTTGGGTATCTCAAATCTCAACAGGAAGGGTATCTTCCGAAGGAAATAGGTTTCAAGGAAAATGTGAACGCTGCCCTTAGCGTAGGGAGTCAGATCATCTGCTTCCCCAGGTGGGCGATGACTGACGTTGTCTGAAGTTGCCCTTCTCGTCAGCCACCTTGCGAAGTGCCTTCTCGGCCTTTGCCTCCTGCTTGTCGAGGAAGCCATTGTAGACTGTGGGGAGAATGCGCTTGGAATCTGAAGAAGGCGTTAGCTCGCAACCCGGAAATCCTGAAGAATGTTACTTACTGGCATGATCTCCAGCAAACAAAATGCCATCTGCACCCTTCTCTCCAGCAATCTTGACGGCCTCCTCCAACAAGCCCTCTCCGACACCCTTGCCTCTGTACTTGAGCTTAACAGTCCAGCCTCTGACGATGGCCTTTCCCCTTCTTCTCCGGCCACGCTTCTTCGCCGCATCACCGTCTGCCCATCCAAGAACAAGAGCACCAATGACATCGTTCCCCCACTTCGCAACAATGACACGGTCGTCACCAAGCCACTCTATACCAATCTCCTCGGCGAGGCCAATGTACCCGCCAGTCAGCCATCGAATGAAGATCAAGAATGACATCGTGATACCGCCCGCTGTCGTGACGAACACAAACGGGTCGCCGTGCTTGCGCACGTACTGTGCAACGACGGCCAAGATCACGCCCAGCACGGCAAGGTTGATGGGGTGGAAGATCATCGTCTTGCTTGCAACCTGGCGCTGCTGGGCTACCGAGTCGGCGATCAGGTTCAGGCCGTCGATCCGATCGTCTTCTGAGTCGGCAGTGTAGGTGGAGAGCTGGGGTAGCTCGTTTGTTGGCGCTTGCACGGGCGCGGAGGCTTCGCTGGACGCCATGATCTCAGTCTCGAGGGGCGACGGGTAGGCAGGCGCAGGCAAGGTCGAGTAGGATAGTGATGTTGGCACGTGGGGGTGTGATTGGGACGAGTAGTAGCTGTTGGTGCGGAAAGTCGTTGGCGTGCCCAATGGCGATGGCAGGTCCGGATCAATTCTCAGGTTTGCACTGAGAGATGTAAAAAACGCTGCGTTGAAGCGTTAGCCATTTACTCCGTCCTAGTGTTTAGCCGAAACAAAGTGCTTGAAATCATGTCGACCAATAGGCACACGACGATCCCGCCAGAAGTAAACATACCAGCACTTGTGCGAAATCCAGGAAGCGAAGGTATCGCAGGGATAGCCTTTTCGAATCCAGTGAACTGGTTCGTAATGACCGTATCTCCGAGAGAATATCGTTGCGGGAATGCGTGCGGGCCCGGCGGGACTTTGAGGTGCGAGGGAGGAAGTTGGCGGCCCATGTTAATAGCAATTACGAACGTACATATACGAATTTCGTCAGGGTCCGGCCTTAACTAAAAGGAACAAAATAGTATTAAATGAGTAACGTGATCCGGGATCCAATAAACAAATATGTGGGAAGCGGTAGTCAAGGTAAGGTGAAGAGGTAGCAGCCTCGGAAAAATATGATGCACTGGTGGGAAAACGTGCATCTATGTATTGGTTCAGCCAAGACGACGTACACATGGGGACGCAGTGTGGGCGTCTGGCGGCTGGTAGTGGGAATGGGCCACAGGCGCGATCTGCACAGGCCTTATCCGCGCCAGCATGCCTTGTGCAGGGTAGCTAGACGGCGATTCCCTATTGGCGAGGGCATGAAATGCGCAGATAACGCTGTGCGCACTCACAGCTCTGGGCCCTCGCTATTATACTTGCAGAATCTTGGATGCCGGCATGTGCAGATTTTGCGGAAGGATCTGTTGGGTTGGAAGTGCTGCGAAGCATGCGTTGCTGAGGCACAGTTCGTGACCCAAACTTTCGCACAGCCACTAATTCGGTTAGAAGCCTGAGTCCGTCTGTCACTGTAACAGCAGGCGACAATGACACCTCCCACGCTCATGCATCGCTTGACTTCGGGCAAGCGTACGCGAGCATACGAACACTTGATCCCCTTGGCCGCTTGGGGCTGGGCTCTGCCATATCAGATGCACTCGCGAACTCCGCACTTCTCACAGACTTGAAACGAACTACTGGCTCAAACGCATCCTAATCGTCTCAGACCCTCCCCTGCGCGCGCTCGCTTTCGCCAGTCAGTCTCAACGTAGCGATATACCTGCATAAAGAATGTAATGCCTCTGTTATCAGGCGTCATGTCATCGTTCGTCTTGCACCCCAGCTCTTGATCGCAGCGAAGCAAGGTAGATGGACCGATAAGCCGTTTCTCTCGTCTTGTGACTGTTGGCAATCCCCCACACTCTCATCTTGTGAACAACACCATGCAAGCCATCGATCGCCTTCTCAAATCGCCTTCTCAAACGGCTCGTATCCATCGAGCGATGTCTGTCTAATCGCAGTCCAGCCCTCAGTGCATTCACCTATTCGCTGCGTGATTCCACACAAGTGCCGTTTTTCTAGCCAACCAAAGTCCCTACATCCCTAATGCAAGCGCGTCTTACGTGTGTAGCTCCACTCAATAATGATGACCAGCTCTCGCGCTCAACGTCAACGCTTCAGCCCATCAGGGTCGAGGACAGAGCCGTCAGGTTGCGTTTTCAGGCGGACCGCACCGTTTAGGTCGAGGCCAGGTTGTGCGCATTTTTCCTCGGCCAATGCATTCCCTCTGACGCGTCGTCGACTCCACCAGCTCTGCAGGCCATGTGCATGTTTCGGTCTGTCATGCGATGTTTCAACGGGACGTTTGACATGCCGCATTGGGCGAGGATAGACGACCATGCACGGCAAAAGCCACAGAAGCGCATCACACGAGGGCACCTCTAGCCGAAAGGACATAGTCTGAAAAGTTGCAAGTTCCGTTGTTTTGGCGGTGTAGCGAGTAAAGGAGCGCACGAGAGCTATAAAATTGGCATTATGCGCTTGTCAACCGTCAACGTTTCATTTGTCGAGGCCTGGCGCCGGGTGTTTGCATCTTACGCTCCCCTTCCTATTAACAACAGCTCGCGCTCGAGCGTATTTTCGAGAGTACATTACATGAAGTAGGGATGTTGGTTCTTGCTGAACAATGAGAAAGCCACCACCCACCAATCTATCGTAACCAAGTTGCACATAAGCGTCAAATAACGCCGGCCTGCTATATGTCCAGAACTCCTAATGCGGTCGTAGCGCATAACACTGACTATGAAAACCGCCGCCTCTGAGTACTTGCGAACGCGATGAGTCTTTGCAGAGCACTGTACCGATGTCAATCATCAGATAAGAGCGGTAAGACAGCAAGTAGAAATGTTGTGTGCTTGAAGCTCACTTCTTTTGTTGCGTGTTGGGAGCCGATGCACCTGCACCTGGCTCGAGCGTGTGCTCGTGGTTGTCGCAGCGAAGCACCTTACCGCCATCTTCTTGCGAGCACACTTGGCTGTTCTGGACCCATTTGTCGTTCATGATCTCCTCAAGTGTAGCACGCCTCCTAGGATCAACTTCGAGCATCCTGCCAATGATGTGCCTGCTCTCTCTGGGCAAAAGTCGCAGAAGACGCCAAGGCCCCTTAATCACCTGGGGTTGTTGCTGGCTTTGGCTGCTCGGTGCTACTGTTAAAGCGCCATTGGACTGTTGGCCTTCTCCAGAAGGATGACGGGAAGCTGGCGCGGACTGGGTGCCAGCTCGGTGGTCGTCAGCGGCATGTTGAAGATCAGTAGAAGCTTTTGCAGGTCCAGTTATGGACTTTGGACCATCGTTGGGCGGAGAGACGAAAAGCTTGTATGAGTTGTCCGAGACTCGGGGTGCCTTCCACGGGAATCGACGCAGTGTCATGCAGCAGAAGATGATGGCTAAGGACCAGATATCCGTAGGTTGTGGGTCGTACTTCGAAAGGTCGTACACCTCAGGAGCGAGGTAGGGATCAGAACCGACAATACCTGAGGCTATTAGCTAAAGATCAGGTTGCAATGGAGGGATTAACTCACCATTCGCAAGGACGACGTCGTTCTCGAACGGATATCTGAATACTGCTGCACTTCCAAAGTCGATGATCTTCATGATGCCGTGCTCGTTGACCACGACATTGTCCAGCTTCAGATCTCGGTGAGCCAGACCCATGCTATGCAGGTAGTTCACACCGTTCAAAATCTGAAGGGTGCAACATGTCATCTCTTCTCGACTCATCTTGCCTGTCATGACAATGGCGAACAGGTCGAAAGGCGCATACTCCATTACAACATAATAGTTGCCTTTCTCGTTCACCAAATCCATCGTCTCGATGATGTTGCCGTGGTGGAGAGTGGAGCCGATACAAAACTCTGCGGTCACCTTCTTGTTGTAGTCGCGTTCCGACTCATACGAATGTCTGGCGCGGAACTGCTTCACGGCGAATGTGACACCGTCACTGCTACGCTTCATCAATCGGACGGAGCCTCCTGCACCAGAACCAAGAACTTTGCCAAACTTTCCGTACTTGCTCTCAAGACCATGGTCGTCTGCAAAGGGAACGCTGGCTGCCCCGTTGGTCAATGGGGGTGTCATCACGCCTGCTTTGCTGGCCCTGATCGGCTTTTCGCGCTTGATGACTGGCGCAGGGCTCTTGTGCTTCTCCTTCTCCTTGTCTTTGTCTTTGTGCTTGTGGCTGCCGATCTTGAAGAACCGCTTTAGGTTCGACATGGAATCGTGTCCATGTTTGTGCGGCTTGGAGTCGGTCTCTGTGTCAGAACTGTATCGACTGCCAGGTCGTCCAGTGGCACCGAAGATGCTTGTTCTATTGCTGCCAGTATCTTCCTTATCCGACGCTGTACCCCTAGACCTCGGCAATGTGGTGCTGGATAAAGATGCAGACTGGTTGCGGCGGCCGCGACCATCACGGCTACCGAAAATGAAACGCGCATCGAGTCCATCAAGGTTCTTGGGCTGAGGAGCTCGCTTCGAGCGGGAGTATGGGTCATGCTGATCGCCTTGAGGTGTGAAAGGGCGGCCGATTGATGTTGGCGTGGATGTGCCGGGAGAGTGATATCCAGGAGTCCGCTCTCCGCCTGACCCGGACGGACTTTGATCCCTTGAAGCTGGCAAAGAATCACCGGCTGGTCCAACTGTGAATGACGGCCCGTGCATGGGGTGAGGTTGCACAACATCTGGTTCAATTACCGAGTTGGGTCGAGTTCGTGGCGCTGGCTGCGGGGAGCCCGGTACTGCAACGTCCTTATTGACAGACGAGTCCATTGAGGTTGGCGGAGGCTCGTGTGGAGGGGAGATTTGGGGGGTCATCAAGGCAGGATCACTCTTCTTCGTATGATCAACTCCGCTGGTAGGTCTGTCATCGCGGGAAGATGTGCCCGCGGGTGTCAACGGCGGCGATTGTATGGCCTGTGCGACTGACGAGCGGTGCTGGGAGGACTGGCCAGAAGTCGTGCGGGAGGCAGGTGAGGGGGAAGGTGCCTGATTGTGTCAGCTGCATGCTCGATGTCACTTGGAACATGTTTGCTTACTCGTGAGGGCGGCAGCGAGACCGGCTCAAACGAAAAGTTCTCCATGCGCTTCGCCTGTACACGAGACTGCTGCAGCGTCGAAGATAGATTACGTAGCTCCTGCTCCGCCTGCGGGCTCAATGGCTCCTTCATTGTCTCACCCGCGCCAGTGAGGCCAGTCACATGCCGGAGGGCGCTCTCGGGCTCGATTTCCTGATTGACATCGCTGAAGCGGACCGATTGCGGCGGCTGCTCTGGAGCTGGCGACGCCATGATGGAGTTTTGGGTTGTGTGAAGGATCACTGCAAGGGCAGTCAGTCGCTATGAGCCATGACGAAAGCACAGCTCTGCTTAGTCGAGTAGCTTACACTAAAGAAAGATATGTGATCGGCGAAATCGGGCAAGCTTCACGCCGTCATCCAGCCGCTTTCGTTCAATTCCGGGGCAGGTGGGGTCCGCGGAAGATCCAGTTGAATTTTGAAATCGAGTCCTGCAAATTGCGACTGTAAGAGGGGAGCGACCGAGGAGGTTTTCGGGGTTGATGGGTTACAAAGCACGCAAAGTCGTCATCGGCCTTTGGAAGTACTCGGCCAAAGAGCTACCGGTATGCCCCGCGCTACTACTGAGCGATCGCGCGCAGCTTGTGACGGATGGCCGGAAAAAGGACGTTCGATTAGAATTGACAGCGCACGTAATCTGGGAGACTTTTGCAATACCGCGACGGGCGCTGCAGTAGGATTGTGAGTCGCAAACAGAGAGAAGGCTCGTTGTTTGGAGGGGTGTGGGCGAAATATTGCAAGCTGGAAAGGGCGGATTACTCGATTTGCTAGCCGCAGCCTGCCGGATCAGCATGTTAGCTCACCGCGTCACAGCGTCACAGCGAGAGCCTCCACGCCTCTGGCACAACACCGTCCGTCCACACCACCAGCCAACCTCGACACCTGTGATACCCCCACCAAGATCCACAACACGCACCTATACCCGGCCAGCCCCGCGCGTGCAAGCAAGTGCCCCGACCGCCTACATAGAGACCTTCGCCTCACCTGCTCCCGGCCGTGTTACTCGTCGCTACGAAAATCTCTGGCTTGTTGAACAAATTGCTTCAAGAGTTTTTCTACCCCTTTCCAGTAAGGGTCGTCTCACTACCAGTCGCTTACAAAGTGTTTTTGGATAGTGCCTCGCTCATCCCGCAAAATGTTCTCTTGGGCCAAGTCAGCGTAGGTGAACCCTTCTCCACAGCTCCCACGCGTATGCACGACACGGGTATATGACCTGAATATACTGCATGCAATACGTATCCATGTTCTGACAGTCTGACAGGTTGTCCGCGGTTGCCGGTACTGAGGAGCCCATCTACGGTCCTGAAGCTATCCAGCCGGTTGGCAAGAATGCAGGCGACCCTTCCTTCACCGAGTTGACCAAAGAGGACCTGAAATGGCAGGCCCTGAACTACACCAACGTCGAGACTCAGACCTTCTACGTCAACGCGGACTCGGGCCACACCGGCATATTCCAGGTCATCTACAACAACATCTTCGGTGCACGCACGACGGTGCAGTTCAATACCAAAATCTTCTACCCCAATAACGAGAAGCCCTTCCTGTGGTCTAGTGACCCGCTTTCGAATCACGGTTTCGATGAAGGTCATTTCTCCTTCCACGCTGACGGCGTCTCCATCCAGCTGAACGAGGACGGCTCGGCATACACAGTCAAGGCAGCAGTCAACAACAGCAGTCTGGTCAATGTCACATTTACCAGGACAGCACCGGGCTTCCAGGCTGGAAAGACTGGAACGAGCAACTACGGCACCAACCCCAAGGAGCCATGGGGCAGCATGCATCACCACTTTTGGCCGAGGTGCAAGGCCGAGGGCTCTGTCATCACTAGGGAAGGCGAGATCAAGATTGATGGCCAGGGAATGTTCAGCCACGCACTGCAAGGAATGAAGCCCCACCATGCTGGTGAGTAGTTGAAACCCGAACATGCCGCAGATCATGCTAATACTTTGAAGCGGCTCGCTGGAATTTCGTCAACTTCCAGTCGCCGTCGTACTCCGCTATCCTCATGGAGTTCAAGACCCCCCCCTCCTACGGATCGACGACAGTCTGTGTTAGTGGCATCGCTACGGATGGCAAGCTGCTGATTGCTGGTATCAACGGCGGTGCGAAACACACCGAGACTAAGCAGGATACGGACAATGACTGGCCTGAGCCTACATCAGCAAGCTACCACTGGGAGGGAAAGACTGACGACGGCAAGGAGGTCACGGCGGAGCTTGCAGGCTCTTTGGGCACTAAATACGACCGTGTGGATGTTATGGCTGAAGTGCCAGGCTTCATCAAGACTATTGTGGCATCTGCGGCTGGCACGAAACCGTATATCTACCAGTTCGCGTCGAAGCTCACCATTAAGGTGAAGGCCGGCGATGAGATCAAGGAGGAGGAAGGTGTCCTCTTCACCGAGGCAACGTTCATCTCGTGAGGGACTCCTTATACATCTATACCGTTACGACCCCCTAGCATTAATAGTAGAACCCAGGCCAGGAGCTTGAACCTAATGAACCCCAATCTTAAAAAGTCTTTGTTGCTCTCTGCATATGTAGTGCATTCACAGCCACAGCGAGATGTCGCGGATGCATGGGGCCTATCACAGCGAAACAATGCACTAGCTTGCCTTTTTGCCTGTACTTGCGTGTGCATTTCTATTTGCGTGCGCCTCATCTTCTCTTTCACATTTCGATTTCACTCCTAGTCCTCTGCCTGCGTCTGATAAGGCGCTTTGTTATCTCCACCTGACAGCGCGCTTGGGCACAAACAAACGCAACGCGTCAAGAGTCGAGTCCGTGCACTCACTGCAACCGATACCTACGCCCGTTACACCACGCCAGGCAGCACCCATATCCCCTCACCACCACTGTGCCATGGTAAACGAACGGCCGAAGATGTCCGGCGGGATGCTACGATTTGGTGGCGCACCTCGGCCAGAATTCGCTCGTCCGCCTGGTTCTCAAACGGCATCTTCGTTGGCTTCGCGCGCGTCCCAGCTCGGAATTGGTCTTGGAAAGGGAGGGAAAGGCTTCGGTCTGGGTAAAGGCAGGGGCGTCAAGCGGCATCATTAAGTGCTCCGTTTCGCGTTCATCGTATAGTTCTTCCACTAATTAATCTCATGGAGATACTGCGGGATACTATCCAGGGTGTGACCAAAGGAGACATTCGGTAAGCGCATCTTTATTGCACCGAATCGTCTATCAGAGATGACTTTATCAACTCACAAATTCTGCAGAAGACTGGCTCGTCGAGGCGGCGTGAAGCGCATCTCAGCTACTATCTACGATCACGCTCGACAAGCTCTCAAATCCCGACTGAGCGACGTAAGTCACCGCAATGCTGGCCTTAATCGTCCCACTGACACATGCATAGATCTTGCGCAAGGTAGTAGCTGTCGTGGAGCACACTGGCCGCAAGACCGTCTGCATGACCGATATCATCTTCATTCTCAATCGCGTAAGTCCTTGTCCTACTCTAAGACCCAAGACAAGTAGCTGACGCCATTCTAGCAAGGACGCCACCTCTACGGCTTCGATCCCTCATTCATGGGACGTCTTTCATAAGACGAAGAGCGTACGGGGTCACCACAGACATCCAAGAAACGATATATCACCGCGTGACTCAGCGTAAGCAGGCCTTTCATCGACTGGAAGCAGGTTTCATCCGTTTGAGAAAAGACTTGCTCCACCTGGCGCCGGGTAATGGTCACCGTCCCCACCTTCATGATTGTTTTGGTTCGTTCTGTAGGAGTAGGAGTTGGATTATGGCATGGATAGGGAGCGGCACAAGAAAATTACGAGAGCTACATCTTGATATTGGAGGACTTTCGAACGTTCGGAAGAAGACGCTTTGCAGGAACCAGGCGCGCAGAAGGGGCAAAGTTGGAAGGCGTGGGCATCTGATGGGTATGCAAATATACGTGCAAAGCTGCACACGGCAATATACCGCCTGGAGCAATCATTGTTGATGATTTAAGTCTTTTCAGAAACGTGTCGAAGAAGATGTGAGCTCGAATGATTAACGAACAACAGCTGGCACTTACCCCACTAACCCCACTCGCACGTGCCCTCGAATTTCACCTTCGCACATCCAGCCTGTCACATCGCTCGCTGTGTTGCCGCATTCGAACACTATCTCGCCACATGCCCTAGCAATATGGTGTACTACTTCTCCTCCAACACCGTGACGCCATCAGCGTTCATTTATGTAGGCAAAGACAAGGTTGAAAGTTCGTTTTCCACCTGCTGCTAAGTCACGTCGAAAAATCGAAAAGACTTAATACGACCCTGGTGAAACTGATCACTGACATCATGAACAGACGAAGAACTGATAAAATACGGCTGGGACGAAGACGTTTGGTTCCACGTCGACAACCTCTCTTCTGCACATATCTACGTCCGGTTGCCGGAGGGCGAGACGTGGGACAAGATTAGCGAGCCACTGTTGATTGACTGCGCACAGTTGACCAAGGCGAACAGTATTGAAGGTGAGTCATCGAGCTGGGATCTGTTGTCGGCCAAGAAGAGCATATCCAGGGTGTGCTCAGAAGCATGTGAACTTGGACTATGCTACAGATTGAGTGTAGGGCTAAAAGGAACCGGGCTAATGCTACGCAGGTAACAAAAAGGACAATATCACAGTCATCTATACGCCATGGTCGAACTTGAAGAAGGACGGAAGTATGGCCGTTGGTCAGGTTGGATTCAAGAACAATAAGTTGGTAAGTGTTCATTCAAAGCTGTTTGATTCTCTTGTCATGCAGCATTTGTTCTACCCAAACTGTATGAGTACTGACACCTTTCAGGTGAAACGCATACATGTGGTAGCGCGTGAGAACCCCATCGTCAACCGACTCAACAAGACCAAGGTTGAGAAGTTCCCTGATCTGAGGGAAGAAAAAGAGGTCCGTCTTCGTGAGCTTAGGAAGAAGGATCAGGGCGCGCGGGATGCAAGAGTGAGTCTCCCTTTCCCCATTTCGTCTTTTCATTAGCCCCCCTATCCTATTCTTCTTTCGTGGCCCTGTCTCCATTACTGTCTGACACATTCCGCAGCGCAAGGAGGAAGCACGAATCGCGAAAGAACGCAAGGAGCTTGCCTGGCAGCGAGATCACGCCTACGATGACATCATGTCTGAAGAGAACCTTGCAGCGTCAAGCAACCAGGACCGCGACGAGGACTTCCTTGATGACTTCATGTAGTGCTGTACAAAGGCTTCTTCCTTCAATATCCTTTATAGCATGGGCGCGCGACGGACAGGCGTTCAACGGCGGTTGTGATGGCGTCTCACTAGGTGGGATCTCGCGAGGTCATAGAAGGGATGCAGGTCCCCATACTTTCGTTCAGCATGCGGATGTTGTGATTGAAGGCATCGTAGGCGGTCGTGCGTATCTCGAGGTCTTCACGCTGGCTGTTCTCGTCAGCGCTGGTCAGGATTGGTCTTGCAGCAACAATCCTCACCGAGACTTGCTCCTGGATCTCGTTCGACCACCCCTATCTTGATTCCACCACACCAGCAAGAGATTTCTCAGGACCTTGTGCTCCAATCCATTCTGCTTCGTAGCATACTGCAGAAACTCGAGGGTATTCGCAATCTTCTGCTGATCAAAGTCGCTGGCAGCGCCTTTTCGAAAGGCCGAGCGCAGTCGGTCCCGTAGTGTGAAGCGCGCAGGCTTCGAGTACTGAATGGCTCTCAGCCCCTGACGAAGAACATGTCTGTAGGCGTAAACGACGGCTTCGCTCGACATGATGTTGAAACCATCAAGGCTCAATGCGCTCGAGCGTCGATTGGCTGCTTGCTGATGGCTGACTAAACCATCGCCTCACTTCCGCGCTCACCTGCAACCGACTAGGTTCTCACCACCAACCTCACCCCGCCTGCGCTTTTCTGCAACCGGGCGTGTAGCACACCGTAGACTCGTCTGAATTATTGCCGTCTCCTTGCAGACACATCACACGCTGTGCTAATCACTGACCATCACAGCGCAGCTTCATTCAAACTGTAGACGCCACCTTCAGCGCCCTCGTTCATCACCCCACCTCAGCGCGGTTCATGGCTGTTGTCGTACCCTGTAAAAATGGCAAGGATACATCATGCACGTCCGCTACAACAGCAGGGCACTAGTCGCGCTATGGCGATTGAAAAGAACCGTGCCGCTGTGAAGACGAAGAAGCCGTATAAGATTGTACTCGAGGCCGTCACGCAAGAGAAGAAGAAGTTGCACTCCATCGTCCGTCGCCTCCAGCTACGCCACACACTTTACCACTGACAACCATCTAGCTCACCTATGCTGCAAATGCCCCCAAAGGCTTCGGCTTCGTTCCGGCTGGACACCCAGAAATCACGGAGTGGTGCAAGGAACAGTGTCGCCAACGGAACCTTGACGTGCACGTCGTCTCGGTCAGCATCAGTCAACCCCTAAGTAACGCCTAAACTAACAGTCCTACAGGCCAAGCCAAAGAACAAGACCCACGCAGACCCCGAGAAGCTGTCGCACCACGTCCACCGTATAGGGCATCACTTTCCTCTCGAAATCATACAGCTCGCTTGTAGCAAGTTCGGCTACGAATACAGCGAAGAGGGCGGTCTCCGCAAGACTACAGCTGCTGATCGAGAGAACTGGATACAACAACAAGTGGAAAGCTATTCAACAAGACAGGCACTTCATGGTCGCCCAACCGCTGAGGAAGGCAGTAAAGATCACATCAGCGGTGCTGTCCGTGAGATGTTCCCCAAGATTCCGGAAGCGGATCTGTCGTCGATCGTGAACCATGCTTTCGAAGAGGTAAACACGTATCTTTCATCTTGGTAAGCCGCAATCATACTTACAACGTGACAGGGAACAAACCGCGTAGGCAACGCCAAAGAGCTTCCTCTGGCTCGTCGAGTCCAACTCGCTGTTGTTGCTCACATTCGTCACACGTACACAGACTACGACAAGATGCTCAAGACCGGCTCTTGGATGGAAGCCCGCCAAAAGGTTGAGCACGTCTCTCTAGCCAAGCTCAAAGAGTGGCGGGACGAGACTGGCGAACAGAGCAACGAGATTGAAGATACTTTTCGCGAGGTCATTGTACTCGATGATGAAGATGAGACAAGCGATGGTGACACGCCCGATGAACGAGAACAGAGCATGGAGATTGTGTCCAATCGCGTGATCGCCCAGGACATTCAGCTTGAGAGACATCCCCATTACCCGATCGCCAGCGATCACGAGCGGAGGCGAGGCCACGGACGGACAATTTTCGTACACCCATACCCTCCGCCACCCATGGCCCGTAGGCCTCAGTATCCCGCAACAGTGACACGGACAGGTCGTGCGTACGACGATTCAGCCAGGCCTGAGCCATTTTACGCTGCTCATAGCAGACCACCGATCGACCAGTGAGTACATTCGCTCGGTGACTGACAGACTATGCTTACGTCGACAGGCAATCGAGACCAAACGTGATCCAGCCCAAGTCGAGACCACCGCCTACCTATATGCGTGGTGCCGACGGGCGACTCTTCGAAGTGAGTTTCAGCATATCGTTCTGCTAAAGCTCGACAATAAACGTATCTTTGCACTTTAAAGCGTGCGCTAACCATCGTAGCTCATACCGGTCAATGATACTCCTTCAAGGGTAGGATACGAACAAACCTATCGTTCTGCGGCACCCCCTCGTGTACAAGAGGGCTATGTTCCACTTTCACCTCGTGTTGATGCACACTCTAGCAGGTTTCCCCCTCCGCCATCTCGGCGTATCTCTGACCACGAGACGGTTCTACCTTCAGTAGAGCGTGAGACAGTCGATCTCTTATCTCCACCGCGCACCCTGAATGACCAGGGCCCTAACTCTGATCGTTTTGATCTGCCAAGGGAGTATGATAATGTTCAGTCCTTCAAGCGAAGAGCATACCCTTCAGTACCGCAGCCGATGGATGAGCCTCATGAGCAGGCCAACAAACGGAGGAAACCATCACTACACGAACAAGATTTGTACTCGAGACAGGCTCCGAAGCAGGCTGCTATGCACCCGCATACACAGGAATATCTACCTATGGAACCGCGCAGTCGGCACAGAGCGCAGCCATCACAGGAGACCATTAACCTCACTTGCAGTCCGCGGCGCCCACCTTTTGGAAACGCTGGTGATTTGTACAATGCTACACAGGGCTTTCCAGCCTACGTCCCGGAAACACAATATCGTACTCCTGCAAGGAACGATTGTCATGACCCGTCTGCGGGGCCCAGACCTCCTGCGTATATACCTGAACACGATAGGATGTACGAAAGACGTCTCCAACCAGCACATGAGTATATTCCATTGAGGAGATGATCCATGCGTCTGCATTGTGAACGAAAAGTCGTTCAGTTTCGATAAGGTGGAGAGTCTTGCATATCGGCGCAAGGCAGTATGCACAGTTTCATTGGCGTTTCTCTTTCCGAGCGATACCCCTTTCCTTCGGTTCTTTTTGCATATCAGGCGCTCAACACATCTTTTCCGGGACGTGCTCATCGGCTTGTCACCTACTTTTCGTTCGGAATAAATACATCGTTACGAAGTAATGATCGCATGCTGTAGTGACAACGGTCCTCAGCCTCAGGAGATATGGACGGACTCGGCTACGGTAGACGACATCTCATGCCTGGATTGAAACATTGAGGGATTGGAGCATCGACGAAAATGTCGCATAGTGGTGATAACGTGGTCGGAAATATTTGCAAATTCGAGTAGCGGTCGCAATGAATGCAGGACTCTTCGACAAAACAGCCACGATGACTAAGTTGCACGACCACACTTTTGCTTGTGATCGATCACAACCACTGATGCAGTAGCAGTATTCCGATAGGTACAACGCGGAAGACAGCCTTGTGATCGTTGTCGGGCTGCTCCTGTAGTGGTGGATCGAAGTGACATTTGCGCCGCATACTAGACTCGGCGCTAACAGATAGAGTTAATAAGGTTGATCTCACCACTTCCACGACGTCATAATTATTGTTCGACGCCAAAACGGTCAACACCGAACTGCTAGATCAAAATGCGGCACACACAATTCCCCGTCTTTCGCGGCTCCCTATTGCATCGCAAGCGTCGGTCTTGGCTTCCTTGATTGTACCTCATACCAGCCAACATGCTGTTCCGTTCGCGCAAGAAGAACGATTGGGTTCCTGATGTTGGAGGACCAGCAGCAGATGGCAAACCTTTTGACTCGAACCCTGTACCTGTTGGTTTCTGGCACCCTTCCCTACGAAAAGTGCGGCATCGCGTCTTCCGAGAATGGATTGTCACCACCGCGTTCCTCATGGCTTTCATTCTGGCTGTACTGTCGATTTACTGGGGTGTCTTCTACGAGGTAGAAAACAGACTCGGCCATTTACTCGTATATGTCGTTGACATGGATGGTGCCGCGCCGTACGATGACATTGGAAACGCTCCATTTGTTGGACCTACAATCACTCAACTGGTAGAGAAGCAACTTTCATCTGGCATGCCAACACTCGGCTGGGGGATCCGCCCTGGAAGTGAATTCAACAATGATATTCTGGAGGTGCGCCAGGCGGTCTACAACTGGGATGCTTGGGCTGCGATCATCATCAATCCCAATGCTTCGGCGTTACTGTACCAGGCTGTCGCAACCGGAAACACATCTTACGATCCTCTTGGTGCGTGCCAACTGGTCTACCAGGACTCTCGAGACGACACGAACTGGTACGACTTCATGCTGCCTCTTATCAGCCAGTTCATGACCCAGGCTACGAGCCAGGTCGGTCAACAGTGGGCGCGTATGGCACTGCAAAACGCCAGCGACCCTGCGATATTGGCGAACATTCAATCCGCACCACAAGCCATCAGCCCGGCAATTGGCTTCTCCGAGTTCAACCTCCGACCCTTCTATCCATACACCGGCATTCCCGCTGTATCCATCGGCCTGATCTGTAAGCCTCCGCACCTTCAACATACCTAACAGTTACTGACCACCATGACTAGACCTAATCATCATATCATTCTTCAGCTTCTCCTTCTACCTGCCAATCCACATGACCTACATCAACCCAAAAGGACATCCGCCGCTCAAATTCTACCAAATGATAATTTGGCGCTGGTTCGCCACAATGGGCGCCTACTTCATGCTCTCGCTCGCTTACTCGTTCGTCTCCCTGGCCTTCCAGATAAACTTCACACATACCAATCCAATCACGGGTGAAACACAGGTCACGGATGTCGCCTACGGGAACCCAATTTCGTACAGCCATGGCACGTTTCTGGTGTACTGGATGCTAAATTTCTTCGGCATGATTGCGCTGGGGCTCGCGTGTGAGAACGTCGCAATGGTGGTGGGGGCGCCGTGGATGGGGCTGTTTTTGATATTTTGGGTGATTACGAATGTTTCGACGTCGTTCTACGATATCGAAATTGCGCCTGCGTTCTACCGATGGGGCTATGCGTGGCCGCTGCATTCGGGTAAGTCCTCCTTCCGTCGAGTATTGGCGATGAAGCTGACAAAGTGATAGTTGTCGAAGGTAGTCGCCAGATCTTGTTTGGGTTACACTCGCGCATTGCTCTTGATTTTGGTATCTTGATTGCGTGGGGCGCGGTCAACACGGCGTTCTTCCCTATCTGTTGTTGGGTTATGAGGTGGAAGAAGCAGAAGGGAGTTACGGAGTATTGGGAGAGCTAGAGTGTAAAAGAGCATATTTGACGGTAATTCGGACGTATAATGAGATAGCAGCGTAGATCTTTCAGTAATATGTATACATGTGGGTGTCAGGTGGCTGGCATCGCGAATCATCATGAAAGGCTCTACACCATCAAACCGCGCCAAGACGCGCTACATCGCGCTGTACCATTCACTACCTAGCAGTGCCAGTGTTGCTTACAATTCCAACATGCGCTGCTCGTGTCGTGCCTCTAGATAGTCAAATGCAGTGTCAAAAATTACCCTTCATTACGGAGGCGGGTATCTTTTTGACATGGTCATGATGACGGAGTCAGATCACCGTCATTTCTACAGCTTCGCAAGCCTTCAATATAACCTCTACACACCTTGCACATTGGGATTGATTCGAAAACACCTTAGTCGTACCCAAAGCTTACTAGACCAGACCAACAAGTTCTTCACCAAAGCCACAACCTACGTCAATGTCGTTCCTCAAACGCCCGGTTGCACGCGGTGCACGCATCGCCCCAACTGCGCCCCTCCGTACACTCGCTACCTCGCGGTCACTCTTTGAACAAAGGCTTAAGCGCGGTCCCGACATGGGCTCCAACAAGCCCGACGCATCTGCCAACTCGTCCGTGAATCCCAATACCGACAAGCGCTCGAGCACGCTCAACACCGACCGGCAGTCCAGCGCCTCGAGCGATGAACACGAGAGCGGCGCTAACCACCCAGCAAAGCAGCCTGATCAGCAGGCACAGCCAACGAGGAGTACAGCCATCGGGGGAGGGGAGGAGGGGATGGGAGGAAAGGAGGGGATGGGCGAGATCAGTGAGACGGGTAAGAGGAATCTTGCTGAGCAGTAGGTGAGTGCGACATTTTTGAGAAACAGGCACCTGTTGTCACAGGATTGGAAGAGGAGGATTGTTAGCTTGATATAAGAGCGAACATCAGTACAGATCGGTACATTCCAGTCTCTAAGATAGGGGGTTGTGATGAAATATCAAGCTGAAGTATGTCGAGAGGGCTCAGAGGAGACAGCTCAGAGTTTGGTGTGTTAAAGGGAAAGGAGGATCGGCAGGTGTAAACATGCGCAGACATCGTGCCACTAATATGCCTCGCGTACGGTCCGACGTTCAGGGAATTACAGTGATACAGACGAGCTATGTACGCGCGTTACAAGATGTTCTTGTCGCCATGCTAGCCGAGCAATTGTAGGTTTTGACAATCCGGATACCGAGGAGGAAAGTTGCCCGTTATTTGGAGCATGAGCTTTGTCCAGGTACTCGGCGTGATCGACAGTTTTAGGGAACAATTACCGACGGTTTGCGCGCGCGAGGGGGCAGCGAACGTTACGTTTATCAGTGCATCGCAGCTGGTAGTCAATATGACTCGTGAAGGTTATCCGGAACGCGGCGGCGCACGAAGTATCCAGACTGTCGGTGTGTGACGAGGTGGACCGCATGCTTGCTCCCAAGTAGGGATTCGGCATTACACGATTGATGCTAGATAAGACAACTTCATATTATCGGTCAAGACTGAAAATGGAAGGCCTGACCGAAAATGTTGTTCTGAACAAGAACTTTATCGCTGGACGAAGAGCTCAGGATCAAGGGTCCGGCAGCGATACCGAAGGTGTGAAGTGCAGGGTCAGTGTGCAGGGTAAGTGCGCAGGCTGCGGGGGTAGACACGTTGCTAGACACAACAGGGGTGGTTTTGGAATCGACCATACCGTTCAGGGCTGTCTTGGTGTGGCACGGTTCGCAGAAGATAGATAACGGTGTGGCTGAGACGTAATTCCGGATACTTATGATAAACGCGGTTTGCAGCCGTGATGAAGTCGAATCCACCTTGATATCGACCTGCCGCTGTGAGCTGGCTTGTATTGTAGGTGTTTCTGCATGTTCTGGACTACGCTGTAAGGCTTAATCTGCGCTGCATAAGGGACGGAACATTGGGGAACGGGATGGCTGCCGGGGTCAGTAACGAACGACCCCAGTCGGTATGGTGCATGCAATGCTCTTCAGATCGAAGTGTTGGTGATGTTATCATCGTCGATTGCATGATGCTATTAGGTTGGTTGCGCATACCTACGAAGGTACATGTGCTCCCCGAGTGAAAACAGCCTCGTGTCCCCGAAAAATGCAATTCCGAGAAAGCCCACACATCGCTCTTGTCATGGATTGGCTGTCGATAGCAGACCATCAGACGGGTGGGATGGACACCAGGGGTTAGGCCCAAAAGCAACGGCCGTTGGAGCGGGCTGGGCACGGACTACCTACCGTGTCCGTGCACTCAATGCGCGGATTCAGACAATGCGCCAAACCACTAAAACACCCCATCCATCCTAACTCTACAACAACGCAACGCTATGGGGTTAGAAGAAGCCCTTATAGAGTGTGATACTTTTAAAGATAAAGATTAAATCCTATAGTCTAAAATAGTAGCAAAGCATAGTGTAAGAAGAAGAGTAAGGCTCTTAACCTACAGCATAATTAAGAGTAGTTATTACAGTAGCGCTGTATTCTAGTTTCCTTGTAAAGTAGAGGAAGCTCGCTTACGTGAGCAAGAAAGACAGGAGCAGGAGAAGGCAGAAGAGCTTAAAAAAGCAGAGATAGCTGAATTAAGTCACGCTAATAAGCTATATTAAGAGAAGATTGTAGAGGAGAAGCATGAGCAGCAAGCAAGGGAGAAGGCAGTGAGAGACTAGGCTAAGGCTAAGGAGCAAGCTGCTATTAATGCGCGCAAGGCTAAAAGAGCACATAAGAAGCAAGAGAATAATACTATAAAAACTCTTAAATTATCCTAAAAAGGTAGTAAGCTAGCCTTAAAAGCTTCTACAGTTAAATAGAAGCCTGCGCACTAAGGTGTGGGGGCCTGTAGTCACCTAAAGCCTGCAACGCCTCCTCCTGTGCGCTTAACTGTTACTACACGCAGCAGCTACACTGCCACAAAATACCATTAAATTTGTATGAGCAGCTTTTTCGCACAGATCTATAGATTAATACTCTACAAAATCTCACGATATTATCTATTATTGGTGGCTCTACAGCCTCATTTTTGCAGGTGCCTGTCTTGGTGGTTCGGCGCATTGTCTGAATCCGCGCATTGAGTGCACGGACACGGTGCAGGGCAAGCGCGACTAGTGGGTCTTTCCGCTCTGTCGCACACCTCGGCGTCGAGGTGCAGCGACCTTGGGACCTCGAATTGTGTGTTAGTCCCGGCAGAGTGAAACCTTTCTTGCTTTTACCGTGCGTCCCAGGATCATGAGTAGCATTTCTCGTCCATTGGAATCTCACAGTGCCGCATCAAAATCACGTCAAGGCCGCCACAAGTGAAATATTGAACTGATTTCCTTCCGCGCCTTCTCCACGCTTCACCCCACGTCATAGCTCTCCATATTACGACCAGTAGCTGTGTTCACACAGTCTGGAACGACTGTAGCGAAGCCATAGCTATCGAAGCTCGCACTATCTAGGCGACTGGCTTATTGTTATATTGGGCTTGCTGCTCGTTTGACAGGCCGCCAATGGGCACCGCAGCATAGCACATTTGGCTCTGCGCAATCGCACACAGAAGACGCCATGGCTCCAGGGTAAGCTGAGAAATTCAACCACATGCCGTGTCATACCGGCAATGTATGCGATCATTCAGAATGCAGCTCTAACATATGTGTTCAGCTCGATGAGAGATGCTGTCAAGGCTCTTGACAACACCTTTAGCGCCCCCGACGTACCCTACCCGCTACCTGATGAGCTCTGCGTAACCATCCAGGCCTTCCTCGATCGCTACGATGACATCGACGATCACGACTCACAGCGGTTCCACGAGGATCTCCACTCGCTATACCAACGGCATGTCGCGGACAATACGGCTAAACACGGCGCATTCCTTTCAGCTTTGCGATTCGTACGGCCAGCTCTGACTGGCGAGACGAGGTTGACCATTTGGTGGAACTTGGTTTTGAAGCCCAAGATAGATGGGATAGGACACAAAAGACAAGAGATCGAAGATGCAAGAGAGATCGTGCAGAGCATGTTGGTATATGATGCTGAAGAGGATCAAACAGGAGAACATGCACGTCTGTCGAAGCTGTTCACGAGAAAAATCCTGGATGCATATCTCATCCGGACTGATGTCTCAGTAGTTCCTGAGAACGCTGTGTCGCCGGAGAACGAGTTCATTGCTAATGAGCTCGAGAGTGTTCTCATTACATTCGGGAGAAGGATGCCCAAGGTATGTCTCCTGTCTGTGCACTTAAGAAAGTAGTTGACTGACGGCAACAGCTGCTTCTCTTTGCTCTCGATGAGCTCTTCGTACAAAAGCAATACCGATTGCAAGCACTAGGTCTTCTGAGCGCTTTCGTGCGCCTGCAACCTCCGCATCTGCACCTCGTACTCGAAACTCCTCTCTTACAGCACTTAGAGAAGTGTCTACTCATCGACACATCCACTGTAGTTATGGAACTTGCTCTTGTGGTGCTGATTATGCTCCTGCCTCACATATGTGGATCTTTAACTTCCGATCATCATCTCCCGAAGCTGTTCTTGATCTACACAAGGATTCTTTGCTCCGATAAGCTGAGCAGATCTGAAGATCAAAACGCGGAGAGAGACCAGGACGAGAGAAGGTATGAGGATAGCGAAGAAGAGGGGGAAGCGAGCCCAGACCATGATCAAGCATGGGAGCAACTGCAGCCTGCAGAAGGGGAAGAGGGAGGTTCACCAACCCTTATGCACTACTTTACGTTCCTCTACGGGCTGTTTCCGCTGAACTTCATGAGCTTCATCAAGAAGCCTAGGAAGTATCTGAAGTCGCTCAACTTCCCAGGTGCGAGAGACTTCGATCTTGATCAGCAACTCATCCATGGCCGAACCGAGCCCTACCGGACTGTCCATTTGTTGCACCCGAACATGTTTACAACCACCATCGAAGAGGAGCTCAGCGAGAACAGATGGCTCAAGAGTGATCCTGCAGACGTCGTCACCGAATGCATGGATCTTTGTGTTGCAGTCTCAGCATCCTTGGAAGACCCTGGACCGCCTCCCACGACCAGGCTTCCACCTGTCCCACCTCTACCCGAAGTTCCAGCAGAGTTCGCCCTAGATGAGACTAGAAACGACTCTGAAGTGAGCTGGAGAAACACTCAATCTACGATGTTTATTTCTCCAAGCGACGCACCCGATGTTGCAGAAACTGCCGACATGCCGCTCAGGTCAAAGTCAGTCGCATCTGCGCAGTCATTCAAGTCGGCATCGCCTCTGTTGAAGACCCACGATACAATGGATTCGCCAACTTTGCCACCAGCAAAGGAGTTATTGAAACAGAACCTGCTTGGCACCACGACCGTATCATCGCAGCGACGAGTCAATCCCCAGCCAAGCTTGGACAGCTTTGCTCGATCGACTGCCGGCACTCTCTCGCCTCCACACCAGCATTTTGACTTTCACGGTCAGACGATGTCGTCATTGCAGCGCGAGATCATGCTTCTTCGAAACGATCTAAATTTCGAACGCTACTTGAAGCTTCAACACCTTTCGCACATTGGGCAGCTGCAGCGAAAGCACATCCGCGAGGCTGCAGCAGAGGCTGATACTCAAAATTTAATCAACACGAACAAGACGCTGAAGGCTAGGCTGACAAAAGCGAATGAGCTTTATAACCAGCTCAAAAAAGAAACACTTCAAAGCCGCAACCAGAGCAAAAAGTGGGAGAATGATCTCAATTCCAAGGTCCGGGTATATAGAGACAGCGAGAAGACATGGCATAGTGAAGAAGAGAGTCTGCGATACGAGCTTCAGAGAACACAGTCTGACTACGAGCATCTCAAGAAAATCGTTGAGAAGGCAGAAGCTGAGCAGCTGAGGGCTGAACAACGCACAAGAGCTCTCGAGTACGAGCTGGAGGACTATAGCACCATACGCAACGAGCTCGAAACTGCACAGCAGAAAGTCTTGGAGTACGAAGAGCAGGCTCAAGGTCTACATAGTCTGGTTCAGGAGCGCAACGACTTGCGCAACGACCTCGAGATTGCAAATATGCGTCTGAACAGTCGCGAAGCTGAGCGTGAACGTTCTATCTCAGCCTACGAACGGCGCATCATGACACTAGAGCATCAACTACAGGTAACTGAGATGTCAGCGGGGCCTCCAGGACAGTTGCCTGCTTCGGTTCAGCAAATGCTCGATTCGGCTCTCGCAGCAAGCCAGGCCAAGCTGCAATCTTTGAAGAGAGCGCATCAGAATTTGTCGGCACAGCATACTGAACTGCAGTTGAAGTACCAAGATCTCGAGGCGGAGCACCATGCTACATTGGGCCGATTCGACGTTCACGAGAAGACAGGACACCACGAGTATGCTCAGTCGCAGCTCAGTCGCAACTCGAGCCTGCGCGAAGGAAACCATTATGGCGTACGGCACCTGCCTCCAACATCGACAGAGCCTTCGATCGACGAAGAGCGCGAGTACTTCTCAAATATCCACTCCCCAACCAGTCCAACCTCTGCTATCTTACCAGCAGCACAACGACCAGCTCGGCTGGACTCTATGCCCAGTCACGGAAGCCAACGATCGCAGCGGTCACCTCCAGGCCCCTCGATGTACCCTGCCTTCGGTGGCGCCCTGCACCCTGATCTGTACGAGCCGCAAGCTCTAGCGAGAATTAACCCTGCGGTCCAGTCAAGCGCCAAAAGTAGCTTCTCTGTTGAAACAGAGGGCAGTGGTGGTAAGGCCGATAAGGATAAGGTGGAGGCGAAGTCTGAGGTCAGGGTGTATGGTCGTGGTAAGTGGCGTTCGGTTGTATGAATGCGATACAAGAGGCTGACACAAAACAGGTGGCGCACAGAATATCGGAAAGAAGGTCAAAGATAAGGAGCAAAAGAAAGCATCCTCAGCTAAGACGGGAGGTTTCCGTGGTCTTAGAGGAATCATGTGAGGCAAGATTGTTGCAGGAGTTGCTCCCTTCCAACGTGTCATGAATCTTTCACGCATTATTGGCTGACCGAGAAGTGGCAACCACGAGGCACGAGAGCAATGTCAGCGCACCTGGGCAGACTAGGCCTGCTGCCACTTTTGCTTAGTGTTACGAAGAGCATGTAGTCAATCATATTGTGTAGTACTAATTATCATTTCGAGATCGAATCTCCCTCGCCACGCGCCGAATAAGTCAACAATCAAGAACCAGCCACGTTTGCCCTGCGTCCTATCTGACCCATCCGTACTTGCTGCACGAACCACCAGAATCTGGCGTCCCTTATCTTTCCTCATCCATACTGCTCGACAGTCCCAGGCCGAGTGATGCTGAGAATACTCACCTTGGACTCAGTCTTGGGTTGTTTCTCTTTGCAGACGTTTCTTGAAACCGCAAAGCTTTTCATTCTCATCCCTGACCAGTGACACTTGCTTAGTGAGAGCCGGGCTCTATGCTTCCGGTAAGTTATCGACCAGACCACGTCCATGTCACTTCGATTCTCGGTCTTCAGCGCCGTGATCTTGACTCGAAGCGTCATGTGTTCTCACTTTAGATGTTGTTCTTCCTCTTTCAGACTGGCGAGCTGGGCCCTGGGTTTTTAAACCGTATAGTCTGACTTGCACTCGCTGTAAGCGTGTTGTCGCGGTACTTTATCGCACTAGGTAAGCTGAGCTTCTGCGTTCTTCTTGCTGGCTTTGGCCTTTTGTAGGGCTGTGCGTAACTGTGCGAGCTTATTCTCTTTTGTTATCATCACTTTCGTAGAGGCTTTGAGACACTTATAGGATTTGAGAAAGCGCTGCAGATCTTCAGCATCCTGGCGTCATCATTGTAAGACTCGAGAGATGAAAGTCGCAGACACCTCCAAGTTCAAGTACCTGTTCAGTGCCCATTGCCCATCTTCCGCATGCGCTTCTTATTGTTATTAAACTTGTCCAGAAGCTTCTTGTGCTTTGCCTCCATGTCTAAGAGCAAGACTAAAAGCAAATTCTTATCGGATACCGCGTATTGTTTCTCATACTCGAGAGCAGTAGCTTTATTCTGGATCTCCATTTGCTTCGCTTCCTCAGTAGATTGTATCCGTTGCTTCTCGGCTTCCAGACCGCTGACTTTGAGTTGTAGAACCATCCTTATATCCATCACCATTTCCCATTATGCTATCTTGTTAGATATCCGTCCTTTCGCCTCAGCGAAGTTCATGCCTGTCATCTTTTCCTTGACCTTTGATTATTCGAGCGCGATCTTGAGCTGGGAGATCTCATTGTCATCAACTTTCGATGCCGCATTGAGACACTCATACGACTAATGAAAGCGCGCGAGGTCCTCATCGTCCTTGCCATGTTAGCTCTGATAATGTCTGTCTCGATTGTACCGAGCTCACAGAGGCTTCTAAGGCGACGTCACTGGCTGGTCGCTTGGATGGCTTGTTTATGTTGTCGGTCCTGGTGTACTATTGAACGTAAGTTCTTGATGAGATTTTCCGCACAAGGCCAGAGCTGCAAAGTTGATCGTCGCGTTCGCTGAAGAGGTTGAGTAGTACTGGGGCAAGACGCGGTATTTGTGTCTAGTCATTCAAACGCTAATGAGCTCGATAAGTTCACATAAAGGTGGGAATTGAAGCCAGCATAGAGCCGATGAAGGGAGCCACAACGATGTCGCCGCTCACTGGCAACTAGTGGCCTGTCCTTTCCCTCTTTTCAATTTCAAAGTCTTTGACAAGTAGGGTCTTCTGTCGAATACGATCAGACTACACAGGTGACAGTGCCCATCTTAAATTGCTTATCCACCATCTAAAAGTCGTGAAGACGTTGCAAGCTGCGAGCAATGCTGGTGGAAACCGCTAACGAATAGTGTAGCAAGCACCTGCCGAGTGCGCAAGGGAAGTCGACAGCACCTCCGCTCGCCAAGAGCGGAGCTTGCCCAATTAGCGCTCGCGTCAAACTGAGATCCCTACCGGCGGAAATGGTGCTGTAAGACCTCGAGATGTCACAAAGGCAACAGTCAGTCACAAGAAAGAGCGGCGCGTAGCAGTATCAAGCCTGTGTGGGGGCGCTTCGTCGTCATACACGCACTGCAGGCTGTCGCTGTCTCACGACATGCAAGTACTGGAGTCAGACCTAACATAACTGCAGGCTTGTGATGAAGTCGCGGGTGGAAGACGAGATTACACGGGAGCACCTGCCGCCATAAAATCGAGCTTGCCGCCTTTCGAGCGCAGTTGCATGTTCTTCGCGCTCCTCGCCACTTCCACCACTGTGTTCACTCGTTTCAATAGTGTCCAGCGCGTCTTTCGCTCGTTTGTTTGTTAGTGGCGCTCCGCGGCTCATCCTATCCGTCGCCTGCTGTGGGTTCCCTGCTGCGCAGTGCACTAGCAGTGTTGACGATAGTAATTATTACAAAAGTGTGGAGCTGCCCGCCGCTTACTTCCTCGCACGGAAGCTCGCCCACTCGTTCTCTGCATTGTGTACGCGTAGGCGATCTACGTTGTCGCAATCATGCCTTCGGTACGTGTTGTGGTTCTCTACCAAATATCAACCCCCGGTCGGCGGTTCTGTGGATACTAACGCTGACAGCTCATTCGCTCGCTCGCTCTCGTTCCCGCTCTGCTCTCGAGCATCGCCTACGCCGTCAACCCCGTCGAGGTCCGCGGCCAGGACTTCGTCGATACCGTTACTGGCAAGCGGTTGATGATCGTTGGTGTCGACTACCAGCCTGGAGGACAAGCCGGATACAAGCCCTCGGCCAAGCAGGATGCCCTCACAAACGCGGATGTGTGCCTCCGTGACGCGGTTGTCATGCAGAAGCTGGGCGTACGTGCAATGGGTAACTTGGACTACAATCGCTGACCGTCGCAGGTGAACACGATCCGTGTCTACAACGTTGATCCTACCCTCGACCACTCCAAGTGCATGTCCATTTTCAATGCCGCCGGTATTTACCTCATCCTGGATGTTAACTCGCCTCTCTCTGGTGAGAGCATCAACCGCGCCGAGCCATGGACCTCCTACCACAAGGACTACCTCACACGCATCTTCGGTGTTGTCGAGAACTTCAAGGCCTTTCCCAACACCCTTGCCTTCTTCGCCGCGAACGAGGTTATGAACGACCTTCTCACGGCCGAGTTCAACCCTATGTACATCCGAGCCGTCCAACGCGACTTAAAGAACTACATCAAGAACCATGTCGACAGAGCTATTCCTGTTGGCTACTCTGCCGCTGATGTGCGTGAGATTCTGCGCGACACTTGGGCCTACATGCAGTGCTCTCACGATGACGACCAGTCTTCGTCTGATTTCTTCGGCCTCAACTCGTACAGTTGGTGCGGTGAGGGTGATATGCAGACCTCCGGTTACACTGATCTGGTCAACATGTTCCAGAACTCTGCTGTCCCTGTCTTCGTGAGTTCAATTCGAAGCCTTGCAGGGCCCTGCTAACGTGCTTTTCAGTACTCCGAGTACGGCTGCAACAAGGTTGAGCCCCGTGTCTTCACCGAGGTGGGAGCTCTCTACGGCAGTCAGATGACCTCTCTCAGCGGTGGTCTGGTCTACGAGTACTCGCAGGAAGAGGCTGACTACGGTCTTGTTGTGATCAACGAGAATGGCACTCTATCTCTTCGCGAAGATTTCGACAACCTTCAGGACCAGTTTAACAAGCTGGACCTCAGCCTCATCCAGTCGACAAACGCATCAAGCACCAACATCCAGCCCCCTGAGTGCAGTATGGACCTGATCACAGCTGAAGAGTTTAGCACAAACTTCACTATACCAGCCGTTTGCCCTGGATGCGCCGACATCATCAAGAACGGCATCAGCAACCCTCAGAATGGAAAACTGGTTGATGTGACCGACACCAAGCCTAAGCAGACTGTCTACGGCTCCAACGGCAACGAGGTTCAGAACTTGGAGCTTACCAAGCTGACCGAAGCCAACACACCTGGCAACTCAAGCCTGAGCTCAGGGAACACAGGAACTTCTACCGGCACTGCAGCCACGCCATCAGCGTCAAAGACTGGTTCTGCTAGTAGTATGTCGATGGCTGGCTGGTGCAGTATGATTGCTCTTGGCTCCCTGCTGACTGCTATGCTCAACTAGGTAACGCTACTACTCTGGCATCGACCTCAACCCCGACAGCAAAGGGTGGGGCGTCGACCATCGGCAGTACTGAGCCATTGTGGTTTTCACTAGTGGCGATTTGGTTTCTTGGGATTTGAGATAAATAGGACAACGGCGCGATGCATCACCACAAAGCGACAATGGTATGTTCAAGCTTTTTCACTTCGCATACAGTAAGATGAGATAGAGGCTATCTGGAGCCGGGATTGGTGTACCTTCTTTCGTGTATATGGCTGGACGATGTTGATCCCTTCTTGCAGCCTGTCCCTGTGGGTCGGCTCTTCACTTCTTCGACGATAGCTTTCACGTCAAATAATGCAGTCAAACACTTGATCTCGATCGTTACTGGTATCTGAACCATACCGGAATTTCAAGTAAAGGCATGCCGTTTTTGGCGCTGCACGCCGCAACAAAAGACTGAAGTGAAGGTGGCTTGACGAGCCTTGTAATTTCTTCCCATCTCTCTCCACTTCAACAGAACCACACCCAACGCAATGCCGCCGTCACTTTCATGACATGATTATGGTTGCAACTCGTCAGTCTCGAGAGAACGTAGGAAGCTGAATAACCAGGCGCTTCGCGCTCACGCGCAGTATGCGTCATCGACTACCTTGCGAAATCTGGGACACGATCTACGACGAACTTCTTCTCGGTAAGGCCCTAGAAGACATGCTCAAGTCCATATACATCACACCTTCGCTTGTCCGAACATTGCCTTTCTGCGCCAACTCAAACATAAGAAGTCTACGCTTCTAAGTATCGGGATCGATTGGGCGCGACATCATTTACGAGGTTGTCGTGCGCAACTACAATACGGAAAAATACACTCCCCCGGCTCTTCTAGAACACTGCGATATGTTCCTTCGTCATTTATACGGCGCCAGCGTTGTAGGCGTGGATATCGCCCTGCCACATCTGGAGATTCAATACTGCATGCCGCCTCACTGGTTCGGACTCATGGGGTTCTCAACTCCTGGTCTCAACGTCTTCAACGCACTTATAGACCACAAACTCAAAAGGCAGGATAGTGAGCGGTTCACACTTCGCGTCAATGTGCAGATTCATGCCTTGTGGCCTGGAGTGCTGCGCGCGAGCGTTTACAAAGCGCACGAAGGCACCAAAGGACTTGCTCCAACGGGTTGGAGAACGAGGCGCGAGGACAAAGCTCATGTTGGGCAGCATCTTACCGGATAGAAGCGTCCTAAAAAATTGACTTCAAGGGGCATGTCAAGATGTCGCAGCCAAAAAGGAGGCAAAATGTACACACATTAGTACCCCAAATTTGGCATGCTAAGTAGGCCAATTCTACCCGCAACACAAGAGTCTCGAAGTTACAAGTGGATCTGAGGGAGAAGAGGTTTTGAGAGCGAACAAAACTGGTCTGTGGAGTAGCTCGATCAAAACTGATCTGTGGAGTAGCGCGATCAAAACTGATCTGTGGAGTGGCTCGATAGATAACGCCAAGGCCTACAAAAGAAAAGCAAGAGGGAGAAACTAGCTCGAAACCGATAATGATTACCAACGATTGGCTCATGTTGGAATGAATGGAACCGGAGATAGGAGGAGGAGAACTGCTTTGAAGCATTAGTATGCGTTGTCGTATGGCTTTATTACGAAAACAGTGAGTAGTGGCTACTGTGGACAACTAGGAGCAGTACGTAATCGTTGACTTAAAGCCATCTACTCAACAGAGGAAGCAATGCTCCAAGAGTTCACTACTGAATGAACATATCTCAAGCCTAGAAGACGAATGATGTTGGCGATGCAGATGCGGTCGCTGCGGCGTCCGCAGCTGTCGTCGAAGCAGCTGGCTGTTCGCCTCCAGCAGTTGAAGTCTCCGCATGTGCCGCAGCACTATCAGCTGCTGTAGTCTCGGCAGGCACAGCAATGCTCCCCGCAGCAGATGTCTCCACGGCTGGTGGCTCGCTCATAGCAGTAGTTGTCCCAACCGGTGCTTCGGCTGGTGGTGCCTCAGCAGCGGGCGGTGCAGCAGGCGGCGCGCCTCCAGCAGCGTCCTCAGGAGGAGCAGGTATGAAGGCAGCCTGGTCCAGAGCGAGCTTTCCTACTGTACCGCCGACGGGCTCACCGCCATCTGTGCTCTTTTCCGTTGCTTGGGAAATTTTGGCATATTCTGCTACTTGTCGCGCATTTGCACTGTGATATTGTTAGGCCCTGGGTACTTGATGGTGTGATGAAAACCTACGGGTTGATGACCATGACTTGTCCCCTTTGACAATGTGGTCCGGTGGCGCAGTACAAGAACATAGGACCAGTGCTTGTAACAGGCATGTTGAACGTGCCAACTTCTGTTTGGCCGTCCTTGAAAGGGATGTGTCCGCTGTGCACACCTGCTTCCATTGGCGTGCATGCTTGATCAACAGTCGACTGGGTGACAGTGTGATTGCCGTTGCTGAACTGGAATTGGACAATATCGCCGACAGCGGCGATGACTGAGTTGGGGACAAAGGTATCTTGAGTGCCACCGACAACTACGGAAATGACTTGGTTGGTACGGCGAACGTGTGGCTTGAGCGCAGGGAAAGCAAAAGTCGTAACAGCAAGGGTAAGGATAATGCTGATGGACTTCATGATGCCGAGTCTCGTTGACCGTAAAGGTACTAACAAAGGGACTAATTAGGCTGAAAAGCTGGTGGGTATCTGAAGTGCGATTGAGGAGCGAGTACCGTTCAACAGTTGACTCGGAAAATAAAAGATTAGAAGACCGCTCGCGGCTGGTGACCCAAAAGAGTGACAGAAGAGAAGAGAAGCACGTGTTGCTTTGATGTAATTGAGGCCTTGATGGCGTGGGCCAGTGCCTTTATGCCTCGACTGCTGGCCGCGGAATACTCCCAGAAGCCTGATACAGACAGTCGCCCCTCCCATCATCTCTTTTGTTGCGCCAATCCACCTCTTTGTAGACTTCGTAATACTCAAACAGGGACAAGGCTTGAGGTGCGCGGCAGCGAACCTATGTGACTGTGCTTGGTGGACTACGCATCTGTCACGTTGTTATAGCCAAGATGTTATGCAGTCTCACATTGCTCAATCCACTGTCGACGTGTTTGACAGGCTTGCCGCCAGGCACCGGTCTAGAAACAAATGCGTACATTGCTGTTTGAGCTCTGCCAAGTTGGGTGGGTCCGGTCTACGGCCGAGCTGTATGATCGCTGTCTGGAAACACTGCATGCCTGGCGTAGACCACATGCTGCCTGGCGAGTTGACAAATGCCGAATGAACCGACTTGGTCGTTCATGTGAACGCAAGCATCTTACGAATACTCTTTTGATGATGATGATTATAGGCGGCGCGGTAGATCTCGGTGTTGCACGCAAGGGAAGTTGATGACAGCGACGACGAATAACATGCGCGAGCTGCGTGTCAAGCAACAAACGCGATGTACAAAAAACGTGATAGTAATTTACGAAGCAGTCCTTGATAGAGTAGAGGACTGCAATAGAATTCGATGCTGAGAGGTGGTGAAACGTCTTGGGTTCGTGAGTGGCCCAAGAAGGCAAGGCAGCGCTACCTAGCATCGGCTGAAGATCGGCTCTCGGCTGCCAATGATGCAGGAACGCGAGAATCCAATGGACGTCACAGCCCTCGACATGCGAAGAACGACAGCACTGTTGTTTGCCGCGTCGAGATGCGCGAGGTTCCATACTTCGCGTAGGCTCTCCTCAGTGCCGATTGTGAAGATCACCAATGGCACTTTTTACCGCCGACATCCTGAATCGAGGCCAGCTCCAGGCCAGGACGCGCCTTCGAATCTGCCGTTGTTTCCAGGGCTGAGCCTGTCACTGCCGTCCTTTTCGACGCCAAACCAACATTGGGCCATCTTGAGTCCGTCATCAAACATCCGTACTGCTTTCCTCCAGCTTCTTCGAGGCAAATTTCTGTGCTTCCCACCAACAGCCCGGACATACCCGTACCTTCTATCCCTGGAATTGTCAGATAAGGCCCCTAGGTTACGGTATCCGGACCAAGCCATTGAACATGTTGGCTTCGATGTTGAGCGCAAGGCTTTTGGCGGCGCGTATCTCTCTGCTCGCTACGAGAGTCTGAAAGAGGAGGGCGATTTCACGCTGAAGCGGTACTTGACCGGCATCGTCACCTTAAATCCTGGTGAGGAAGAGCTGAAAGCGAAGGCTGTTGACGAAGAAGTCATAAGACGTGTTATGAAAGACCTCGAGCTCGAGAAGTTCTTGGACAAGCCCGTCAATATGCTCAGCAATGGACAGAGTCGCCGAGCAAGGATTGGCAAGGCGCTTTTGACGAAACCTGAGGTTCTCTGCTTGGATGCTCCTTTTAGTGAGTCTCATCAATGAACATTTCGAAGCTCTACGCTAACACATGATAAGTCGGCCTAGACCCAATCGTGACTCAGCACATCTCTCGAGTGTTGCATCGTCTTGCTGAGGCGAACTCTCCTAGAATTGTACTGTCGCTACGACCACAAGATGCGATACCAGACTGGATCACGCATATCGTCTACGCTGGTGAAGACGGGAAAGTCGACTCACTCGGGCCAAAGGAAGAGGTCTTTCAGTATCTGAAGCAACAGTACGATGATGCTGAGAAGTCTTTACAGTCCAGCTCATCAAGATATGAGCTAGATGCTAAGCTCGTAGAGCTGCGCGAAGTGGGCCGCCATTTGTCCGAGCGAGGCGACTTCGAGTCACACGGCTCTGATGCTTCCGGGCTCTTCGGCGCCTTGAGTCGCGACGGCTACAAGAGGGTTGAAGATACCCAGGTGCCGATCGGCGAGCCTGTCGTCGAAATGCAGGGCGTAAACATCAAATACGGGGCCAATTCGGTACTTGGAGGGTGGCAACAGAATATCAATGGTGAAGAAAAGGACGGACTCTACTGGGACGTCCATCGCGGCCAACGCTGGGGCATCTTCGGTGCGAATGGTTCAGGAAAGACTACACTTATTAGTCTTGTCACGTCCGATCACCCACAGACGTACTCAGCGCCAGTTAGGCTTTTCCAGCGATCGCGCCTGCCGGAGCCCGGCAAGCCAGGAATTACGATTTTCGAGGTGCAGGCGCGTATGGGCCACGCTTCTCCCGAAGTTCATGCGCTCTTCCCAAAGCGCCTGACTATTCGTCGCGCACTCGAATCTGCTTGGAGCGGGACCCCAGTCACCAAAGCCCGCCTGGATGATGATGCAACGAAACGCGTTGAAGCATGTCTACGCTGGTTTGAGCCTGAGCTCAGCCCCTTGCTCAAAGATGGCAAGGTTTCGCATGGCAACTTGGACTGGGCATCTAATGTATTGTTCAGCGAGAGCTCCTACTCGGCACAACGCGTTCTCCTCTTCCTGCGCGCTACAATCCGCAACCCCGACATCGTCATTCTCGACGAAGCATTCAGCGGTATGGACGATCTCGCCAGGGACAAGTGTCTCTTATTCCTCAGCCGCGGTGATTCGATGGAGCTACATTACACAAATACAGGTCACAGACCCGTGGAGACAGGCAAAGCTGTAGTCGTGCCGGGTCTGCAGGACCATCAAGCACTACTATGTATCAGTCATAGCAGACAGGAAGTGCCTGGGTGCGTAAGAGACTGGATATGCCTGCCAGAACCTGGCACTGGACCGCCGAGATCTGGCAAGTTTGATGGGCCTGTTGAGATGAGCAAGGAGAGGTGGAACGAGATATGGAGTTGGTCGTAGAGATATAGTGAAGAGAACGTACAATTATAATAAATTTTTGCTCATAGTAAACAGTCGAACAGCTCGCGCACTGCAGCCTTCCATACATCGATTTCCAATATTCGAGTCACGATGCATCCGCGGTAGCTCTTGCATATATTGCGAGTCAACAGACCCTGAACCCAACAGCTGTCCAAATATAGGTTCGATCCTGCATCTCGATGAGCACTATTGGTTGCCGTCCTCACATCTACTGGTACGCGGGGAACGAAACCATGGATGATAACTCGCGAACCAGCATATTTCAATCGTGAAAGCTTTTAAACGCAGACTGAACCTCCGCCGTCCTAATTCCACCACACATCACATTCCAACCCATTGCAAGCCTAACAGCACTTCGTAGGATGTCAAACTCAACTACAGCCTCGCTCGTGCAGATGACGCCACTTGGGCAACTATTCGTCTCTACTATCTGCCAAACCTACTCATGGTATCGACAGAAGATTGCAACGTCTGATCCCTCAGCAATATTCACCCCCAGCGCTCTCATGCCTGCCCCCGAGACGACTGTCATCGAGGTTATCCACACGGATGAGAAAGGGATGCACACTACCGTGCAAGAAGTCCCGCTCACGCCGGTGATCCGCCATGCCATACCGCCTACGCACTTGAACATCGTGCTGCCTACTCACCTGGCTCCTGTACCGCCTACGCACCTGATGCAGGCTCGGAATGAGCAATCGTTCAAGCAGTCATCCGAGCAGGTGCACACGCAGGAGCAAGAGCAGGACCTAACAACCCTCATCGGCACACGCACTTCTTCTCCTTCCCAGACCGCCGCGCCTCCAACGCCCGTAGAGATGACCTCGACCACGACAGCCCTCCCGCCATCCTTCACGACCGTGACAAAGACCTACCCCCACCTCCTCGATACCACATCGGCATCCACAGCCTACGTCGACGTGTGGCCGCAGGTCGGCTTCGTGCCGAGCGAGTTTGATGTGCCGCAGCTGTGGCGCGAGACGTTCGAGATGAAGGCGCAACACCAGCAGTACATTGCTCTGGGCGCTGTTTGCTCTGTCTTTGTGGCTGGCGTGGTTGGCGTGCTGGCGGCGGGGTGCTTGAAGTGCTGGCTTGATGGGAGGAGCGGGCGCAGGGAGAAAGTGGTGGAAATGGAGCATGGGTGGGAGTGGTTCTAGGCGAGGATGTAGGGCGGGGATGTGGGAAGGGGTTTGAGGAGGGAAGGAGGGTGGATGGTGAGTTGTGAATGACGGTAATGAAAAATGGATAAGTTAACGGGTAACTAATCAAAATGAGAATCAATGGAACAGTAAGCAGCGCAAGTGGACATTGGGATAATGGGAGAGGCGAGAAGAAACGGTATCTAGACTCTCAGATAAATTGAGAGGATGCGTGAACGTGTTGTGGCATTTCAAGACTTATTTTGTTGACTGCAGCACAATGTTGTCAATCAACCGTACAGGGACCTGACCGCCCCCTAGACCCAAATCTTCTCCTTCTTGAGGCTCCTCGACAGGCATCATCTTGACCGCGCCACTTAGAATGGCACCCCTTATCTCGTCAACCTTGTCCACTTCCTCCATGGTGTCCGGATCTGCGAGACTGAGGTAGTCGACCTGGAACAGCGCGCGCCTGCTGGGCTGCAGGTTCTCCTGCTCGTGCTGAACGCGGTCTCCGTGGTCGACTGCGGGCCAGAGAATATCTCCTCGTAACCGCTTGCCAGCGTTGTACTGTGCTTCGGCCTTGCGCAGAGCTTGGTTCAGGACGATGCCTACATTGCGTCGGCGCTCACCGAGGTATACGTTGCGCGACGACAGGGCCAGGCCGTCTGCCTCTCGCGACGTCTCGCATATGCGGACCTTGGTGTTTAGATGAAAGTCCTTGACCAGCTTCTTGATGACGACCGTCTGCTGGGCGTCCTTCTGACCAAAGTAGACGACATCTGGTTCGCAGATGTTGAACAGCTTCATGCAGACCGTCGAGACGCCGCGGAAGAAGACCGGTCTCGAGGTCCCCTCCAGCAGCTGGCCAAGCGGCCGCATCTCAATAAAGCTCCCCACGCCCGGTATGCTGCTGTCCGGCGGTGATGTGGGGTACATGGTGTTGGTGTTGGGTGCGAAGACAGCGGACACGCGGCCCTTGCCCTCGCGCGCTAGTTGCCGGTCGAGGTCGCGCAGCATCTGCATATCCGTTTCCCATGTCTTGGGGTAGGAGGCTAGGTCCTCGTTCAGTCCGAACTGAGTTGGGTTCACGTAGACGGTCACCCAGACGTCTGTGTTCTCTTCTGCTGCCTTTCTCACCAGTGAAATATGGCCCTCATGCAGGGCACCCATAGTTGGGACGAGACCCACGGTGCGGTTGTTGAGCAAGAGTTCGCGGCGAAACTTGCGCAGGGGCGCGACATGGTGGAAGACTTGCGTCAGGTCGTTGACGGCGAACGCGCTGCGGCGGGGCGCGGTCGAGGATAGGTAGCGGATGCCATTGTGGACAAAGGAAGCTTGTGGGGCGGGGGTGAAGCTTCTCAGTAGGCACCTGCGCGCTATAGGAACTACGCAATGTTAGTCTGGCGACCGTATAACGGATGTTGGCGGATGCACATGCCAGCTGCTGAGCGGAGGTGAGCCATGAGGAGTGATGCAGGCAACTCTTGCCTGACTACGAGTTCAGGTTGTAAAGTCGTGGCAGTCGCGCAGTAAGGCTTGCCCTTTGTCGGCAGATGAGTGGAGGAAGTCTGACTGAGCCATCTCCGCAATGGACTCCTCCAGCGCAAAGACATCTCTGTTCTGCTGCGGTGGTGCTGTCACGGTCACGTGCCGTCCGAGCCGCGGCTGAGGGTCTATAACTCTGGTTTCTTAGCGCGGAGACCCACCTAAAAGTCAATGGAAAAGTGAATGCGCCGACTAGACCCACACCGTACAACACCGCAAAGAACAAGCAAACATGGCCGACGATGGCATGCTCCTCAACTTCTCCATACCGGAGGGTGGTATCATCGCGAAACCTAGCATAAAAGGCGGCTCGTGGAAAACTCGCCTCACCGCGAAGAAAGCGGCGCAGAACTGGCACACCAAGGCTACAGCAAGACTCAACGGCGAGGTGGTGCCTAAGAAAGTACAGGAGAGCAAGGGCACAGATGTGAACCGCACAGAGCTGGGATCGCGGACAAGACGAGTGTCGAAGAGTCCAGAGCCTACAAATCATGGCGAACGGCCCGTGAAGAGGGCGCGTGTGAGCGGAGACTTCAAGCTGAGAGACTCAGAGAAGCCCACACAGAGCGATTTCAGACCGCAGGCGAAGACTAGCGCACCAAAGCAGTTCCAGGAGAGGTACGAGGCGCCGAAGAAGGGCAACAAGCAGGTCATCTCGTCGCTGTTCACCTACAACCCCACCTCGACGACCAAATCACAACCCGCCGAGCGAACCACACACGACGATGCGCCAATCGAGCCCTCGAATGCGCCACTTAGCAGCGAGATGGAGACGTTTACCTCGCTCGGCATATCACCGACACTGGCAACGCACATGCTGAACAAGATGGGCATGAAGGCACCGACTGCTATTCAGAAGGCTGCAATCGCACAGCTGGTCAAGGACGACTCAGACGCATTCATCCAAGCCGAGACTGGTTCTGGAAAGACGTTAGCATATCTGCTGCCCATCGTACAAAGATTGATGGAGCTGTCGGCGAACATGAAGAAGCGGAAGGACACTGGCGATGAAGCTGTGCAGAGAAGCTCGGGGCTGTTCGCTGTGATCCTGGCGCCGACTCGAGAACTGAGCAAGCAGATTGCACTCGTGCTTGAGAAGTTGTTAGGATGCGCGCACTGGCTCGTAGCTACCACAGTCATTGGTGGAGAGAAGAAGAAGTCGGAGAAGGCGCGGTTACGGAAGGGTATCAACATCCTGGTCGCCACACCCGGACGATTGGTCGATCACCTCGAACACACGGAAGCTCTAGACGTGAGCAATGTAAGATGGCTGGTGCTGGATGAGGGCGATCGCATGATGGAACTGGGATTCGAGCAGGACATGCAGAAAATCATTGGACAGCTCAACTTGCGCATGCGCGCACACAAGGAGGGCAGAACTGCCATACCCGGACTACCGGACAAGCGAACGACCGTCCTCTGTTCCGCAACAATGAAGATGGATGTCGAGCGATTGGGGCAGATCAGTCTGAAGGATGCGGTCCACATCAAGGCAGACCCGGCTGACCGAGACGAGAACGCAGCTGAAGAGCGGGAAGACTCCGGCTTCTATGCGCCAGCACAGCTGAAGCAGTCGTACGCCGTCGTGGCGCCCAAGCTGCGCCTGGTGTCTCTACTGGCTTACCTGAAGCGTACGTTCGCACGGAAAGGTTCAGTCATGAAGGCCATTGTCTTCATATCCTGCGCCGACTCGGTCGACTTCCATTTCGACCTGCTGACAAATCTCGCTGTTGATAAGCCGGAAGGCAAGAAAGAAGAACCCACAGATGATGCCGATGCAACAGAGAAGAAGGAGGGTGACAAGAAGAAAGGTGTTCCACAGTCCGATCCCACAAAACTCGCTGTCACCCACGCCGAATCTCCTATCCTCTCGCCCAAGACCCACTCCGTAACAGCCTACCGCCTCCACGGCTCTCTCCAACAATCCCTCCGAACGTCCACCCTTGCGCACTTCGCAAAGAACACCGAAGCCTCCGTTCTTATCGCCACCGACGTCGCATCCCGTGGTCTCGATCTCCCCAACGTCGACCTCGTTATCGAATTCGACCCAGCCTTCGCCCGCTCTGACCATCTGCACCGTATCGGCCGAACTGCGCGTGCCGGTCGCGACGGCCGCGCCTGCATCTTCCTGCAACCCGGGTGCGAAGAAGGTTACGTCGACATATTGAAATCCGACCGCAAGGACGGCGAAGTGGGCGTGCACCTTCTCCGTCAAGATGCCGACGACATTTTGAACAAGGGGCTCGTTACCACTGGTATTGTCGAAAAGGGCGCGTACATGGAAAAGGCTACGGACCTGCAACTCGCAGTTGAGCGCTGGGCGCTCGCGGACCCCAAGCGCCTCGAGGCTGCCCGACGAGCGTACCAGAGTCACATCCGCGCGTACGCTACACATGTCGCTGACGAGCGTATTTACTTCGACATCAAGAGTCTGCACCTCGGTCATCTTGCCAAAGCCTTTGCACTCCGCGAGAGACCGAGCGGTATGAAGGTTCCAGGCCTGCGCACGGGTGCCGGCCGCGAGGACAAGAGGCCTGCGAAGGTGCGTGGTGCGCCAAAGGTGGATGGCGCGTCGAGGAAGGCGGATAAGGTGCCGCCGAAGAAGGGCGTCCAGGACCTGGACTTGCCGCTGGGTGCGGACGAGGAGGAGAGTGCCAAGATGAGGAAGGCGGTGCGCGCCAAGGAGAAGTTCATGAGGCATGCTGGTATGGCGAGCGAGTTCAACTTGGGTTAGACAGGGCGAAGACGGGGTCGGCGTTGCTTTGGAGTTACGGGGCCAGTGTCCCGTATTTTGTAGAAGTGTGGCTAGACATGACAGCGAATTTATTGTTCGAACACCTCCCTGGACTTCAGTTCCACCTATCCATGCCATATACTTTGGACACGACTGCCACTGAGGCCTTGAGATACATAAATACCTGGTTCCCTGGTATCTGCCGAAGACTCATGTCTTGCTCGAACCCCGCTGTTCAATACACGTGGTTTATTTTATTCTGAAAAGCCATAGAATCACCCTGCATGGTTTTGCCCATCCTACTCCGGAATCCACGATCTAAACACAACCATATCGTCTGGCGGACGTCTCTGCATATCCCACTGAGATTTCTACACTGTTGCAAACGCCACCGAAAAGAGTGCATGTTCTGCCTCGCTCCAGGACTGGGAGGATATGGCCTCATGCTTATCTATGGGGTTTTTTTTGCGTGTTTTCAAGGGTAACCCTATCATGTTCAACATACATGCTCCACCCGTGCGTGATGCATGACCACAATGGTGATCGGTGTAGCCATGGCCTCTGTGCGATATGGCCTACAATCTAGAGTCAACTTTCGTGGTGTCGTTTATCCCGCACTTCGAGGCTGTAACAGCGTTCCTCAAATCTCTTCGGAGCGTTGTGGATGCGTCAGTGTTTGTTCGATGATGCAGGAGAATTTCACTGGCATTTGGACTACGTGGATAACACTGTTCACGACCGCTCCCTCGTCAACCGGCATATCTGTGCTTTTTCGAGGCCAAGTGCATGGAATGAGTTGGCTTTCAGACAGCACCATCGAGCTTGTTTCTCGTCTTTCGGGAAGCTACTGGCCACACACACACTCCTCTCCAGGCAACTTCGACGGAATATGTAAAGATGACGTAAGGAAGAGCTCAAAGTTAAGAACAATGCTTGTAGTTTGAGCATAGCCTTGATCTTCACACCGACGCACCCGAATGCGATTCTGCGCCCCTTGCCGTCGCCGAAAAATGCGACTTTGGTCCTGTCCCAGAGCTAAGCCTGACGAGAACTCAGCGTACCATTGCAGATAAAAACTAATCATGTCATTGTAGTCTTGTGTATATGCTCGTAATCTATCTCATTAAGTGTACTTCCTTATCACCCGACCAGCACATTTACGACGTTACCTTGATGGTGAGCTTGCCAAAGTGCTTCTGGTCCCACATGTACTCGTAAGCCTCCTTGAGATCCTTGAGGTCGAAGACTTTCTCGTCGACAACGGGGTGGATGTTGTTGGCCTCAATAGCATTGACCATGTCCTGCATCTGCAGCCTGCTTCCAACCAGGATACCGCGGACTGTGCAGATGTTGTTTAGGGTCTCGAGGAACGTGGGCTGGTTCTTATCCATGCCACCGATAAAGCCAATGATGGTGATCACACCATCAATCGCGATTGCCTTGAGTGACTGTGCCATTGTAGTCGGTCCACCCACCTCGACAACGTGCTGCACACCGACACCACCGGTCAGCTCCTTGGCCTTCTCGCCCCACTTCGGTATCTCCTTGTAGTTGACGACCTCGTCAGCACCGAGCTTCTTGAGGGTCTCGGCCTTCGACGCCGAGGATGTGGTAGCAATGACGCGCGCACCGGCAGCCTTGGCGAACTGGAGGGCGAAGATCGATACACCGCCAGTGCCCTGTGTGAGGACCCATTGTCCGGGCTTCAGCGCCCTGCTCTCCAAGCCGTACAGCGCGTTCCATGCTGTGAGTCCAGCGCAGGACAATGTGCTAGCCTCGAGGTCGTTGAGGTTCTTGGGCGCAGCGACGAGGCCCTGCTCGTCGAAGACACCGTACTCGCGCAGTGTACCGTCGATGGCGCCGCCGAGGCCGGTTGCTAGAGAGGAGGCGTCGAGGGAGCCGGCGATGTGGCCGGAGTTGAAGAGAGTCACGACGCGGTCGCCCTTCTTGAAGCGTGTGACGCCGCTACCGACGGACTCAACGACACCAGCGCCATCCGAGCCTGGGACAACTCCGTCCTTCGCGGGGAAAGGGTACTTGCCCTTGGGGATGATAAGGTCGCGGTAGTTGAGGGATGCTCCATTGACTGGCAAGTGTTAGCAGACGCCCACGCTGTTGTAGTTTAGGAGCGTGTACTCTTGACGAGAACATCCTTATCGCCAATCTTAGGAATTGATGCGCTCTCATTGAGCTTCAGTGCGTCGAAACCGCTCTTGCCCTCAATCGTCCACTGCTTCGTTGTTGATGGCGCCATTATGTTTATAGTAGGGTGTTACGGGTATCTGGTGATTAAGAAGGTAATGAGTGCTGAAAATCTGCCGAGAGCGTAGATACGGCATTGTCCATCATGGCGGGGCTGTTCAAATTTATAGGCATGTCAGTATGATGGGTCTTCAAAGTGCATACTTGGTGGTGACGCAACGAAGCGGCCGGGATCTGCCTCGGGTCAGACCCACATAGCTACTGACAAACCAATCAACATGACGAAGCAGGAGTGTCGTGGAGTGCATTTCTAAGCTTGTAGAAACAGTCTTCCCCGTGCTGTGTCTTCTGTCGTGGAGATGGCCACCTAGGATGCTCGGCGATCAGAATGCGGCCGCACGTGACTGAAAATTATGTCTGAAGGCGCTAGGGCGGCGGCGAACGTTCGGGGGTGGGTAATCGCAGCACTGAACACAAATGCTTTGAAATCTTGATTAGTAGTAGGCAAAACCTTGCAGGTACATACCATGACGCACTGTTAGGTGCGGGGTGTTTGGTACAGTGCATTTCCTGAATATATGCAAAACTGCACTTTGGCAGAGATCTCTTGAGGGCTCTCCGTGCCTGTCTACGGTTGCTGCCTCGCTGGTTCTTGACTCTTCGTTAGTTTTCTCCACGTGGCCCGCGAGACACGGCTCATGGACGGACGAACGTCTTACCCACGAATCCATTTGATGTCCGCCGTACAGAGCCTCTTCGAAGACATGCTACTCACCCTCCTGTCCGAGCCAACCCTCGTAGCCGCCGAAACTGTTCCCGTGCACTGTGTCAAGAGCCGGACTTTACTTGTCTACATATACCTCCCGCACAGCCTCTGGATCGGATACGCCATCGCCGTCGCCATGACACTGTTCTCCATCGTAATCGGCAGCCTGGCGATCTATCAGAATGGCGTGGCGAGCGATACGCTATTTAGCAGGATCCTGGTGACGACGAGGAATCCTACGCTTGATCGCCTCAGTGTCGGGGCGTGTTTGGGAGGGGACCCGTTTCCGAAGGAGCTTAGAGAGACGAAGTTGAGGTTCGGCGTGTTGATTGAGGAGGAACCAAGGGAAGGGCCGTTGGGTAGGGTGGAGCATTGTTGTTTTTGGACGAGGGGCGAGACGGGAGATATTGTGAAGGGGAATGATTATGCGGGGTTGAAGACATCCAGGGTCCGTATTGAGATGAGGTCAGTAGAGGAGAAGAGGGGGTTACTGGTCGATGATGAGGCAGATTGATCAAGCCACAATAGTGAATTTTGGGTAGCTGTCATAAGCGTACATGCTATTTGGACAAACTCATTTGTGCCTCGTATCTAATCGGCTTTCTCGTCTTCGCTCTACCCGTCCCCTTCATGGTCTAGCCAGCCTACAGTGCGTCTAGTCTCCGCTCAAGAGCAAGTTGCCTGTGGCTCCGGCGCCATTACCGGCGTTGTCGTAATTATCACTCGAGTCTTGACCCGTAGCGACGTCGTCCTATCTTGCATTTTCATGGTTGCCCACTGCAGCTTAGTTGTTGCCTGCGGCCGTGTTGTTGCCAGCCCCAGCAGCGGTAGCGCCTCCACCTGTAATAGTAGCATCGAAAGGCAGTGCTGTGCTAGGGTTGCCAGCGTTCTTCTTATCGGTCGCGATGTTGGTGTTGAGCTTGGCCAGCTCTTCCGTCATCCTGGCAGCCACATCTTGGCCCTGAGCCTGCTGTGCCAACAGCTGGATCTTGGTAGCCGTCAACTTCAAGACCTTGTTCTTGATCTTGCCAGCGGTCAGAGCGTCCGCCGTAGCGCCTGTAGCCGCCGCAATGGCAGTGTTGAAAACGCCCTTCTCGGCGTCGTTGGCTACACCGTTAACCTGATTAAGAAAGTCAATGTCGGCTTTGTTGATGTTTCCAGGATTGTTGAGGTCGAGTGCAGAGAAGACAGCGAGGGCTTCGGCTTCGGCATTGCCAGCTTGTCCGCCAGATATTGAGATGGCATTGTAGGTTGTGGACGCAAGGACGGGTCCAGACTGGCGGACCGTGAGCGTTGGAAGAGCAGTTGAAAGAGCTACAAGAGCAGCGACGGCGGTGATTTGGAAGTGCATCTTGATGTCTGATGTCGTGGTTATGCCGCGATTGCAATAGTGAGTGTGATGTGAGGACAGTCTTGCTGCAGATAGTGAAGACTGAAAGTTGAATGTCGCAGCGTCAAGCTTGAGACAATTAAGGTGTAAGAGTAGGCTAGAAGCGAAGACGACCGGTGCTTGATAAAGATTGGAATACTGTGAACAATGTCAGCCGTTCAACTTATACCATTCGCCATGCTGCTCATGGTTCAGGTATACCGTGTTTGCCTTTGGAATACAAAACCAGGAGTCCTGTTCATGCTCTCGAAACCAGGTTCGGCACGTCTTCGAGCCCCTCAAGGCACACCTTCAGACGCAGACGATGCACTAGGTTCCGGCCGCATCGTTCTAAGGCATGTGCTCGAAAAATCACCTCAAGTTTCCCCACGAGTGAGCATGCACTACAGGCGCTGACAGGCCGTTACAGACGTTACGTGTCGCGATCCGGTGGGGCTGGTAGCCTGATTCGGGAGTGTTCCTGAAGTGCAAGGCTGTGAGACGCGTTCGATGTCAGAATCGGAGACCACAGGAGCGGGCCGCATGAGCTTGGCGAAAGCGTGGCGAGTCAGAGGTACCTTGCACTGCCCTGTTAGAATCTACATCCACAGAATGACAGGAATTCGGCTTGAGATTGCGCAACGTGTAGTTGTATGAGAGGGAGATGGTGTGGGGTAGGTAGTTAGGAGCTCCGCTCCTTTGGCGCTAGGCTCGTTTGATGGCATCTTCATCTTGCATTCGAACTTGCTCTGATCCCGTCTCCTGCTTAATCTCTCCATTCTAGGTATTGCGATCATTAATGCACGGCGCATTTTAGTTTCAATCCTCAAAATCAGCTGATATTCGAGAAACGGCCTAGCTATGTAGCGAGCACGCGTTGAGACAGTGTGCACTTTCGAAATTCGCACCGAAGCTCAAGGTGCGTAGCGAAATCCCTCGACCCCCTCCAAAGTCTTTCCCGTCTCATCTGCAAGCTTATTCTGGCGCTTGAAATACATCGACATACAGAAAGTGACAATGGAATACAGGATCTGCATAGAGATTGTCGCCCACATGCCAGGAAGGTATCGCTGAATAAATCAGTAATCGTCACGTCCGGGAAGGGGTGCGAGGAATCACTTACCGGCGCGTCTTTTGCTTGAAAGATGGTACTGCCTGTCACACCACCAGCTGCGCCTACCGAAATCATGACAGCGGCAACGACAGCGCGCTTTTGGACCCGTGCAGTCTGATTGTTGCCGTACGCCAGAGATGCTGGGATGTTGCCTTGCGTTCCCCATGTCGCCAGGAAGAGGCCGAAATAGCGCACTGCTGGAGGCTTTGGATAGAGTACCAGAAGGAGACCGACGATGGCGATGGCCGACTGACCGACGAGTATCGGCCATCGCAGGCGGATCTTGTCCGAGAGCCAGGCCGTGAACAGCGATGCAAAAACCGTAAACATGTATGGTGGCGATGAAAGCAACTGCGCCTTGGCATAGCTGAAGCCCATTCCTTGCCGTAGAATGATTGGCTGAAAGAAAGCTAGCGAGTATACACTCGATGCAGCTACAAAGTACTGGATGCAGCTGTAAAGGTCAGTCTGATGTTCAACCTTTGGGCGGGCGGTGGTCACTTACTATATGAGCAGCTTCCAGTCGCGCATCATGATGAGCGTCTCTTTGACTGTGGCGTGTTCAATCTGCTTGCCCGACTTCTCCATCGATACCCGTGTAATAGCTATGTGCTTCTGACGATCTGTCAGAAAGCTGACCTTCTCAGGGACTGAAGATTATTAGCCAATCGCAACTCTTTTCTTGCGACTTAGAGCTTACATTCGACAAGGAAGAACGGAGCGATCAATCCTGCCACTATGGTCGCAGTGCCTTCGATTATGAAGATCTGGCAGCTGTCAATTCCCGCTCAACTTGCTTATCTGCCTTACTCACCCAGCGCCAGCCTTGGCTATACATCCCTTCACCCACACTGATGAGTGACAGCGCGTATGCAAACTGCTGTTTATCAGTCAAGGTCGTCGGTGTCACAGAACTTTCTGACGTACAATCGGTCCAAATCCTGATGCCAGCAACGCCGCCATGTAGAAGATAGACACTCGCTTCGCGGTCTCGAATTGTCGATACCACGAGCCGATGATGTACACGGCACCGGGGAATACTTTGTTTGGTCAGTTCTGGCTTTCAGTTCATGTCGACCCACTTACGGCCAGCCTCGAAAACACCCAGAAAAGCGCGTAGAACAGTGAGGATCTCCCAGCTGTGGACAAAACCCATGCCCAAAACGCAGCAACCCCACGCAGTGATGAGGAACGACAGCCACATCCGGGCACCTAGTCGACGGATGACATAATTGGAGGGAAGCTCAAAGATGCAGTAGCCTATGGTGACTCAGCTCAAGCACTGCCCGCACTTCACAACACCATACCAACGAAGAATACCAACAACGCAATATTGTACCTCTGGCCAGTAAGACGTAAATCCTGTGCCAGACCTGCAATGTACGCAGAAGAGATGTTTGTTCTGTCCAGGAGCGAGAGTCCAAATACAATACACAGCATCGGAAACACTCTCCAGTCGGCTTTCTTTACGATTGCATGCTCTTCTTCTTGAGTCCAATCTTGTTCAGGATGTATGTCTTGATCTCTGATTGCGGTGGAATCATATCCCTTCTCGACATAGTCGACGTTGTTTTTCTCGTCACCAAGCATGGTGGTAGGTGTGGTTTGACTTGAAATACACGATTATCAATGTTCGCACTGAAGTACAGGAGCAAACTTCACAGAGGTAGGAATCGCCCTGAACTTTGTACCTTTTAACGTCACGACGATAGTAGCCTGCTTGCTCAATGGCGCGGCAGTTCTACCTCTGACATGAATCACAGGGTGTCTTTTCCAAAATTACACTGACGCCAGAGAGAGTAGGTTGTCGATGTTGTGGAGCGAGGATGTCCCTTCGGCACACTGTCCTCGAACCAGATCAAATGTGGCGCACTGTATACCTAGGTATAGTTTGGTGTGGCTTGGCTGTATCCTGGCACTTGCATTTCGCCCAGCTGCCAAGTGTATCCCCCGCACAATCCGCGCGGGAAAACACACCAGAAAGCTGGGGTGCAAAGGTTTACCGTGGTAAAGCATCACATAGCCTATTTCGGCTGACTATAGACTCGCATGTAACTTACTGACAATATAACTAGATATGAGGTCCAATGTGTGAGCTTGTGTTGCTCAGTCGCGTTACCGGTACATACTTGCTCGAGTCATCACAAGCGACTCGACCATGGTCCAACATATGCCACGTTGCATACTCGCCAAGCACGCAGGCGTTATGATGTTCCCTGCATCCTCGAGACGAAAATGTATGTTTCGGGCAATAAGAACCCATAGAATTGGCCAAATATGCGCCGATGATTAATGCTAGGAACGGATGGCATTAGCTCAAAACCCAATACAGGTTACACGCCGGACCGTGAATTGAACGCCAACAACAATCGGTCTCCGTTTTTTTTCGTTAGTCTCGAGTCAGTGAGAAGAGTGTTTGACTTGCGGCAAACGACAATGTTCTACACCTATAGCCTCCAATTCCACGTGACCCTGTCAAGCAGGATGTCGACAGCAGGCATGACTTGAGGGCCGGTAGTTTTGCATGTCAAAGCATCCTTTCGTCCCCCATATATCTTAGTAAGGACGTGAAACATATAATATTCACTTGGGACCACAGAGCTTCTCAAGATGTCTGAAACGTTAAAGTAAGACTATGCTGTATTGAAAGGCAGTCAGATTCATTTCTCCAACTGATACCTGCCTCCACTCGGTGAGCTCAACAACGCTGGCTATTACATGTCTAGGGAAATCGTTGTAAATACGCTGAGTGCTGAAGGTCCAGGCTCATCGTCGACCAAATTTGTCCACACTGGCCAACACTAGACCTCAGTTCCTCATTGTATGTGTTTCAACCGAATGACATTCCTTGAGGGTATGTCAGCTCAGCAGCGAGAATATTCTATGATATCTTACCATGTACTTTGATGAGTGGTAGTACAGTCAATGATATTAGAGTGTTTTCCTCATCGTGTATCTGCACAATATTGATCAGGCTTTCGAGCTATCATCGAACGAGGGGCATACCGAATGCCGACGCCCTTATTTTCTTTGAAATAAGATTAGACACCCACATGTCTTCGCCGTGTGTCATCTGCACAACGCTCTGCAGAGGCTAGACAGATCCAGCGGTAGTCGGACCATACTAGGTAATCGGGTCTTTCTGGCCGCAATGTGAAGTATCATTTCAGAGGCTGATAGCCAAAGACAATTGACGTTAAGCTTTCCAATACCCAGGTAGCTGCAGGCAGATGTATTGCTGCCGCGACAACACCGAAGCGAGATCTACAAAGAAAGCGCTAAGAGCTCACAGACCACCGCCTGGTGTGAACAAGACGTGAGACGTAGAGTCTTTAAGCAAGTTGATCGCATTACGAAGTACGTGAGGATGTGTACGCTTGCCAGACTTTTGTGCGAACACTCCATGATCTTGACATTGCAGTTATGACGGTAGGGGGACTTCAAACCTTACTAACTCAGACATTGAAAGCTTCCTGACAGTGTTTACCGATGGCTTGAGAACACATTTGCTCCTTCTTCGAGTGAATTCAACGAGACTAGGTGCGGCATGTCGTGCAATGTTTCAGCATATTAGACTGAGGCAGTGGGTGGGCGAGGAGGATCCCGTTCAATCGTGACGATTTGCGAGTACTCTATAGTTCGAGTGTCTTACAAGTGAGTTCGTACAGAAAAGAAGAATGTGAGGCGACCGCCAATCGCGATTGGTTCAACGCAGCGTACTGACATCGGGATGCAGATCGTACAGGATCGAGGTTACACACCAATACAGGCGCGTTTGAAGTTCCATGTTAGAACAAAGCATGTTTAGTTGGCTTTTGACGCAAGAGTTTGCACCGGTCGAGTTCTCGGCCATATGCTTGGGGAGACGGATGAGCGATGGCAAAATCACACACACCCTTGAATGTCTCCAGCAAGGGGCGCCTCACGTGGAATATTGCTGCGCTGCACATTATAAAACAAGGTCCCATTCTTGTCAGTAGCTTTGCTCCCGTACATTCTCGCTATGATTTACTTGAAACCGCCTGACCGAAGGGCAGGCTGCAGCAATCCTCGAGGCCATATCTGCTAAATCAACAGAGGCCTCGAATCAGGAAGGGCAGTTGGTATTTGCCCCTTCACAACGGCTACATGATTGTAACCTTGCACGAGATAAATATTGATTCTGCACACAGTGACATAGCGCTTGCCACGCAGCAACAAATCCATTGCCGGATGGAATAATACGCGGAAGCTCAATAGTATCTGATCCGACATCTCTGAAGGATCTTCATGGACCAGTTCTCCACAGAATCCTCTTCGTAGCGTCGCCCTATTCAATGGTGACCACCTTCCAAATCAGTTCTTGACACAATATACTCCGTAACAGGGTGAATTCAGAGCTTCGATGGAAGAGAATGCTTGGTCGGACTCATTAAACCCTTCCATAGGATGAGGCTATACAAGAGTGAGGTGAACTCTCATTGAAAACACTCGGGTAGCAGCAGAGCCTGACAGCTTGCTATCGCCTAACAAATACACAGCTACATCATACAGAGTACTGCAACAGAGTTATAGAGTGTCAAGTTGGAGGGTGCAGGGCTATCGGGATAGCAATTAGGATTCAATCAGATCCTCCACATACGTTGATGGTCTAGGCAGGACAGTAGATGTGTGCAGACCCGAGGCATCCCACACAGTCTCGCGGCCCAGTTCCTGGCGCTTACAACCAGGTCTCAGATGAGCTCTTATGCCCGTCACTACAGTAAATGGACTTGGAAAATTGCTATTGATACAATCACAGCGCAGTGGAACAGACACCTGGTGTTCGATAAAAATGGATTCCAGCTTGCAAAAAAAGGCTTTGAGAAAGCGACTGATATCCAAAGAGAGAGCAGTATAGGTGTTTAATCTGACTCGCGACTTTCTGCACGTACGGAGACCCGACGGTGATGCTGATTACGTGCAGGAACTGTGCCGCACCTTGGCACTGACTCTTACCCGGCGCCTGCTGACCACCTTTGGTATCAGCTCGGCATTTGTATGGCCACTTTTGGCACCGATTGAGGCTTGGTGGCCATTGCGACAGCCATTTAAATCTCGGACTAGAGTCATTTCAATCGTATGGCCTCCGAGGACAGCGTGGACTCGAAAGTCATAGGACCCTACTTTCATGGCGTCTCGTATCTTTCTGTAAGATGCTATGAACAAGACTCATACTGCGATCGGAAAGACGCAGGGCGGGTCAGAACAAATGAATGTGTGGAGTTTTGAAGTTATTCAGGCGTTCCGCGCTTGCGGCGCAACCTCAGCCCTGAGATCACCCACGAGCACATTCGAATATGTCGCCTACGCCACACAGTCACCGCCATGCAATGTCGAATGCCAAAGCCTACGCACGGGACAAAACGGTCCAAGTGATTTGCGCAGGGTTATTTCAGTTCTGGCTCCATTAGATTGGGCTGCTATCTTTGCTTTTTCGTTGCCTTTAGACTTCTAAAAGAAGCAGTGAACAGTGGACTCCGAGACTATTGGCTAGGAACTACGTCGCTGCATTTCGAATGTATAGACGATCCGATTTCATCACTCGTCAATATTCATAGGGTAGAAAGCTTGGAAAAGCGAACGAAGGATCGCAAGCGCCAGGGCCGGGGTTGTCCGGTTATCGGGGCGAGCAAGCCATAGATCTGAAGGACGATCTGAAAGATGTCCGGAGCAATCTTTTAGGAACCTTCCAAGGCAAAGACTGATATCTGAATAATTATCAGATTCAGCCGTGGAACAAGAATTTGCTTGTAACTTGCCACTCTGCACCTCGGCATTCTTTAATTGTGATATCGAGAAGACACGATGCTGCAGATGCTCAGACACAAGCTCAGCCCTTGCCATGCGCAGTCATGTTTGAACAAACGAACGCAGCATCGGAAGGTACACGACTGGCAGAGAACTCACTGCATGTGTATGCAGCTGTCAGCTCAACCCAGCTGATAGAGCAAGGCTGACAACTGGTCATCGTTAATTCGCCCGCTGACAGGAACATATGACAGAACAGGGGGCCCAAAGTAGGCAAGCGTTTCTTTGAATGATTGACGCTACCGTGGACTGGGATTCTTGGTTCCTCTTGTTTGACAAGGAATCTTACCCGTTCATGCTGTCCTTTTTGCTCCTTGAGTTAACGGCTCAGAAAGCAGCCTTCGGGATGATTCCCCTCGCCCATATACTGGCGGTCCTGCTTACCACGAAGACCTTGACTTGTAATAAGACGCTGCTAGCCTGTCGCCACTTCCTGGCCCGTCGCTGAAAAGCAAAAGCGAAAAGCGTAGCATCGAGCGCTTGAGGTTCGTGATCCTGTCGCTCTAAGGGTTACCGAGTTTTGCTCGCCTAAAGGTAGGCCCAAGCAGTCTGAAATTGGCGTTTTGGAAGCTGATTGGGCAGGTGAATGCCATTCTAATAGAATCTATTATCTGCCGTCACTACGTGTAGCTCGAGTTGGACTTACGCAGAGCTGATCACAAAAACTATGCAGTTGGTTAGCTCGAATGGCTCAGCTGCTCATGCGGTCGCCGCAGAAGACATAAAGGCCGTATGGCAACCCGGAGATATCACAAATCGCCGCGACAGCAAAGATCAGTGTAGATTAGTGTGCTTATCATCAGTTGTCAAAGTAATGCTGTCGTTTTCATCCCCGCAAACCATGTTCTGGAGAAGAGATGCGGCATTTTCGAAAGAAGAGGAACGGCTGGCATACAACACGCGAATAGAGTTGATGAGACAGACAGAATATCCGATGCTGAGAGGTGTGTTTCTCTCCTAATTTCATCCGGTCGGTATTGACCTCAGCAGGAATCACCTACCTCGACCATGGTGGGACGACGCTGGCAAGCAGGTCGCTCATGGACTCCTTCTGTACGCAGATGAAGGCTTCAATCCTCTCAAATCCACACTCGGACGCATCGAGACCGAGTTTCTCTGCTCTGATGGTGGAGCAGACCAGACAGAAAGTGTTGAGACTCTTCAGAGCAGACCCCAACCATTGGGACGTTGTATTCACGGCAAATGCCACAGCTGCTGTCAAGCTCGTGATGGAGTGCTTCGCTGGCCATGATCAAGGTTTTAACTATCTCTACCATTGTAATGCTCACACTAGTCTTGTCGGAGTACGAGAGCAAGCGCGGCAAAGTCACTGCCTGGCATCAGCGGAAGAGATGCAGTATTGGCTGAGCGGTGGACGACTTTTTCCCGATGAAGGAGCAACAACCCGCCCTCTCCTATTTGCATACCCTGCCCAGTCGAATATGAACGGCGAGCGTCTCCCTATAAGGTGGGCTTCCCGAGTCCGCGAGTCTACACAACACGAGAATACGTATACGCTGTTAGATGCCGCCGCTCTAGTGTCAACTAGTCCGCTGGACATTAGCAGCCACGACACAGCACCGGACTTCGTATCGATATCCTTTTATAAAATCTTTGGCTTTCCTGATCTTGGCGCTTTGATAGTTCGCAAGGCATCTGCTCATGTCTTGCAGCGGCGAAAGTACTTCGGAGGAGGCACAACCGAGATGATTGGATGTATCGGCACACCATGGGTTGAGCGAAAGGAGAGCAGTGTGCATGTTCGCTTAGAGGATGGTACGATCGCTATCCGCAGCATACTGGCTTTGAGCTGCGCTATCGACACTCATACCAATCTATTCGACAGCTTAGCCCATGTATCGAAGCACACAGGATGGCTAGCAAGGATGCTGCATGACCAGCTGGCCGATCTGAGGCACTCAAATGGCATGCCTGTCTGCCATATATATAAGGCTCTGACATCCACATACGGTGACCCAAGATCACAGGGTGCAACAGTGACTTTCAACGTCAGAAACAGCGATGGATCCTGGAAGAGTGGATTGCAAGTGGGTGCTTTGCTTAGAGCGAACGAGATTCATGTCCGAACAGGCTCACTTTGCAACCCAGCGGGGATGGCGTCTGCACTAGGCCTTTCAGCAAAGGACTTAAGGGCCGCATTCGATTCCGGCTTTCGTTGCAACCAGCCTGGCGATGACGTTCGAGGCGATGTCCCGTATGGAATGATCAGGGCCACTTTGGGTGCTATGAGCACACTCGGGGACGTTGAGATCTTGGTGGGTTTTGTCGAGAAGCATCTGGCTGAGCATCCGCACCAAACGCCACACATATCAGGGGGGACCCAAACGAGTAAGACCGAAGACAGCAGGACGGCAACTGCTTCTTATGACGAGAACAGCGGGAAAGTGATGGACCGAACCTCAGCTAAGCGAAGTATTTGGCAGACGCTGTCTAGCTGCTCTTCTAGACGAAAGTAGCACCGATTGGGGTCTTGGAATAGGAGTATGGCCTGTACATAGAGGGTGCTTCACTGCATATATTTCGGAAGTACACATAATGCGCGATCGGGGTGTTTTCCCGCCCTTAACTAAACCGTGCGCTGCCCTCGTAGTTTACGTGAGGCGCCTGCGAGGCGTGCAGATCCTCCACACTGTTGCAACTCGTCTCAGCGTATGACTATGCACGAGCTTCCCAACTTGTCGGTGGCTGGTAACGACTTGCGCCATGATTATGCACCAGGTGCTGAATAGGGTCATGTCGGTGGCACCTGGCATTGCACCAAACCGATGGAGAAAAGCATAAGCAAAAAGAATCTCACAACAACACCTACCAAACATGAGGCGGTGTGGAGCTGCAGAGTGGGGATGAACGTGGCGCAGCGCTAGTGCGCAAGACTATCCGAAAGGGGCTAAACGGGAGAGGCCATTCGGCATAACACTCTCCCCGAGCGGCTCTGTCAGTCTGTCCGTCACCTCCCGCCTAATTACAACATTGCCGCACCTTGGCCATCAACACTCCTAAGTTAGGCCGTTGCACATGAAGATCTCCACAAAGATGGCGCAGCAACTGAAGACTGCCCAGAAGCCGAATTAAGTCAATCTTGCGCTGGATGACTGCGAGTATTTAGCAATGGAAACACACATTATAATCGACATTGCATATCATTCTGTACATTCCAGCGGCTCATTCTGCATCTCCCCTTCAATCTAGCCATCAATTGCTCACTCTATTCGGACACATACAAAAGATTGATACATCCATATTCACTAACAACATGTCTACAACTACCATCCGCAAATCCTACATTGAAAGCTTCGGCGACCCATCCCACGTCTCCATCATCACAACTGAGCTTCCATCACCAGCAGCCAGCGAAGTCCAACTCAAAGTCCTCTACTCCGGCTTCGGTGGTTCAGACATTGCCATGCGACTCGGCGGCTACCCGAATCAGAAGCCAGCACCTCTGACTACCGGCTATAGCTGCATTGGCCTCATCGCTCAGAACGGCGCTAAGAACCCCAATTTTCCCATCGGAACTCTCGTAGGTTGTCTCTGCGTCTACGAAGGACAATCCACGTACATCAACCTGCCCGAGAAACACCTAATCCCAATCCCGAGCGACATCGACCTGCAACAAGCCGTGGCCCTGATACTAGACTGGACCACCGCATACGGCATGGTATATCGGTCCGGAAAAGTAACGAAGGGCCAACGCGTCTTCATTCACGGTCTCAGCGGCTCAGTCGGCTACGCACTACTCACGCTATGTAAACGTCTCGGCGCAGAAGTCTACGGCACAGCATCGGAGTACAATCACGCCGCTGTGCGTACCGCTGGCGCTCATCCATTCGTGTACACGAACAAGGACTGGATAATGGCTATGAACGCTATTGGTGGCGCACATGTCGTGTTTGATCCGTTGGGTTTCGAGTCGTATGATGAGAGCTGGGACATCCTGGCCCGTGGCGGTGGGAAGGTGATTGGGTATGGAGGGAATTACAACGCGCTGAATGGTGGGAAGATGAGAAGTCCGTGGCCGTATGTTGCGAAGCTGTTGGCTAAGAATGCGAATGTATTCTGTCCGAAGAGCACGGCATTCTTCTATGTGGACAGAGATCAAAGGACCTTTCAGCCGGAGCTGAAGGCGTTACTAGAGATGCTGAGGAAGGGAGAGATCGAGGTACCGATTAGGAAGCTTTGGACTCTGGATGAGGTGCCAGAGGCGCATTGCATGTTCAACAAAGGGCCTGGTGTTGGCGCTGTGGTGATAAGAGTGGCTGATGACGACATGTGAGCAGAACTGACCGCCCTTTGTTCCTCTTCGTTATTTGGTACTTGGTGTTTCTGGCGAATATCTGAAAAGGTTTCTGGAGCCATGATGATATGAATCTATCTTCGATATATTTGCAAATGTCTTTAACATTTTCTTCTTTTAAGTTTTGTCGCAGCACATATCATGCCTATTTACCAGCCAATTCAGGGGTGCAAAAGTATGTACATTTTGCCTCTATTTTGGCTGCAACAAGTTTTTATGGACTCGCACATCAAATGCAACGATGTTTCCATCTGCTACACTACCGCCACAGATCCCGCCAGGACAGGTCAAATGAGCTTTCTCATCCACTGAGACTAGATTGGGCTAGTTGTATTCAGTCCTCAAGACGAAGATCGAAATGAGGGTAGCAACATATATTATTACGTCATATTAATACCATGCTGACATGGGTTGTCTATAGAGAAGACTGCACTTAGGCAACCTACTTCTTCTGCAATAGATCCTTTTTGCTCCACTGGTGACTACCCTTCGAGTCACCCTCCCTGTGTTTCTCCTCATAGATCTTCTTAGTCAATTGCCTGTACAAGAATTTGCCGTTGTTGTTGTACACGATACTGTGATCACTATCCGTGAAGAACGAGTTCTGCATCTTCTCAGGGGTGACGCGCGCACCCATCAGCAGATCAACAAGCGCAGCTGAGTTCTGGAAGTGCACGTTATCATCGCCAGTACCGTGCTGAATTACAACGCCGCCGGCGATATTCTTGAAACCAGTGGCGTCGTGCACGCGGGACTTGTTGTAGCCCTCGACATTGTCCTCAGGCAGCTTCATATAACGCTCGGTGTAGATTGAGTCGTAGAAACGCCAGTCGCTCACAGGGGCGGTGATGAGGGCGAAAGAGATGATCTCGTCATCGACCTCGACAACCTTGGAGGAGAGGTAGCCCCCGTATGACCAGCCAAAGATACCGATGTGTTCGCTGTCGACCCAGGAGTTCTTCGCAAGCTCTTTGGCGGCCCAGATTTGATCCTGCGCTTCGAGGTCTCCGAGGTTCTTGGTGACGGTGGAACGAAACGCACGACCCTTGCGACCAGTACCGCGGTTGTCAACAGTAAGAGTAATGTACTCGAGCTCGGGGTCGGAGGCAATGTATGCCTTCCAGTTGAGCGAGCTAAACTGCTTATGAACCTCCTTGGCGTTCGGGCCTCCGTAAGGGATCAGAATCAGGGGGTACTTCTTGCTTGAGTCGAAGTTGGGAGGCAGACGCAGCATGGCATCGAGAGTGAAGCCATCAGGATGCTCGAGATCCAGGTACGTGATGTTGGGCAAATTGTAGGTGGTGAGGTTTCCGTACAGTGCCTTGTTGTCGACGATGGTTCTGACGGGCTCGGTCGAGTTCACAGAGTAGAGTTCCTGGTACGGAACGTCAGGCCCGGCGTAGCGAAGAACGTAGTAGGAGCCACCGGATGAGAAGGATGCGGTCCAGAAAGCGGAGACGCTGTCATCAACAAGCGCCTTCTTTTCGCCAGTCATGAAGTTGACGGAGTAGACATGTGACTCAGTGCTGTGGTGCTCAGTCGAGGTGTAGTAGATGAGGCCACGCTTGGCGTCAATCTTGAGGACGGAAAGAACCTCGAACTCGCCAGAAGTCAAAGCGACGGGTTCGCCACCGCTGACAGGGAAGAGGTAGATGTGATTCCAGCCACTTTCGTCGGACAGGTCGAGATAGTACTCGGTACCATTACCGTAAGTGGCGTTGGCAGTCTGAATAGCACCAAGATAACGGGTGGCAATCAAGTTCTCGAGCCATCCGTCGGTACCGTCGCGCTCACGAATAACAGAGGATGTACCAGCGTCGGTATCGATGACAACGTATTTTTCAAGATCCTGCACACGATTGAAAGCGCGGTAGATGACTTTGCTGTGCGCATCGGTGAGCCAGTTGACTTCACCAATGACAAGGTCGTCCTCAGGGAATGCGTCGATGGCAACGGTCTCGACCTTGCCTGAGGCGACATCAAGGAGGTTGAAGCCGACGATGGGGTTCTTGGTGCCGACCTTAGGGTAGCGGAGTTCAAGCTCACGGGCGTAGACAGGAGCAACCTCGGCATCGCCCATGTAGTAAGGAACACGGAATGTGCCAACACCGGTCTCGTTGAAGCTCAAAAAGGCGATCTTTTCCCCATCGGGGCTGTACCACAGAGCATAGCGGTCGCCAAAGATCTCCTCCTCATAGACCCAGTCAGGGACAGCATTGAACCAATCTGGACCACCATTATCGGTGATCTGGGTGATATTGCCGTCGTTCCAGATGTAGAGGTTGTTGCCCTTTACAAAGGCAATCTGAGACGACGAGACAGGGCTCCACTCGGCGTACTGAATGGTGCCATTTGACTCAGGGTCAAGCGAGATGGTCTCCCCAGTCTCAACATTCTGAACGAGGTAGTCCGCATAGTACGAATGCCTGAAGATCATCAGTCACGTGCTTCGCTTGGTTCTTGAACTGTCATACCTGTACTCCTTGGTGTAGTTCACCGCCCACATAACGTGGCTGGCGTCACCGGAGATGAAGAAGTCCCAGTAGTCCGCCGGGACTTTGTCGGCAGACAGGAAGGTTGAGGAATCGCCAGTAGCGACGTTCTCGAACAAGAATGAGCCATCAGCGCCAGTGTAGATGTAATCACCATCTGCACCGGTGCTGACCCAGCTAAAGGCACGGGTAGAAGCAGACAATCGCCCAGGAGCATCGGTGGTGATGTTGTAGTTGAGACGCAGGGTCGAGTTGGGGCTTCCAAGAGGCTGGTGAGGCTGCCTCTGGGGCTCGATGGCCTGGATCAGCGGCAGAGCCGCCGCAATGATCGTGAACGAACGCATCGTGAGAAACAACACAACTTGCGAGACAAGAAGGGCGTTCGAGTGCGTAAATCCCCGCTACGGTGCAGCGATTTATGTAGTCTTGGTCGTACATTTGCCTAATGAGTATCCGATATGCAGCTGCCGTAAGAGGCAGTTGTCAAGACATTTGGTCGTCGTTGCCAAGAAGACCAAGCGACCCGGCGCCCGGCTCAAGGAGGCCCTCAACTGGTATTCTCGCGCCCTCCGCGAGATTTGCGGGAACTCATATCATCAGAGAGGAAGGTGCCAGTGACACTACTTTCGTTTGTGTGCACAGCCTTGCAGCGCACGCAAAGGAAAGTAGTTTGGGTGACGCGATGGCGGATGGCGCTTGCTTGATTGCGTAAGGAACGGCAGGCACGGAAGGCGCTAAAACGTCGAAGCTTGTCTTATCGGCTCCTTCTTCCATGTCCTCGTCTCCATAGTCACACTTGTTCTATGCATGCTCTTCTATCAATGCAAATGAGGTTCTGCTGGCCACTTCATAAGCGAGGGATGAATTATTGGCTGGCAAAGACGATGCTGTCGAACGATTGCATGAACAGGGACCCAGCACCACGACGCCCAGTCGAACGGTTCGGCACAGAGATGGGTCACGGTTAAAAGCGATCATGTGCTCTACGTTTGACTCCGTGGAATACTGGCAACTCGTCGTTCATCACGTGACCTTTTTGCGTCGCGAGAAGGCGAAACTATTGAGTCGACAGCTGTAACAAGCAGGTGAACACCCTCTGTGATAAAAGAAAGCTTATCCTGCGATCCAAGAATACCAGCAGAATCTGGGTACTACTCCCTACTCGAGCCCGTCGGTCTCCATCATGTTTCTTCATATTTCCTATCGCACGTCTATACCCACACTGACTCTATCACAACGTGTTACTCTTCCTTGACTCTGCCTCTTGGCCTTCTTCTGGCTGCTTGGTCGTCTCAGCTCCTGCTTGTGCAGCAGGAGCCGTGCTTGCTGGCGTGGCCGGGCCGGTGCAGCGAAGCTTTAGGTGATCACCAAGCACTGCCCTGAGTACTGTCATTCCACACCGAGAATGCACTCTTTTCGGACCCCTGGGGCAGATCTTCAGGTATACCTAGATATCGGAAACTTCTTCTTGGCAATGGTCGCAACATTTAGCCTTATGTCTGCTCTTACAGTTCTCTTCGTGAGCTTGCAACTTGTCTCGGGCCATCTTCTCCTGACAGGTGGTGCAAATAATCAGCCACTTCAAGTATGTCGTCTTGTGCTCCTTAAAGTCCCGACTCGATTCACCACAATAATCGCACTGCTTTTTGAGGACTTCTTGTGCTGTTTGAAATCATCAACGATTTCACCTCAATTCCTACATGAGGCCTTGCATTTATGCAAATGTTCAGAGAGCTTGATTTTCGTTGCAAAATCAATCCCACAGATTCTGCTTACGGTTGGCTTTGGAAGGGCGTCTTCCTGTCGAGGATGTTGGCTCTCAGGTGGGGATTCTGTTGACTGCTCTCTGGACATCTTTGCTAAGGCGTTTGGTATAGGATTTGAGTCGTCAAAAGCTCTCATATCTACCCCTACTTGCTTTACGCAGCCACTCGAAAGACCGGGAGAGATAAATTCCGAATGCCATAAGGAAGATCAATGAGATGACCTGGCGCGCCCAGTCCGGATCATGAATGCAGTGTGGCGTGTTCATGTTGGCTGTAAACTGTGGCAGTGATGGAGAGAGTAAGAACAATAATTGCAAAGGGGAGTTAGTTGTTGTGTGGTCGCCACAGACACTGCGATTCTGGTCAAACGGAAGAAGAATCGAAGACGCATGCCATCGACTTATTGTGAAGCATAGTCGAAGAACATCCAAGTCCTGACTCCACCATTGTTTAAGATATTTTTTGTCTCGTAGCAAGCCACGTCGATATTCCTGAACTGCAGGACAAAGAAAGACCCCGCGCCCCAGACATCCTGCATTCGCAACCTTAGTGCGCTTTGTGCTTTTGTGTGCAATTATCTCTCAATCTTAAAAAGAAAAAGTTGAGTATCATCGATGGGAGACTGTGGAGTGTATGTGACATGCGCCGTTGCAGGGAGCTGGCTTTCACTTTCGCTCACACCTGCGATAAGGTCACGCGCGCTTGCTGTAGTTGCGGCAATTGTGGCAGCAGCACCTCATGGTCTCTCCCACCTACTTCTGCACACAGGTCGCAGACGCAGGACGCTGAAGACAACGATTAGCACCCACTGGTGGACAATAGCTCTCGACATAAACAGCCCAGCATGGGAGACGCGCTCCCTTCAGCTTCGGCGTCGCAACGACCCACGACCGCCGGTGACGGTTCGATGGTGCCTAAAACTAGAGGGTGGCGCTGGCTCGACTTCGATCATCCCACAGCCGAACGTCAATCTGCGTCTCGCGGACCTAAACACTACCTCGAGTCGTCTCCAGAATGGTCTGCGGTTCACGATTTCGAGCGGCGGCTCAGTCGAAACGGCATCAAGATGTCTGAGACCAGTAACAATCACGCTTCCGGTATTGCCGCACAACCGGTCGTGCAAGAACGTGGCGGTGCGGGCTCGATCCTAGACGGGTATGTTCGAGCCAACGCACAGCGCAGCAACCACCATGTTTCGAGAAGCGAGGACTTTCCACCACTTGAGGCCCCGGTCATAGCATCCTTTACGAACACCAAGAAGGAGACCAAAGTCGAGACTCTCGAGCGACAGTTGCGTCAGGCGCAGGCGGAGGCTCATGTCTGGAAGGCAAGGTCTGAGAATCAAGAGCACAATCTGGGCGTCTCCTACGAGGAAACCATGGAATGGAGGATGAAGTATGAAGACCTGTACAGTGCTGTACTTCGAGGTATGGAGACCGAGCCTACTACAGAGCACAAGAAGGGGACCACAAAGTCGTTGAGCTAGACATGGGCTAGACATGGGCTGCAGTTCAAAATAAAGCTGTCCACCGTCCCCGAGTAAGATATTGTCACATTAGTATCTTCTACGCGGTTACTCGATAGGAATTTGATCCTCCGTCAAAAATTCGGGCCAGATTGTTTTCAAGAGCTCGACAAACTTTTGTGCCATCTTTCTTCCACCTTCTTCATTGGGCTCCACCCTCGCAGTATAGTCCTCGGCTAGCTTCCCATCCAGGACTTCGTTCAATGCACAGGGTACAACCTCAGTACCTTGGATCTTGATGTTTTGTGTCGCTGTCTTGTAGAGTGTGACGATTGCTGTCTGAAGCTGCTCAGGCCAAGTGTTGTAGCCTAGAGCCTTGAGCTGCATGTCCGCCCAACTCGATTGCCCATGTCCAGATTCGAGCGGGAAGTAAATCATACAGATAATAACAGCTCGTGGTCGTGTCTTAGCAGTCATGCGATCAACGTAGCCTTGTACCTTGTCGCAGAACATCTTATTGAAATACTTGAGAGACGATGCGGTGCCCTTCTCGAGCGAGGAACGAGGGGTGATCCAGGCGAGTTGGAGCATGTGTAGAATTGTGCACGGGAGCGGCTTGAGGGCAATGTCGTTGGCGCCCACACTGACGATCAGGACATCTTCGGAACGGATGGTGTCACGGATGAACTTGTCGTGTGGAAGCAGCTCCTCGTCTCGTTGGCGCAGCATGGACTCTTCCACGGCGGTATTGACACATGTCGCGCGGACTCCAAGAAAATGATTCATCCAAAATGAGACATCAGGCTTTGGTGTAGGCTTGTCTAGTGCATGGTTGTATATGTCCGGAACCTCAACGTCCAGTCCTTGATCGTTGCTCACCCAGTACTTGTTGTCCAGTGAAGAGTCGCCTGCAAGGTACACGATAGGTTTGTCTGGCCTCTGCGTCGTGGTTATAGCGTGAAATGAGGTGAGGTCCTGTATTTGGTGGCCTTTCCATTCAAAATAGAACCTTGAACGATTGATCTTGCTTAGATTTGCTGTCATTGTCGTTTCCGGGCAGTTTGTGGGGTCTATGATAGCTCGGAATCAGAAGAGGCATAGGATATTGATAGAAGTGGAAGTAACTACGATTCTAGTCTGAAGATGCATCTGACATGGTAAAAGCTACGTTGCGTTGAAGCAGCGTTCGAAACCAGGAGCCTATGGCGGGGCTTCATCCGGCCAGGCTGACGTCACCTGCGGCGCTAGCCTCGTGCATGGCCTTCGCTCGTACCCTCGTGCTTCAGGCACCTTTCAAGTGTTGATAATGTTCAATACAAGGCTGTGTCGGAGACGATGGGAATGAAGTCACCAAAATCCCTCCGTAAGGTGGGGTTCATCTCTGCCTAGCCAATGGGCCCCCACCGTAAGCGCGCACGTTCCGCGTCATGACAGCCCTCCACAGCATCCACAAGCCGAAGTCGTTTATTACAGTTTTCGTCAAGAGTGTGCGTGGAGTACATGAATAACGCCGAGTCTCAAATTATGGGACGAGAGGATCGTCCCTGGTCGTCAGATTGACATTTTCTTCATGCTCTTATTAGCTGTGCTTGCGGCAAGTGCGGTCGCGCTACCAGCGAACGGTCACAAAAGCCAACATGGCCTGAAGCGCATTATCATCGACACTGATCTGCTTGACTTCGTAAGCCTGTTCTGCGAGAAGTTGGGTCTGCGCTAACATCACTATGTTATGAAGGTCGACGACCCACTTGCCATTGGACTTGCAAATGTGTTCCAAAAACGCGGCGAAGCGAAGATCGTAGGGGCCGTGTCAAGTAGACTGATTTGAATTCGTTAGGGAGAAGTTCTTTGACATTCTCTGGCAGGTGTGTTCAGCCGATATGTACCACCTGCGATAGACGCGATCAATAGCTACTACGGCCACGACAAGATACCTATTGCGATACAGAAGCCAGTTGACAACACTGTACGCTTCTACCTCCCTGATATGTGCCTCAGAAGCTTTCTCACTCCTCTATCGCAGACTCGAAACCCCACCATTCCTCAGGAGAACGAGTACGTGACGGGCTTAACGCACAAGTTCCCACAGGATGTGGGTGATGGCAGCAATACCATGGATACGGTCTTGCTGTACCGCCATCTACTTGCAGTGAGCCCAGACCACAGTATTACGATCGCTAACATTGGTTTTCACGATAATCTCTACCAATTACTGCAATCGCCGCCTGACAAGATCTCACCACTGTCGGGACCAGACCTGATCAAGAAGGTTATTGAGCATGTTGTGCAAGGCAACCCAAATGGCACATCGTTCAATTTCGAAGGCAACGGCCCCAAGTTTGCGCAATATGTGCTGATGCACTGGCCTGGCCGCGTCATATACGTTCCGGACGCAATTGGCAGTACGGTCTACTTTGGGTCAAAATTGACGACAGAGCTCAACAAGACAACAAGCCCGGTGCCTTACGCTGCTGCAACTAGCATCGGAATTGGCAATGTACATCAGAGTTGGAACTGCAAGTGTAACATCCTTTCACGGCGCTCGGACAATCGCTAATCTAGACAACACGTACAGCAACAGCAATCTACTACGCTGTACGCGGCCTTGACGATATCTATGGAGTAGAGAGAGGTGAAGGTGAAATCACCTTTTCCCAGAACGGAACGGCGGTTTGGGACTACAGCTCTCAATCACGGCTGCAGCAATCCATCGACTTGAAGATTAATAACGTCACATTCGCAGCAAGACTAGAGGAGCTACTATTATCAGAGCCGTCGATATTTCCGTAAGACGCGCAATCATATGTCACTGCAATCATTGATTCGAGATCACACCAATCACGAATTATGTTTACACAGCAACGCGCGTTACGCTACCTTTGCAGCAATTGAAAAGCCGCTTGCGTTGTATGGCTCCAGTCAAACAGGCGCTACACCTAGGTAATCTTTCCTCCCGGCTTTTGCAAGGCTACGATCTTAGTAGCGATAAGGTGTATCGCCGTTCCCCTGCAGTCAGTGACATCTACCCCAGATGTTGTAGACATTGTGAGTAAGGCGACACGAAACATTCTGCACGTCAACTCACTATCAGCCGAAATAGCTCCAGGGGGCTCGAGATTCGCTTGTATATTACAGAATCTAGGAATTCGATTCATGGATGTATGGCCCGGTGGTGAAATCAGCTACCTCGCGTTTAAATCAATCAACGGTGTCGATTCGAATACAAATAAGAGTAGGTTCGATACAAAGAGACACTACGCGTAGGTACATACTATTGACATCAACCCTCATCCTTACATTCCCAGAATAATCGCATCATGGGTCACATGAGGGGTCCACATATTTTGAAGAGGTAGATACTTAAAGAGCCTCTTTAGCAAATGTGCGCAAGATGAACGATTCACTAGTTCATGACAAATTTCTCTTAACAATTGCCATCTTAGTTCTTTGAACAGTTGTGATTCATCAAGCTGTTTCCCCTCCCAGCTAGCCGTGTATGTCCCTGTCTCAGGCGCGACAGACCGAATCGTCGAGCATCACCTCCTTCCTGATCGTCACCAGCTCGATATATGTCTCGGCAACATACTCCGGCTCGTCAGTGCCCTGAACCTGGCGACACTTATATCCGCAAGCACCTGGATCTCCCCGGTGCTTGTCAAGACCACGCGGACAAACGTACGTCTGCCTAATCCTCGGAACCACGTGCGACTCTTCGTCTACATCCTTTCTGACAACATACTTGACCAGATCCTCCGCTTCGAGGATCTTAGGCGCCGAGACATGGATGTTGATAGCCCTCAGATAATTCTTTTCTTTTATCCACCCATGCAGGACGTCCATTTGGAAGTACTCAGCCTCTACCTGAAGGCGCTGATACAAGTTGTAGTCAAAGCCATCAGCCTTATTCCAGAAGAGTGGGAAGATGTTCGGTCGGCGCATGAAGTCCAGCAGGTGTGCAAACAAGGTGGGGTTTGCATCGAGGAAGTACGAGCCGTTGGACTCGGGTATCCAGGTGAAGCGGTCAGAGAGCTGGAGGCGGAAGAGCCCTGACTCAGCGATGAGGATGTCTGCGGAGGCCCTGAATTTGCGACCGCCGACGTCGAGGGTGAGGATTTTCGGAAACGTTGTGGGTTCCGGCCTGTCTGCCTCTTCTGATGTTGGAAGCTGCTCAGTGTCTGCAGGGGAGAGGCGGGAGAAGCCCTTTTCGAGTTCGATCATCTCCTCAACAGACATTGCCGTTGTTGATTAGAAGGTAGATGTGGGCTGTACGGAAGTGATGGGCGCTTGCTGAACAAAACCGAAGTTTTATAATCATTGGGATCTGCAAATTATCTTCACGGTGAACACAGTCAGTTCATAAGATGGACGACAAGTGAACAGAGCTTGACTCTCCACCACACTGCTGCAGCCTCTCCCCATGCCCCCCCCTTCTTGGCAAGCAGCCGCTCCTCAACCCCCGAACCCTCTTCTCCGTATGCTCCTTCGTAATCTTGATCGCCTCATCCCTCTGCTTCAGAATATCCGAGATTTCGTTCTCGGTCGCAACGTCGATGGTCGCCAGCTTACACTCCAGACCCGTGAGCACCGCCGCGGGCGCGCCGAGCTCAGTCTCCGCAGTTTGCAGGTGCGTGCCCACGGCATCAACGAGGCCGAGAACGTCTATGTACTTTTTGGCACTGCGCTCGCTTAGGAGCCATGCTACTGTAGAGGTTCTGTCCGTCCCCAGACGCGTCGTCGACGGAGAGCGGGTCTGGGAGCGGAGTGGATTCAAAAATGAACAGGCTTTGTCGGTACACGTCGCCGTCGTCGTCGTCGAGGAAAATGACTTCGTCATCTGCTCTTGGCCGTTATTTCCTCCTTCTCGACCGCGGCAGCTCCTGGTAGTCACTGTACTCCCCGACTCTCTTGCCTGATTCTGGTGTGTGCCACGGTCTCTCCGGCATCAGCGTCAGGTGATTGAACATGCCAAAGCTCCCAGCTCCCAGCTTTCTGGTCTGTCTCTCAGACATGTCGTTCTCAGCTGCGAAACCTCCGTGCTTCGACGGGCTATCGGAGTCAGACTGCGGGCCACCTTCTTGTTTGCTTCACTTGTACCGGAGGAAGAGCAGATGGCAATAGCGTCTTTATCGCGAGTACTTTTGCGTTGGGGCGGCATGATGTTGGTGAATGAAAGAAGATCTGGGTGTATTGTAGGGCCAGCCTTGTGAATAGTCAAGTCAATAACGACCTCACATTCGCTATGCAGGTGACTGCTAGGCTCGAAATGTCAGTCTACCAAGTCAATCCAAGCGCGCTGGGCCCTACTTATTTGATTGTTGATAACTGTGTGTAGGGCAAACTGCATTTTGCGGTCTGCTACACACTCTACTCCACCACGATCAACAGACTATGAGACAGGGGCTTCATGTCCTCAAATCAAAGAGGATGCTTATATGACAATACTATCTGCTATATGCATATCTGGAAGCAGGTCCACATTGTGCCATGCACCAGACAAGGAATTTTTGAACAAACTGATTCCCTTTTCATTATCGGCTCTTTTGCCAACCGCCTTTGCAGCACAATCCGTCCTGGGATTTCCGGCTCGAGTAACGAGCTGACTAGAGCAAACCCTTAGCTACCCAATCACAAGCAGTCTCCGACTACCTAATTCATGCTCGCGCTTATCAGAGTCCTGAAGCCGCAGTACCTACACAGCTGTGCACTGCTAAACAGCCACTGTCTATATTACAAATACGTCAAAAAACTTAGGCAAAACTGTAGGGCAAGACTGGCGCAAGAAGAGCAATTTGGCACAACCCATCTAACAAGCTTTACCAGAGCCCAGCGCGTCCTACGCGAGCAAGCGCAGAACACACGAGTCGTCACGCAGCAGGGAAACACCGTCTCTCAAACATTATTTGGATGGCTATGCTATGCTTCATGCGTTCAAGAACAGAGAGCTCGCAGACATATAAGATGGGTATATGGGCACAGCTCAATACAAAACGCACCCAACCACCATGCAAATGCACAGACAAAAACGCCTTTGCCAATCCGTGCTGAGTAATTGGAACCAGGATGTCTGGACATCACATCTACGACTCAGCCTCCGCCATGATCTGCTCTCCCTCATCCAGCATGTCCACCACCCTCTTCAAGTTGCCAACCATCTCCTTGGCCTGTCCGACCAGCAGCAATTTCTCCGCATTTGCTGGTAAGCCCAGGTACGTCGGTGGCTCGCGCTCAGGCAGATCGTTGACCCACTGCATGAAGTCCTTCCAGCCCGTGGAGCTCGGGAGCTCGAGACCCTCGCTGTGCTCTGTCTCCTTGACGATCTTGAAGTTGTCCTCGAAGGCTGCGGGCGTCATGCACTCCTGCACGATGGATGCGAGAATGCGCCAGTCAGCTTCATTGTCGATCTTGCCGCCGTACATCTCGGTGATGAGAGTCGTGATCATCTCCCATGGTATCTTGGCAGGGGCGATGTTGGAGCGGCCTTGTGCGACGGTGTCAATCCAGGTATCGACGATGAAGCTACAGCACTCGTACTGCATCACGTTAGCATTTGATCAGATGTTCGTATGGGGCCGAACTTACATCGCTGTCATTGAACTCCCAGAACCCATTCCAGCCGAGCGTGGGCGCGTAGCGAAGACGCTCTTGGACCACAGCGTGCAAGAAGGACAGGATGAGATATACACGTGCTTTCTCGACTGGTGGCTTGTTAGCCTTCTCCGCCAGGGAAGAAAGCGAATCCTTCATGTTTGCGCGAATACCAGCAGGCTGCTCGTAAGACAGGACGCGAGAAGCACGAAGTAGATTGACAGGGATCTTCGGGCTTGACTCCATGGACAAGAAGAGACGGAAGTCGGGGTTGGGCTTGAGTGCTTCCAGCCTCTTTTCGAGTGACTGCAGCCACTGGGGAGCAAGGTGAACATTTTTGACAAGCACCCAGTTGCCAGTGGTGGCGGCATTCGCAATGGCCTTATCTGCGGTCGTAGCACCCTCGTCAGAACCCATGGCAATATTTGCGCAGGACACGCGTTCTCTCTCGACGAGGTTGTCGACCTTGTAACTGGCGTCGAATCCAGGGCTGGAGCTCAGTGCAACAGGGGTGATGGCGTTGACTTGCTTGACGATATCGCCGAGATCACCAGTGGCGTCAAGGATACCCTTGCCGAACACTTCCGTAACGAAGCGTTCGACTGCAGGCACGAAACGATCGACGCGGAACAACTTGACCAGGATCAGGGCCCGCAGCTGCTTGTCGAACTTGTTGAGGTTCTCGGGCCAAGCCTGCGGCACGTGTCGTTCGGCAAGCTCTTCAGTCAGGAACGTATCCCAATCACCGTCTGTGACCTTCTCCAACTCATCCCTGAAGATTGACATCTTGCTGGTCCGCTGCAGAGCCTCTTCTCTGCGTTCAGGCTGAGTGGAAACATCAACCGCCTCAACGTCGACGTCAAGGATCTTGTCAATGAGGGTCTTGTCCATTTTGTAAGGTGCAGCCTGTACAAGAAGCATAGCGAAGGTGACGCGGTCCTTCTGCAGCAGAGAAAGCGAGGTCCGGCGGTAAGCGTTAACAAACAGCTCGGCAATGATCTGGTCAATGCGAGCGACGTGGTTGGTCTCGGAACCGTTCCTGACCTTGCGGAGCACAGCCTCGAAGATCTGCGTAAAGTATTGCAAGGAGAACTGGTAGAAGTGGTTGAGGTGATGCAGTTGCTCCAAGACGGCGAAGATGGCTGAGCAGGAACGGGCAACGACGGTGTACTCCTTGGTGATATTCTCGACCTCTGTCATGACGCCGGCCGTTTCAGACACCTTGTCCGAGATCTCTTTGGCCTCTTTCTTGAGCGTCTCGAGGGTCTCGATGACACGATCGTCATCGAGAATGTTACCGCGAGACTCGTTGAGGGCTTGTAGAAGCCGCTTCTCAAGCTGGCGGAGATGGACGGCGAACTCGCCCTGCATCTTGATGAGGTTGGAACGGCGCTCGTCAACATCCGGTCGTTCCGACTTGAGTACTTCGTTCAGAGTCTGGGTCTGCAAGCTGCTCTGCGTGACTGTAAAGTTGACAAACGTAGTACGACTGCAGATATCGGGCGCAAAGTTGGCTGAAGGATCGCGCGTCGAGAGGTACAAGCGGAACGTCGGTGAAAAGTCGATCTCTTGCTTGCCGAGAGGAATGAGCACACGACCTCCAGTCTTCTGGTACTCCTTGTTAAGAACGTGGTTCAGAATCGGGTCCAGGTACTCGGCATCTTGGATGAGAATGGGATTACCAAAACGTAACGAGCTCTCCAGCTGCTTGACGAACGAGTCGTCGAGGAAACTTGTGACTGTGAGGCGGCGTTCCTTGCATTCATTCTGTAAGAACTCCGTAGTCCTACCGGAAGGATCGATGATCAGAGGGTAGCGGTTGAAGCGCTGCAGTACGATGGCGTTCTCTGTGCACAGGTCGTCAACAGGCAGACCGTTTTGCTGCCACGTTAGTCGATCGTCAGCAGTTGACAGGTACTCCGTGATCGGGTTGGGTGTCTTGAAGCTGATGCCCGAGTTCTTAAGCTGGTCATACCAGTCTTCTGTCAGAGCTTTCCTGTATTGCTGATCGTAGTAGCCAGCGTACGCTATGAAAGCGGCAGCGATCAGAACGTCACCGACTATGGTGTCAATCTGAGAGTCGAAAGACCTGCTGCTCTCATTCCAGCGAGTCTGCTCGGAGGACAGACTGTCAAGAAGACGCATGCTGCGGTTGACCTTGAATTCGACGTCGGACATCTCTTTCTGGATCGTCGTCTTGTCCTGAATCAGTACAGCATAGTCCTGCTGCAGGCGAGCAATATTTTTATCAAGCTTCTCAATCAAGACTTGCGTCTCTCTAGCTCCCCGTTCAGTCTCCGCCAGTTTTTGTTCGAGCTCGGAAACCTCCTTGCGGAGAGGGTCGACTCGAGCGAGGATCTCGGCGTACTGGACTTGTGCCGTTGTCCACTGTACAAGGGGACCGCACGCCTTCGATGCGCGATTGGCCTTTTCGACGGTGAAATCTTCGTTGTTCAGGTACTCACGGGTCATCGTGGTGCTAAGAGACTTGGTCATTTGCTCTTCGTTGTTAAACGCAACGATTCTGGCGATAAAGTCGTCACGCCTGGCAATAGCTTGGATGTCCTTCCAGTGGGCTGGCTTTTCTCCAAGAATCGTGCACACGGCTTCCAGAGCAAGCTTGACACCGGACGGTGGCTTGTTCATGGACCTTACTTCTGTCAAATGCTGTCGCTTGATGTTCTGCACGCTCTTTTGCGCTTCGATGACAGCAGGTTCGGCTGCTTCCAGGTCGCGGTTGGCCTCCACTTTACGCTCCTCGATTTCTTTGCGTTCTTGCTCGAGGCGAGCCTCCATCTCCTCGGCGCCCTTTTTCTTGTCTTCAGCTGTACGTTGATCGGCTACCATCTGCTGCAGCTTCTGGGCTGCCTCTTTGCTCTTCTGCTCGAGTTGAATCTTCTTCTCGGCGAGACTCTTGCGCAGGACTGCAACTTTGTCGAACGTCTCAGTAAGCTTTTCCAGACCCACGTTGAGATGGCGCTGTTGCTCTTCGAGATCATCGCGCTTTTCGTTGTATAGCTTGACGTATTGTGCGACAAAATCCAAGAAGTGGCGTGGTGTCAGGTACATCTTGCGGTTCTGTGTCTTCTGGAGTTTCTCGTTCTTGCTTCTTAGCGAGTGATGAACAGCGACCATGGCGTTAACAACACTCTCGCGGTGAGACGGTGGAAGATTGAGTCCGCTGTAAGCAACTGGAATGCTGTCTGGCGCCACATAATTCGACCGGTCCAGGTCGACAGAGTGAGTAAGTTCGGAGCCTACTTGGAACAAAGCCTGGTCTGACCAATCGCCGAACCAATTGAGCACACAACGGTTGAAAAGGGCGGGACTGGTTGCAGCCTTGGATGACAGACCCTCTTCGGGAGGGTTCATCGTGAAGACTACGTGTAGGTTCTTGACGATCTGTTCCGTGAACCATTTGTAGAGCTCTTCCTGAGAGTCGAGAACGACACCTTGCCGCTGAGCGCCCTCTTTGATAGATGTCATGAGAGCAGTATACTCATCGCCTTCGAAGAGACCAGGCACTTGAGCGTTCGCAAGCAGGGTGTTCATGCGCTCCAAGAAACCGGAGTCGAGGACGTTGGCTTCATCAAGGATGAAGCAGATCTTTTGGTTCTTGCATCCACAAAGACGAAGAACGGTGCGAAGATCCTCGTCGAAGTCGTCACTCGTGTATTTGCCGTGAACTTTGATCTGATACACCCTGAGGCCGTTCATCCAAGCAACAAAGCGCGATAGCGTAGTCTTGCCAGAGCCACTGACACCGATGAGGATAAGATGACCCTGAGGCTGGCGGAATACACGATCAATTCGGAGGACGTGCTCGAGAACATCGTTGAACAGAATGAGAGGAACGTCAACCTCTTCTTCACAAAAGGTACGGAGACGGGCTTTGACAAAGTCGCGGAGCTGGTCACGCTCAACTGGCACGTAGTTCTTTGACAGCCAGTTCGAGAATAGGATAGGTCCTCCAAGGGCTTTGTCCTCGTCGATGGTAGGGAAGTGCTCCAATGCGACGCGATGTACACATTCCGCGGTCCATGCTCGCTCATCTTCCGCAATGAGACGATCTTGGAATAGTCGTAGAGCTTCGTGTGCCCAGATCCTGATAAGGCCTTCCACTGGCAACGTCTCGAGCGGTCGTAAGGCTTCGTAAATACCACGCACCCAACGCGTAAGCTCACGAGGCGAGTAAATGTAGTGTGGCTGGATGTCTGGAGTAAATCTCTTCTGCGACTCGGAGTACAGCTGGACCATGGCTCGAGTAAGTGCATCCGAGTAACCGCGCAATGTGGGGATGATCTTCAGCACAGCGCTTGTGAACGTTCCGTAAATCTGCAGAAGAGACTGCTCGCCGGGATAGTCAACCATGACCAATGGAGCGTGGCGTAGGAAACGCAGACCCATAGGAGTACGGCCTGCATCCGTGGGAGGGTTGCAAGCACCCACGAATTGGATACGATCAAGAGTAACCCAAGTCTTGTCAGAAGTCCTCCAGAATCCATTGTGTTCCACAAGTTGACGAAGGAACGAGATTGCGCGCTGAGTGCCGTACTTGTCAGGGGCGGGCAAATTGATCTCGTCGCAGAAGATGACGATCCAACGACCTATCTGGGTTGGGGTGAGCTGCACACCATTCACGGTCTTCTTGTACTCGCAGTGCTGCTCGAAAGTCTTGATGAGCAGGTCGGGGGTTGTTGCACTGGAGAAGTTGAGGTCGACAACTTGCATGTGCGACAGCTTCTTAAGCGCGCTGAAGAGTGTCATAGTCTTTCCGGAACCTGGTGGACCACACAAAAGGAGTGGTTTGTGCTCAGCAAGCCATGAATAGAGAACATCCTCGTGACGGACCGTGTCGAGCGTGGGAATAACAACATCTGTCTGGACGATGGAGTGCGTGTTGACCTCGATGTTAGGGACCTGGTCCTGCCACATGTCCCAATCAGCCTTCTCCGGCTTGGCATCGTAGTCAATCAGAGAATTCGACTCATTAAGGGGTGGTAGCTGCACATCAGTCATGCCCGCCAAAAGGTCACCGAACTGCTTGCGATCCGACAGCGGGCAGTCACCGACAAGTGCCCAGACGATGGCAACAAGTAGCTTCTTGGAAAGATAGGCCTCCATTCTGTCGTCGTCGAGGGGGAAGTCTTGATGCTGCACGTTGTACTCGAGGACGTTCCGACAGGCTTTGTTGAGGAGCGAGAAGAGAGTGTTGAGCGCGCGGATGTCGGTGTACTCCATGATGTGTCTGAACTTGCGCGCCATGCTAAGCGCCTTCTCGATGAAGCGGTCCTGAGTGAGTTTGACCTTCAGATAGTCTGCAATGAGGACCTGTGTAGAAAGTGTCTGCTGTGACATCTGTCCGGGTGCAACAGTGTCGTCCTCAATATCTTCAAACGCAGTGGCTTTGAGGTTCTGAATGTAGTTCTCGACCATCATGTCAATATTGACAGTATCCTCGCTGAACCACACCATACCACATCGAGAAACTGTAGCCAATGTAGCGTACTTCAGCGTCTCGACTTCGAACATGATGCGCACGTTGGAAGGGAGGTTGAGACGCTCACCATTGGGCAGGGTGAGGAGTTTGTTATCGTCAAGAACAGAGTTTAAGTTCTCCACCCATTCGGGGTCGACATCGCCATCGAATACGATCCAGTGACGCTTGCTGTCCTCGCCACGGAGGTTGTCGACGATCTTGCGGAGGATGCCGGTAAACAGACCATCAGTCCACTCGCGAGTCGTGTTGTCCAAGACGCCATAGAGTTGCTCTTTGGACATGACTTTCGGGTCGATCACGTGGCAAACGCCCTCAATGCCGTCGGCATCTTGCAGCGCCCGCAAGAGCGTTCTCCATGCCGCAGATTTGCCCGACCCAGATGATCCGACCATCATGACACCATGGTGTAGATTCTGAATCTGGTACAGCTGGAGGATCTTCGTCATCCAAGCCTCGCTGACGACCAGCTTCGAATCAGCTGCCTGCTTGCGGATGGCGGCGGTGAGCTTGTCGAGAGGTGCAGGGATGTACTGGACGCCAGGGAAAGCCTCTTCCTCGATGCTGCGCATAATGTCAACATCGGAGCGGATGAGCTTGGGAGCGATAGTCTCCCGTAGACTCTGAACAATGATCTGTGGCTCCATGACAGCTTCATCGGCCTCCGCAGTGTCGATAACGGCGATGCGAGCTCGCTTCAGCCCACCAGAGCTGACAAGTACGCTCTTCAGGGCGCGCAGACCGAAATCGTAATGGGCTTGCTTAGACAGGCTGGAAGCACAGCTGTCAAAGAACGGCACAACCTGCTTCGAAAGATCCTTAGCTTGAGAGAAACCCTGAGAGTAGAGCATGACTTCGGCAATCAGCTCCTTGTCAGGCTTGGACATGGCGATACTTCGGAACAACTTCTTCAAATTGTCAGGCAAGTTGGATCGACCGGCATATCCAGGGTTCATCGTGATGAAAACACCCGTGTTGGCGTTGACCTTGAGCTGGCGTCCAACGAGTTCGATCTGAGCCTTGTCATCTTCGGCGCCCTTCTTCAGACCAAGCTGGATGTTCTGAATCTGCTGAGAGACAGCGGAGAGGATACGCTCCTCGAGACGGTTGAACTCGTCGAAGCAGCCCCAGGCGCCGACCTGGCACAGACCAAGGAAGATTCTGCCCATGGCCTGGAAGTCGAATGTGTCGTCACAACAGAAGACGAGAGTGAAGCGACCGAGCTGGACACCGAGGGCCTTGACGGATTCGGTCTTTCCGGTACCAGCAGGTCCATATGGCGACCCACCAAGACGCTGGCACATAGCCTGCGTGAGGGTAAGGAAACAGCGATCGGTAAGTGGTGTCCTGACAAGACGATCGGCTACACCCAGGTACTCGAAACCATAGTCCAGGACGGCGTTGGCCATCTTGATCTTGAGACGCTGGAGCAAATCGTTGCCAGGCTCGTGTGTGTAGCGCATCGTAAGGAGCCACATATGGTGAGTCGGCGAGCTGGCGCCAACCTTGTGAAGCCTGTGGAGAACGTCACGTTGGTGCACGAACTCGGTGATGAGATCCTCGCACTTCCTGCGTTGAATAGGCTCAAGGTCGCCGAGTACCGAGGCAGCCAGGAGTTTGAGGATGTTGACTTGCTTCTCATACAGATTTGACAAGGTGTTGCCCTCCGCGGCGAGAGATGCTTCCACTGCCTGGGTCCATGCGATTTGTGTGCCAAGTACAACGACCTGGGTTGGAAACTTTGCAATATAGTTGCTGAAGTCAGACGGGTCCATGGTGTCGGCTGACATGAGCTGTGCAAATTCCTCGAATGCTTCGAAAGTCAGCTCCGCAAGAGTAGTCTTCATATTCCTCTCCAATGCACCCAGCCACTCGTTGATACGAGGCGTTTGAAGCAGAGAGATGGTCTGACGCAGCTCGACCACTTCGCCCTCCTTGGAAGTGATGCCTGTGATGACACCGCTCTCGTCGGTGGTCAGACCAGAGAGACCAGCAAACATCTTCTTCAGGTGCTTGGCAACGCGCAGAACATCGTTGCTGTTTCCGATGATCTCGAGTAGATCCTCGTCACCGACGAAGTAGAAGCGAGGAAATGCCACGCGTTCGCGCTCGAGGTACTCTCCCAAGGCTTTCTGGATCTTGGAGAGGTTATCCGCAAGTTTATCGAGCGACTGCTGAACGCCTGGAATGTTGAGAGCGTCCATCACGCCAGGATGACGCCAGACCTTCTTCATGACCTGCATGAACTCGGAGTTGATGTTGTTGAAACGTGATGATTCCATAGGGAGCAGGTGCTTGATGTCGGCATTGCCAGTGAACACGCCTTCGAGGTACACCCACTGACGCTGTACATCTATCCAAACGTCGAACAAAACATGGACGCGGTTCAGTCGATCCTCCCACACCGATGCTTCTTCTTCAAATTCCTTGAAGTATGGTGAAAGCCGCATTGTCGCGAGTCCATTGAGATTCTCACTGCACTTGGCCATCAGCTCGTCCCACCCCTTGATGAGACGGCATTTGTTCTGATAGCCGACAAGTTGCAGCTCGTAGTTCTGCCATGTCTCTCGTACTTCTTTGATGTAGATCTCTAAGCCCAGCTCGGCGCTTGCCTGCTCGAGTATGCCCGAAATGATCTTCTCGCTTGGGCCAAGCTTGAGATCCCATACCTCACCCAGGGTCATGGCTGTAGGCGAGTACATCTTTCCGGGCTTCAGCTGTTTAAAAATCTTGACCCAATGACGTTCGCGCACAGAATCGGAGCGCAGTGCTTCGATCGTCTTGTTCTCCTTGAGAAGCTGTTTCAAGGATTTCTGCACATACTCAAAGGCTTGGTACTGTCGGATCCTAGGCAGAGACTCCTTTGTGGTTTTGTCCAAATCGTTAAGGTTCTTCCTGAGTCTATGCGGCTGTATGCTGGTCCAGAGTTGTTCGCGCAGGTCATCCAGGGATGCCCAAATGGTACCGACTCTTGCCCAGACCTGCTTGAAATCGTGCACTTCTTCGTAAAGCCCGTTCAGAACAGTAATGGGCGACGGGGGCAGCCCAAGAGCTTCTTTCGCTTTTGACAGATTGCCAGACTCAGTAGTCAACTGATCGATCCTCTTGTCGTACCTGGCCAAGACAGCGGTCGCATCTTCCGGATTGAGGTTTCCGGCAACTGGCTTCTCAGTAGCCCACTCGTTGGTCACATCGGCAATCTTCTGGTTGACAATCTTGTCTTCGGCAGCGATCTTGGCCCGGAGTGCGTCAGCCTGGTCGTCGGCAATCTTTGTCTTCCGGGCTAGGACCTCAGTCAGTGTCTGCCATTCGTGCTCGATCTGCTCAATGGGCAGCCAGTTCGGGGGTTGTGGGTAACGCTGGCGCGATAGCGTCTGTGAGCCCTGTCGGAAGGTTGCAATCTCAGGCTCCCATTCCATGACCTGGCGTTTGCATTGCTGTACGGTAGTAATGAACGACACAGCTTGTGCCGTCGAGGACGCTTCCAGTGTCTGCACCTCAAGATCCTTGCGTGCCTTCGAAACATCGACGAACACTTCGTTCATGCGCTGGCCGAGCCTGTTGGCAAATTTGTTGAGTATCTCCGCTTGCCATTGGTCGTACTTTGCATTGACCTTGACCTGCACCTGATCGTAGTCAACTGTGACATGACCAAAGCGTCGGCTGATGTCCGAGTTATCAAAGGTAGAGCGGGTAGAGCGGATCTCCTGCAACATCTGCAGCCATCGCGAAAGGTCCTCTCCGAGGGTCTCGTAGACGACTTCAGACTGAAGATCCCACAAAGATTGAAACTGCAACCAGTTGTCGACATAAGTGGATACATCGCGAACCTTGCCTTCAACAGCGTTGTACACCTCGATGAGTGAGTCGGTGCACTTGCTCGGCAAATCGGAGAACTGATTGACAGTGATGTCCTTCGTCGACTCCAGGCGAATCTCGTATCGCGAAGCTTTGACCTTCTGGAGCGTGCAAACGACCGCGAGCCACTGCTGAAGCTGCTCGAGCCAGCTCGCTCGGGCAAACTCTACCGGTGGACTCAGGAAAATGAGCTGATTCCGCATGGTGACCTCCAATGTGAGCTGCGACAATGTTGGCTTGACCTCGTTCGCATCTCCGCTTGCTGTTTCGGCAGTGACCCGACGGTCAGCATCTTCTTCGCCGCCATCATTGAACACATCAATCCACTGCGACATGGCGTATCTCAGGCGCACAAGCAAGATAGACTCAATGCGAGTGTTCATCTCTGACACCCACGTTGCAAGGTTGGCGTAGTTCTCCAGATTGAGCGTATCGACAGACTTCTGTATGGTCTCCAAATTCTGTTGGAAGGCCTCCTTGGTGTATGGACATGTCTCCAGTTCCTTGAGTGCCTTCTCAACTGTGGCGTTGATGCCCTTGAGAAGATTCACTTTGGTCTGGAGCATAGAGGTTGCGGCCTGGAAGTCGCGAACAAATTGTACATGCTTGCTCTCACTCCTGACGCTTCCAGCACCTGCGGGAAATCCAGGTTGGCGGACATGCAGGTCATATGCGTGAACGAACGATTCCCACTTCAATGGCACACCCCTGTTGATGTGTGCCTGAACATCGTTCGCGTAGTTGTTGAGCAGAAGAGCAACACCACTCAATTCGGAGATCGAACGGACGGTCTGCGTGTACGTTCGCACACTCTCCATCAGGCTGACGGCGTATGGGTAGACACGCTTGGCCTCTTTGGATATGTTGTTGATGCCGTGCGGAACCTGGAATCCGCGCCAGGTCAGGTTGCGCACTTCCTTGAACAGAGCAATAACCTGACCATTGAAGTTCACGTTCAGTTCTAGAATATTACCCGCAGCACGATTCCTGCTGACGAGAAACAGGCGTCCAGAGATAGAAAGCTTGTTTCGCGCGACTGATTGCAGAAATGTCTCGAAGATCGGACGCGTATCCAACTTCTTTCGGAACATGCTGCTTTCTGCTTGGAGCTTCTGACCTTCGGCATGGAGGACCCAGTCTTTGCCAAGGATATCTTCGACTTTGCTCATATACTTGTCCAGCTGAGTCTCGATCTGTCGCGCCCAGATGACAGCACCGGAAACGGGTGGAAAGTCGCGGAGTTGCGCCATTGCGTGGGCTTCGGAGTTGGCATACTGGCGCTTGAAGCGTTCGTGTAGAGCCTGAATATCCATCTTAACGCTCTCGATAAGCTGTGTCTGGTACTCTGATATGGCTCCACGAATCTTAGGTCTAACGAAGAGAGGGTTGAACTTGGAGAACACGCGGAACATCTCGCTTGCTGTCTTGGCGGTTCCGAGGCGATCACGAAGTCGTGAAATGATCGAATTCTCGACTCGGGCGGTGCGCTCGTTGTACTTCTGCTCGGCCTGCTCGAATTCACGCGTGCCTTCTGGGGACACATCGAGGACATCAACATCTTTGAGAACGTCGTAAGCTTCCTTGACCTCCTTGACGGCGTCCACGCCTCCGATCTCTTCAATGATGACCTCCTTCGCCTGCGATCCATCAGATGAGGTAGACTCATTGCCGAGAACGTTGACGATGGTGGCCTGTAGCTGCTCATGGTTCTTTCTGAAGGTAGTAACGTAACGGATTCGCTCTTCGGTCTCACGGTGGCGTGGGTTGATCTTGATGGGAATGAACTTCTCATTCCTGCGCCTCGTGACTTCACGAGCGACATTCGTGAACTCCTTGACATCCTCCTCCCATGTACGCCAGATGCCTTCTGTTACATTCATGATGGCCTGGAACTCGGGATAATCCATGTGCATCAAGGTGCGGCCTGACAGCTTCTTGTGCAACTCCGTATCGAGATCGCCAGAGATGGCCTCCACGAGAGGAAGAGCTCGACGAATCGGGTATGGGCAGATGCGCAGCTTCTTGTTGAGATGGTTGAAGATCTGATTGATCGCATCATCGACTGCAGTCAGAGACGTAGAGGTGTGCAACTGATCCAGTGGGAACTCTCTCATCAAGGAGTTGTACTTTTGTACAAGGTCGGTCTTCTCCTTCAAGCCAGTGTCGGCACTGAAACTGACTGTGGCCTGGAATCGCTTGGCGTTCTTCAGCACGTCTAGAGTCAATCTGACGCCCGCACTACTCAGCTGAGTCTCGATGTCGTGCAGCCTCGACTCCATGGATATCCAGAAGTTGATCTCTTGCGATGCTGTTCCTGTCGAGACATCACGAGTGGTCTTTGTGATGTTCTGTATCGATTTGATCCAGCTGTTGACAGTTCCTTGTAGCTGATTGAGGAAGGTGCTATCCTGCACGACGGCGGTAGGGATCAGTTCCGGCGAGGGCTTCATCTTTCGATCCTCTGCTGCCTGAATTGCGAGAAGGATTTGTGGATGAAACGGCAAGAGCAGCTCCGGGATCTCTGTTTCATCGGTCATGTGCTGCAAGGCCAATGCCAACTCGGCAATCTTCTTCTTCGCTGCAGAGATGCCTGTCCTAGAGTCACTGTCGCCTTTGCTGTAGACCTCCTTAGGGTTACGCACGGTCTTCGCCTTGTTGTAGCTGTCGAAATACGGCTCGAAGGCAGATTGAATGAATGAATGCAAGAACTCCAAGGGTGCGCCATCTTGCGAAGTAGTGGTATTAGAAAGGATGAAGCCGGGAAGAGTCGCAATTTGAACTTGGTCGCTAAGGGGTATCGAGGAGTCTATGGGTATCGGTCGCTTCTGAAGAATAACAAACGCAGCGCAGTGAGGGGATGCGGAGAGATCGGTCGAAACAGTGTACGTGTAGATTTGGGAGACGCCTGGCTGCTGTTAGCTTGGGCACATGCTCGCTGTTCGAGAACACTCACCATTTGTGCCATTCGTCCCGTCCAGCCCGTCTATAGCAACCTCGGCACTTCGCTCCTTGACGATGTAGAGCACCGACTGGTTCTCCTTTGAGAACTGCGCGCATCTCTGCAGGGTATCGGTGCGCTTGTCTTCGGAGAGCAAGCTGCCAGGTGCACGGAGATCTCGCTCTGTGGCACCAAGATTGGCTTCGAGGATCCTTTCCAGGTAGTCGACGATAATCTGAGGGTCGATAGTGGGCGGTGTGGGGCTAGGCGCTCGTGAGGTGCCATTGGTGGCCCCTGGGGAGAGCGGTCCCTCCATAGTGAGTTGTTGAGTGTCTACTGGCGAGAAGACATGTGAATCCTCGTGGCCGGCGAGGTCGGGAAGAAAAATTGTATCACGACGAAGGTGTGGCTCGGTGGTGAAGGGAAGGTGCGCTCGCGGCGGTGATGGTGAGTGTGTTGACACGGCCGTCGAATACCTCAGTAAAGTCGCGTCGACAATCGGCCGTGCGCGTCACTTTAGTCTGCCGCAGGGATGCGGTAAGTCGCGGTGAAGCCGCAGTCTGATTGGTGCTAGGTCTCAGACAGACGCAGCCTCTACAAAGACGTGTAGTCTGCTTGAAACACGGAAGGCGCGTCCTGAATGGATGCAGCCGGAAAGATATGCTTTTGTTTGTTTGGCAGTCGGCAATATTTACACCGCCTCAAATTTGGTGGAAGCACAGCAGTGACTGACAGCAAAGTGCCCCACTTTAGGTATTCATTGTTGAGCTATCACTGCAGACTGTCTCAGATGTGCGTAGTCATCAAGTGAGAGGGCAAGAGCTACTCATCCTCCGGCTCCCAAATCTCGAAGCCCCCTACTCATCCTCCGGCTTCCACACCTCGATCTTGGTGCGCCAATGCGGCTTCAGCTCGATGCTCTTTAGGACACTCTCCGTCTTCTCCCACGGCACGCCAAACTTGCCACTATTAATCCTGCACATGCGAATCTCCGTAACCCTGTCGTCGACCTGGCTGATCAGCTCAAGCAACATGGACAGCGACTGTGCAGTATTTGCGATGATTTGATCAGGCTTATCCTTGCGCTTGCCATACTTTGCGCTGGTGAAGAGACACCCGATCCAGTGCTGCTTGTCGCCGTCGCGTGGCGCGAGGAGCTGCGCCGTACCTGTCGCGACGGGGCTTGTCTTGCTGTGGTCTTTCGTGCAGAACTTGTTGTGGTCGAAGTAGGCTTTGGGATAATGCTGCTTGAACGCCTTTGCTATGCCGGCGCCCCAGTGACCCTGCGTGTTGCAGGCGTGTACGAGGACGGTGCCTTGCGGTGCGCCTGTGAACATGTCGCCCTTGTGGTGTGTGACTTGTAGTGATTGGGACTTGCCTTCCTGGCTGCTGGGGGCATTCAGCCAGCCGGATGATGAGATGTGGGTGTGGTCGAGGTGAGCTTCGTCGCTGTGAGCTTCGTCGCTGTGAGCCTCGTCGGTAGTGTTGGCTTTGGCCCTCTTAGCTGGAGGTGGTGAGCCTGCCGCCGTCCTTTTGACGCCACTCGCAGTAGATGCCTTGGAGCGGGTAGCACCGCTGCTGTTTGCTTGAGAAGGCATGGCGGTTGTTTGTTGCTTTAGGGGAAGACGGTCATTGGCGCACTTTAGAGGAGCGAAGATGAACTCTTTCCACGAGAAACAGTGAAAGTGCGTGATGAACAGCACAAGATGGCAGGCAACCAGGGCTGCAGCACCCCTCAGCCAACACTACCGCTGACGAAGCAGCGCATCGGTCGTCGATGCGGGACATGCGAGCCACAGCCTCCCATTCCCAGTGGAGGTTACTGCGTGCACGTCTCTGCCAGAGTCGTGGTGTTGATGTTCTTGGTGTTGATGTTCTTGCCGGCCCGGAGGTGGTGCTGACGGGCCAATCAGGCGGCGGCTGATTGAACATGGACGACACTCAATTCTTGCATCGAGCTCCGACGACGTCCATCACCACCACCCGCCATCCGCGCCCACGATGCCAGCCCTCGCCAACAGCGCCCGTGCCGTCGCACGCTCATGGACCGCCCACCAGATGCCCGTCGCGCGGGCGGGCTGCACTGCGATGCAGACCCGCAGCGCGTCGGCGTCGTCGTTCGACAGCCCCTTCAAGGGCAGCGCCGACAGCACCAAGATTCCCTCGTTTGCCGCCTACCGGAACAAGAACGGCGAGCAGAGCACCAAGGTCTTCCAGTACTTCATGGTCGGCACGATGGGCGCCCTGTCCGCTCTCGGCGCGAAGGCCACGGTCCAGGGTAAGCCACCCGCCACAGCACGAAGCGCTCCGAGCGCGGCGGAGACGCAGCACAATGCACACTGGAGAACGGCGGCGAGCCATTGGCTGTTTTGTGGATGATTGGAGGCTGCAATTGATGGAGAACACGCGGGCTAACGCATCGCGCGACAGACTTCCTCGTCAACATGTCGGCGTCGGCCGACGTTCTGGCGCAGGCCAAGGTTGAGATCGATCTCGCCGCCATCCCCGAGGGCAAGAACGTGCGTGTTTGGATGAGCGTGGGGTAATTGCGGGCAGCAGCTGAGACAGCACAGGTCATCATCAAGTGGCGCGGCAAGCCCGTCTTCATCCGCCACCGCACCGAGGGCGAGATCAAGGAGGCCGAGGACACCAAATGGGAGGCGCTCCGCGACCCGCAGGCCGACAGCGAGCGTGTCCAGAAGCCCGAGTGGCTGATCATGCTGGGTAGGATTAGAATGCGTCACAAGTGGAGGACCCCCCGACTGACGGCGAACAGGCGTCTGCACCCATCTCGGCTGTGTGCCCATCGGCGAGGCCGGCGACTTTGGCGGCTGGTTCTGCCCCTGCCACGGATCGCACTACGACATCTCTGGCCGCATACGAAAGGGACCCGCGCCGCTCAACCTCGAGGTGCCCGCGTACGACTTCCCCGAGGAGGGCAAGGTCGTGATTGGTTAGCGTCTTGCATCATGTAGAGTAGCGAGCGGGTGCGAGAAGCTGGCTGTGTGAATAGGAGCGCACGACGATTTCGTTTGGTTTATTTTAGAGTCGGCTTGTGTAGGAATGTAACACCAGTAGAGTCAGTGCCGTGTTCGTCGTTTCACGTGATTACGGCCACTGTCCATGATTGTTCATTCACTTGATTGACTACTTGATCATGACTACCATACTATCATGACTACCATACTATCATGACTATCATGACTACCATGACTACCATGACTACCATGACTACCACGACTATCATGACTACCATGACTACCATGACTACCATGACTACCATGACTATCATGACTACCATGACTACCGTGACTACCATGACTACCATGACTACCATGACTACTGCAGAAACGCCTTGATGGCGTCGACAGCGCCGGCGAACCGGGCGGCCTCAATCAGCGTCAGATGCCCCTGCGGACGGACGCCCATATCCTGAAACGCCCTCTTGCTGTCGCTCGCGCCCTCATCGACCGGGGTATCGTAGTTGAAGACAGCGTGGCCGACAGCGTGCTGGCGCAGCACCTCGTCCTCGGGGTGGAAGTAGAAGATCTCATCATCGCCGCTGGCCGGCTTTTTTTTCTTGGCAGGCGGCTGCACGGCAGCGGCCGGCAGACTCGAGGCGACCTCAGCGTACGCCTTGGACAGCACCAGGTAGTGCGTGAAGGCGTAGGGCTCCTTTGCGTCGAGCGCCCACTGCATCTCCTCCAGCAGCATGGCGTACATGGGCGGCACGATTTCGTGGGGCATGTTGATGAAGCGCTCCGTCAGCACGAGGCCGATCTGCGCGGGCGCCGCAGGCAGCAGCTGCGGCGCCTTGGAGCGCAGGTAGGCGGTCAGGTCGCCCACGACGGGCTTGTCGCTGTGCGTCTCCAGGTTCAGCACTGTCAGGAAGGCGTACGGGTCCGTCTCGGCGCCGTCGACCTTCACCGTGCTGCCCAGCAAGGGCTGCGAAAGGATCAGGTCGGCCAGCGCGCTGAGGTCGAACAGCTGGTGGTCGACGTCAAGCAGCTGGCGCAGCAGCGTCTTCAGCCCGTGGAAGTCGACGGCCGGGTTTGGGTCGAACCACTCAAAGTCGACGTTGACCATGTCCATGTCCTAGATGCATGCGATGAGCGCAGCGCGTGGGCTCGCGGGAGATGCGCCAAACCTCGTCGCTGTCCGACTCGCCATCCTGCGGCTGCCTGCCCGCGCCCTTGCTCTCTGGCGCGTCGGGCAGCTCCTCGGCGTCCTGTTTCCGCTTGGCCATTGTGTGCGGTGCGGTGCGGTTGTGCTGTGCATTCACCCGCCTCCGCCCAGACCTGCGTCGCAACTGGGTACCGGTATGTGCTTATCGATAACAACCTCTGGAGAAAAAAAAAAGTCCCACTAGCTTGACTCGCCGACCCCGCCGTTCACCGTCGCCCTCTTGCGCGACCCTCTCTCGTTTTTGTCTTCCCTTTCCTTCTTCGCTCTGTTCCCTTCTCTTCGCACTTTTTCCTCCTTCCTCTGTTCTCCCAATTCACCGCCAGCATGACGACCGACGCGACTCCCCCCGTCCCGCCGCACAAGACGTTCGACACCATCCTGGTGCTCGACTTTGGGTCGCAGTACACGCACCTGATCACCCGCCGCCTGCGCGAATTCAACGTTTACTCGGAGATGCTGCCGTGCACCGCCAAGCTGGCCGACCTCGACTTCACGCCCAAGGGCATCATCCTGTCCGGCGGGCCGTACTCGGTCTACGAGGAGGGCGCCCCGCACGTCGACCATGCCGTCTTCGACCTCGGCGTGCCGATTCTCGGCATCTGCTACGGCCTGCAGGAGATGGCGTGGCACTTTGGCAAGAACGCGGGCGTCGCCGCCGGCGAGAAGCGCGAGTACGGCCACGCCCACCTGAGCCTGCAGCAGCACGGCGGCCACGTCGACGAGCTGTTCAAGGGCCTCGACAGCGACATCGAGGTGTGGATGAGCCACGGCGACAAGCTGAGCCACATGCCCGAGCACTTTGTCACCGTCGCCCAGACGCCCAACTCGCCGTACGCCGGCATCGCCCACAGCGACAAGAAGATGTACGGCATCCAGTTCCACCCCGAGGTCACCCACACGCCCCAGGGCAAGGTCCTGCTCCGGAACTTCGCCGTCGACATCTGCCAGTCCAGGACCGACTGGACCATGGGCAAGTTCGTCGACCAGGAGATTGCCCGCATCAGGTCCCTCGTCGGCGACAAGGGCCACGTCATCGGCGCCGTCAGCGGAGGCGTCGACTCGACCGTCGCCGCCAAGCTCATGAAGGAGGCCATTGGCGACCGCTTCCACGCCGTCATGGTCGACAACGGCGTCCTGCGCCTCAACGAGGCCAAGCAGGTCAAGGAGACGCTGGAAAAGGGCCTCGGCATCAACCTCACCGTCGTCGACGCCTCGGACCTCTTCCTCGACCGCCTGGCCGGCATCAAAGACGACCCCGAGAAGAAGCGCAAGGTCATCGGCAACACCTTCATCGACATCTTCCAGCAAAAGGCAAAGGAAATCGCCGCGGCCGCACACAACACCCCGTCCGCCGGCGAGATCGAATGGCTCCTCCAGGGCACCCTGTACCCGGACGTCATCGAGTCGCTCTCGTTCAAGGGCCCCAGCCAGACCATCAAGACGCACCACAACGTCGGCGGACTGCCCGCAGACATGAACCTCAAGCTCATCGAGCCGCTGCGCGAGCTTTTCAAGGACGAAGTCCGCGCCCTCGGCGTCGAGCTCGGCATCAACGAGGACCTCGTCTGGCGCCACCCGTTCCCCGGCCCGGGCATCGCCATCCGCATCCTGGGCGAGGTGACGCGCGAGCAGGTCCGCATCGCGCGCGAGGCAGACCACATCTTCATTGAGGAGATCCGCGCCGCGGGCCTGTACCGCAACATCAGCCAGGCGTTTGCCGCGCTGCTGCCCGTCAAGGCCGTCGGCGTCATGGGCGACAAGCGCGTCCACGACCAGGTCATTGCGCTGCGTGCCGTCGAGACGTCGGATTTCATGACTGCTGATTGGTATCCGTTTGATGGCGCGTTTTTGAAGCGCGTTTCGCGTCGCATTGTGAATGAGGTTAATGGCGTCTGCCGTGTTGTTTACGATAGTAGGTCCCGCTTTGCGTTTGTGTGTGTGCATGTCGCTAACGAGTCTAGTCACCAGCAAGCCCCCGGGCACCATCGAGATGGAGTAGGCGCCGACAATGTGGTGGGCGTAGCTGCTGAATGGAGTCGTGGACGGAGAAAAGAATAGTAGACTTGATGATACCCTGCGAGAGCGAGCGCATACGAGACTTGCGAGAACGCGAATTGGATATGGATAGATATGGATGGATATGGATGGATATGGATGAATATGGATGGATGTGGGTGGATGTGGGTGGATATCATACGAATATGAGTATCATTCAACACACCCCACCTACCCATCAACGCCCGCCCGCCCACGATCTACAAGTTCCTCCCCGCCCCCCTCCGCCACGAACGCCCCCCCCCCCCCCCCCCCCCCACCATCCGCCCTCCCCGCCACAGTGCGACGCCCACGCCCCAAGCCAACACGCCCCAGCACCCCCCGCCACACCGCGTCGACACCCCCCGCAACCCTTTTCACAACGCGAAACAGCGCCTCCATGCGCTCATCTTCGTCCTCGGCTCCCCCGCCGCCGCTGTTGTGTTGTGTAGCCTCAGCCTGGAACTCGTACCTGAGACAGTCCTTCACCGTAACGAGACCCGCGAGACGGCCGCGGTGCTCGATCAGCACGGCGCGCGGGCCCATTTTGTGGAAGATCTGCATGACTGTGTCGAGCGGGAGGCGGGGGTGGACTGTGAGGGGTGTGGGGTCGAGGAATTTGGCGAAGTTGATTGTGTCGGTCTCGGGTAATGAGGAGGAGGATGATGGGGATGGGGCGAAGGAAACACCCGCCGACAACGAGGCGCGTGTGTCGTTCCGCGCGCGGTCCAAAGCGTACTGGAGCTCCACGCGGCCGATGTATCCGAGCAGCGTGCGCGTCGAGAGGTCCGACACGACGGGGTACCCTTGGAATGTGTTGTCGCGCAGCGTGGCTTCGAGGTGGCGCAGCGTCCAGCCCGTGGCAGGGAGGCAGACGACGTCGCGGGCCATGACGGTGGAGACGGGGACGCCGAACGCCGTGTCGTGCTTGGAGTCGAGGAACGGGTAGCCATTGAGGTAGATCATGCGGTCTGCGATGCCGCCGTGGCCGAAGCGCTCGCTGACTGCCTTGGTGACGCCGACGACCAGCATCGTTGGTAGGATGTATGTTAGTGCTCCTGTGATTTCGAACATGATGACCACCACGCTCACGGTGATGTGCATTATGCCGGATAGCGTGGCCGCAGCGCCCAGGAACGCGTACGTCCCCGGCGTGATGCACGGCTCGTCCGGCAGGCAGGCGCTGAAGAAGGCCGAGCTGGGGAACGACTCGTACAGCGCCTCCACGAGGATGCCCACCATGCGGCCAAAGGCGGCGCCAACGGCCATGCTGGGCACGAAGATGCCGGCCGGCACCTTGCAGCCGAAGGAGATGATGACGAGCAGTGTGCGCAGCGTGAAGGCGATGAAGAGCGAGGCGACCATCTGCCAGCGCCGGTCGCGGCTGCGGGCGTCAGTATCGATTTCCGACAAGTCACGGCAAAGCCAAGGCGGCGGACTCACTCGCACAGCTGGTTGTAGTCGTGTTCGCCCTCGCACTCCTGGAACAGGATCTCCATGCTCTCCGTCATGTCGATGCGCAGGAACATGTTAGGGTAGCAGATGACGGCTGTCGCGACGGCGAGGACCACGGCTTCGGTGACGGGGTACGCGCTCAGGTACCTCTTGCGGAAGACCTGCATCTTGAGGTTCCACTTGATGACGAAGGCGCCGTAGAGCCCGCCAAACGCGCCGATGACGAGGTAGAAGACGACCTCGAAGAAGTGCCACGAGCGGTCGTACCGGACCTGGAACATGACGAGCTGGCCGGTGCGGAAGGGGTTCATGGCCTGTCAGCATCAGCTCAACTTGGTCACGTGCGTGTTGGGGAGCGTGTTGGGACGCACCGCCAGCACCGCCGTCGCCACCAGCGCGCAGAAGTAGCTCCTCCACATGGTCTTGAGCGGGAAGTGGTTGCACATCTCCTCGAGACTGAACAGCACGCCACCAATGGGGCTGCCAAACGCAACGCCGACGCCGGCGGCCGCGCTCGCGCTCAGGATCTCGCGCGTCTTCGCGGCGTTGCGTCGATACTTGTCGAAGAAGCGGCTGATGACGTTCCCCGTGCACACGGCATAGTGCACGCTGGGCCCCTCCTTGCCGACGCTGAGCCCGCTCGCAATGGCCAGCGGCAACCCAATGCTCTTGATGAACAGCGTCGTCGCGCCCAGAAAGCCCTTCATCACAAAGCCCGCGATGATGCACTTCATCTCGCTGATGCCGCTGCCGGCCGCATACGGCGCAAAGCTCTTGACCAGCGTCGCCGCCGTGAGGGCGAACAGCGCCGCAAACAGCATGTACAGCACGTAGTTGACGGGCCACACGTGGCTCCAGCGCTTCCACTCGGCACAGCCGCCCTCGGCGCCCCAGCAGCAGAAGCTCTCGTTGAGGTAGAAGGCGGTGGAGCAGTAGCCCAGCTTGATGTCGCTCAGCCACTCGGTGACGATGTTCAGCATTGCGGCGTTCAGCCCGATGGCCGCCCCGACGAGCGTCACCACGATCCACGCCTGGCCCGCATCGTACGCCTCGGCCATCTTGCGCCGCCACTTGCCGCGCCCGCGCCCGAGGATCACCCTGCCCGTGTGCCTGTGTGGCGCTGCCAGCGCCCTGCGCCGCGCCCTGCGCCGCAGCGATTCGCGCGCCGCATCCTGCACCCAGTCGATGGTCGTGAAGTCCTCGTAGCGCTTGATCTCGGCGATTTCGCTGGCCATGACCGCATCCGCGACGGCCGTGGATGCTGCGTCGGCGTCGTCATGATTGTGCGATTGGATCTCGGCGCTGGTGTTGCGGCGCCGCAGCGAGGGCGTCATCGCATTGTCTGTCGTTGGTGTCGGGTCTGCGGAGAGAGCGGAGGTCCGATCGACGACGGGACGGAATGGAACGTGCGGGCGAGGCTGTTGACATGTGGTCGAAGCGTTGACACAAGCAAACATCACGTCACTCATGTGACTATATCGGCTCGCAAACTGAAGCACCTGGGCATCTTGACTGGCATAGCTTCGTCTGCAATTCACAGACACTCGTCTGCAATTCACACACACTCGTCTGCAATTCACACACACTCGTCTGCAATTCACACACACTCGTTGTGCGAGGCTCGTCACCGGTGCTCCTGTCCCTTCAAGTCTGCATGCTTAAGTGAGAGCAGCGGTAGTAAATATCACGCAGCTCATGCAACTAAAACGGCTGCATCGTGCTCACACTCGGTAGACAGAAGAAGAACACATAGATTGACACAGAATAACGTGCGCTTTGCGAAATGACCTGCGTTGCTTCTCAAATGCCAATGTCACAATTGTTGTGCTCCACCAGGAGTACCGCCAACGCCAGTCTATGCAATGCAGATTCACAACACTCCTTCCTGGCAATTGCACGACTGCCTACCGACTGTTAATCGCCGTGAAGCCTCCAGAGCTGACTCTCGGGACTGGACTTGCGCTCACGCTCTCCGACGACGCCTTGTCCTTCGCGCGCTGCGCAGGCGGCCCACGCATCTCCATCTCGAGCTGCATGGCCGCGGGGTCCTCCTCGCCCGAGCTGCCCGCAGCCCGCTCGTCGTCCACGTCCATGGCCTCAGTCTCCGGCACGGGCGGGACAAGCTCCTCCCTCGCGAGCGGGTCGAGCTGTGTGCCGTTCCGCGGTATCTCTGACTCGCTCTCTGCCGCACGCGCAGCTGTCGTCGTCGCTGTCGTCATCGTCGCTGTCGTCGTCGTCGTCGTCTGCCCATCACCAGCTCTGCCAAGCAGCTCCTTCGCAGCGCCCGACTGCATCGAGATCCCCGGCAACGTTGTCTGCGTAACGCCATTCCTCGCCTCCGCCTTCTCCTTCCTCTTCCCGTCCAGCGCACCCTTCCCCCCCTCCCTCTCGTGCAGCACCTGCTCCTCATCCGCCGCTGCCTTCCTCTTCCGGTACGCCCCGTACTGCACCGTCTTGGGCACCACGTCGACCAAGAACTCGAGATTGTCCGTCCGGCTCACCGCCCCGCTGACGTCGCGGTACTGGATGTTGCGGCGTGGCTTGCGCTCCGTTTTCACCACGTTGTGCGTCGTGATGGAGAGGTGCTGCACGAACATTTCTGTCGCGAGCGCGATTGCAAAGGACGCGTTTTTGGTTACTGTGAGTCGCTCTGGATCGGCTTGGATGATTTTTTGCACGCGCGCGACTGGAGCTGTTAGTGGGGTATCGAGAGAGGGGAGAGGCGCGTACGGGGAAGCGAGACATGGCCGGTCACTTCTTTCGAGGGCGCGATAGGAGTGTTGTTGTATGGCATGGTGGGTCGTGTGCTGACGGAGCCGCAATGCTGGGGTGTGATGACAATATATCGAGGGCGTGGTGATGGTCTCCGTGTCCGTGCTGTCCAAAAAGCAGTCTGGCCAATGACGCGTTCTATTCGCGCGGTGCAGCTGCAGTCGGTGAAATCGCGTGTCGGACGGGCTGGTAATGGTGAAGACCAAAGCGCAAAGGGAAGGTCCCACCGAGACCGACTAGCGTTACCTTGCAGGTACGGTACGGTACCTCGATGTTAGTGCTTGTTGACGCGGCTTTAGGCATCACTTTTAAGTTATCACGTATTAAAAGGCCTTGGCTCCGATAAATTGAGATACACATGATCCTACATAGCTTGAAAGGCGTTGAAAGATGAGGTTCCTTAACCTGTTGTTTGTGGCAGGAGCCGCGGCGCTCTCCCAAGCACCCTTCCTGGACACCCCGGAAGTGGAGGGATTCCAAACATTTCAAAGTCAATTCTCAGAGCACCACTCCATCCGCATCAAACGGCAGCAGAACGATACCCTGTGTGATGCCCGCTCGAAGCAATACACCGGCTGGTTGGACGTCGGCTCCAAGCACTTCTTCTTCTGGTACTTCGAGTCGCAGTACAAGCCGTCCGAGGACCCGCTGCTGCTATGGCTCACAGGCGGACCTGGCGGATCCAGCATGATTGGCATGCTGCAAGAGAACGGACCCTGTTTGATCAACGAGTATGGCAATGGGACCGTGCATAACGAGCATGGATGGAGTAAGAACGCGAATATCATCTATGTTGACCAGCCGGCGGGCGTTGGATTCAGCTATGTCGACGAGGGAACGCCAATTCCGGGGACAAGCTTCACTGCTGCTGAGGATATGTGAGTCACGGACTTCCTCTTTAGAGCAATCAACTAATCGTCTACAGGCACCATTTCCTGCAGCTGTTCACAACGGACGTGTTTCCGAAGCTGAAGGGGCAGGAGTTCCATATCACTGGAGAGAGCTATGCTGTGAGTCTGAACATCTTGGCCCCGTGACCTATATAGCTGACTTATGGCAGGGGCACTATGTTCCTACTTTGGGCGCCCAGATAGTGTCTCAGAACCTGCTATATCCCAAGCGACCGCAGGTGAACCTTCAGTCCATCTTCGTCGGTAATGCCTATGTCAGTCCCCTCGACACAGCTTTTGGCTATTGGGAGACGCTTTGCACAACAAACCCTGGCGTCGACTCGCCCATCTTCAATCAGACACGCTGCGACATCATGGCGAACAACCTTCCACGCTGCCTCGAGCTTGCACGAGTCTGCTACAAGCACCCGGATTCCGCAATCTGTCTTGCTGCCGAGGGGGTATGTTGATCTGAGCAGCCAGCTTCCATCTCATGACTGATCAGATTGTTTCTAGGTATGCTGGAACGGTGTGATCGTGCACTACGACGGCGAGTCTGGCCCCGGAGGCCGCAATCGATTTGACATCACGCGTCACTGCGACACAGGCGACGGCTTCTGCTACACCGAGATTCCTAAAATTGACGAGTACCTCAACCTGCCATGGGTGTACGAAGCTCTGCACGTGCCAAAGGCAGTTGGCAGCTACAGTGTTTTCTCAGAACCGGTCGACGATGCCTTCTCGCTGACGAACGATTACATGATAACCATGCAGCCACAGGTACTCGCACTGCTGGAGAATGGCGTGGATGTGCTCTTCTACCAAGGCAACTTGGACCTTGCGTGCAACACGGCAGGCAACCTGCAATGGGCCAATTCGATGTCATGGAAGGGTCAGCCGGCATTCGTGGCGCAGGGCAAGCAAACGTGGAAGGTCGGAAAGCAGGAAGTCGGCTGGTTCAAGGAGGTCAAGGTCGTGACTGGCAGCGGCAGAGAGACAACTTTTGCTCTTAGCACGGTTGATGGAGCGGGGCACATGGTGCCATACGACAAGCCGAAGGAGGCGCTTGCGTTGGTGGATAGATGGTTGAACGTGCGCAGCTTCAAGTAGCTGTGAGTTATGTCAATGGGTCAGGCTGCTTAGGTGCGAGAAACGGCAGAGCCGAGATTTGAGGAAGTTGTGTAACCCGCCGCTAGCGTGCATCCTGATCCTACTCATGCAGAGCCGCACATCGCCTCACGGTCGAAAGATCGTGACACACGGCAGCAAAATCGGCCAGGAACACACATTCCAGCCCACTTCGTCCCGCAGCTACGCATCATCGTTCCGCACCGTATTTCTGTTTTTTGGTCGTGCATTTTCCCCACCATGATGAGATCATACGTCACATACGTCATCGTTGTAGAGTTCGCACACGATCGTTATAAAGGGTCCGCACGCAACGAAGCGTAACCATATTCACTCATCTATCACATCAATCTCCTTAATCTACACTCAATTCATATCAAATCCTCCAACAAGTCTCAACACACATCACAATGTCTCAGTCCAACGTCGGCAACGCTCAGGTCTACGAGGCCGGTGACCAGCGCAACTACACAGACTCCGAGATCCAGGAGGCAAAGAAGGAGAACCGCTTCCACGAGGGCAAAGAGAACTCCCACAAGGCTCAGGACTCTAGTAAGCTCCCCCTACCTCAAGCATCCGATACATCACTTATCCCTCTTCACCCCTCACTTCACCTTTTCCTCAAGCCTCGCACACTAACATTACGCAGAGGACGAGCGAACCATTGCCAACAAGCTCGCGCGCGAGGAGAAGCGCGAGAACGAGGACGACGACAAGCTGAGCGAGGAAGACCGTGCGCGCAAGATCGACGCCACCCTGCCCGCGAGGATGCACGGTAACGAGCCCAGCAAGGGCGCCAAGCTCGACCAGGAGCTGAGGGAAGAGGAGCAGGCTGAGCTCGAGCGCAAGGGCAAGGCGTAAATGTATCGTGCCGGTAAAAGGTCGATGAGATACCCTACAAGAGTTACGAGAATGACCAGCCAAGAGGCGGCATTAATGAAATGAAGTAATGATCAAATTGGGTTGAGTGTGTAACGTGATACTGTGTCTGACTACGCAATTTTTCATAAATGTGTCTCTCGAGGTGCAAATGCGATAATGCGACGACGCAGAGCTTTTAAGGACGACAATCCCACCATGGGATTCGTAATTATTCGTGCCCCACGTTAACTACAGCCCACCACTACCCGTGTCCCACTCTCAGCTAACCTCGGACAAGATAGTCCGACCGCATACCTCCATACCCGCGGTTCCCCCAATCACCACCAGCACCCTTCATAAGCCCCCAATTGCCCCGCGTTAAGCCATTGTACCTTACATGATTTCTCTCGGCACAGGAAATCTTATCCGCCGCACCCAGATCCTCTGCCGGAGCTTCGTTGCCCATAAACCCCGCTCGGCCGTACTATCCAGTGTAACATCGCAAACGACGCGATTGATTCTCCCCACAGCTTTTGCCAGAATGAGTTCCAGCCAAGCCAAGCGCCTCGCAGGCAAGACGATCCTGATCACCGGCGCGAGCTCCGGGATTGGAAAGAGCACGGCGCTGGAGTTTGCGCGCACCCAGCCAGACGACTTGAAGCTGATCCTGACTGCGCGCCGGCTCGAGACGCTGCAAGAAGTAGCCAAGGAGATTTCAGGCGTCGCCAAGGGCGTCAAGGTCCACGTTGTCAAACTCGATGTCAGCAGTGTGTCTGAGATTGGGCAATTTGTCAGCAACCTGCCGGAAGAGTTCAAGCAGATCGATGTGCTAGTGAACAACGCGTGCGTTCTCCCGCCCTGCCCAGCCTTATAAACCCGCGTCAAGAAGTTGGGAGGACTTTGAGCTGACGATACCAGCGGCCTCGTCAAGGGCGTAGACAAAGCGCCCGAGATCAAACAGGACGATATAAACGTCATGTTCCAGACCAACGTCACCGGCCTGATCGCTATGACACAAGCCATCCTGCCCATATTCCTCGCGCGCCCCGACGGTGGCCGCGGCGACATCATAAACATCGGCTCCATTGCGGGTCGCGAGCCTTACCAGGGCGGCAGTATCTACTGCGCGACCAAGGCCGCGGTGCGCAGCTTCACGGATAGCTTGCGCAAGGAGCTCATCGCGAGTCGCGTCAGGATTATCGAGATTGATCCCGGGCAGGTCGAGACGGAGTTCAGTGTGGTCAGGTTTGGCGGCGATAAGGAGAAGGCGAAGAAGGTCTATGAAGGCGTGGAGCCCCTGACGGGTGATGATATTGCGGAAGTTGTTGTTTTTGCGGCCGCCAGGAGGGAGAATGTGGTTATTGCTGATACGCTGGTTTTCCCTAACCACCAAGTAAGTCATGTGCTTGATGTTCGTGTGGGATGGTTGCTGACAGCTGATGTAGGCGGCGGCTACGGTTATGCACAGGAAGTCGACATAATAGAGGCTTTCTCAGCCATGTCGAATCGAGAGTGTGTGTACATAAACCGAGCCACCAATACAGCCCAAAGCTTGCACATCGTAGCATTGTCGTCGAATATCTCTCTCGTTGCGGATTGCTTGACAAGTTCCGTAATCTTGCTAATGGCCAGCAGGTAGCGATCAATACGACGGCTGAAGGTCACGGACAGGGTAGTAGCGCACGACCGGTGCTCACTGACATGGCGCAGATCAATCGCGTGATTGCAAGACTTATTCGTATCACATGTCACTGCCCACGATCGGGTACGGCTTTCAAACAGTAGAAGAGCTTCACTTGTCGCCGTTGTGCCGCCGTTGCTATGCAAACACTAGGACGACATTCACGCGGGTGAACTCCGGGCATGTGGTAGCGGGTGGCGTACATACCCACCGCGGTGAGGACCCTTCGATGCGCTGCAGGAGGAAGCGATTGTAAACACTAAACAAGCTGGAGCTATTGCTTTCTATCCCAGGTTCGAGTGACCGTTTGCTAACTTCTCGCCCGCGCGCCTGCATACGGTCCGGTCTGCCTGTACTACAACGGCTCACGGGAAGCTGCATATGGTACTTTGCAATCCCACTTTCGTTTGATAATCAGCTTGTTCAGCTGGTCTGAATTCACGCTCCTTGACATCTTCCTGGTATGTGCCTTGCGTGTTGTGAATACAAGTTATGCTCACACGTGCAAGCTCCTCTACACCGCTGCTGAGACAGCAGCACTGCCAATATGGCACACTTATCTACTCTTTCTGCCCTTAACGCACCAGTTTGCAGTTCATCTTCGATTCCACGGCCACTTTCTCGAAGCCACCTCCGGCAGCACGATAAAGATGTCACAGTGTTGCTGATGAAGCCCAAGGCATCGCGACCGGCATCTCCTGAGCGGACGTTTCTGTGTCAAGACAAAAACTATCCGCGCATACGATCAAGGTCACTCCAACCAATTCAAAAGGCCTATGCGGTCTCAACGTCATCTGTCCACTGGCGAGGCGACGAGCAAGCACTGTTCATGCTAGACCCTGCGGCCAAGTACAACATCCGGGACTACCTACTTGAGCAATGCAAAGCGCGGAAAGAAACAAGCAATGAGCTGAAAAAGTTCACAGGCACGAAAGTCGTGTTCGTCCTTCAGTTCAGCGATGAGGATGGAGAACAAGAGGCACTGTGCGTACCAACCACCCGAGCGACACTTCATGGCATATACAGCATCCGCGATGATCATCCCACAATCACTCAGTCCAATTCACCTCCGATGTTCTCAGAAATCATGCAGACTGAGGCTCCGCGAAAGCTTCGTAGAAGCAGTGGTACTACATCTTTCACTCGCCTGATGGCGAGCACGAACGAGGTAGGCTTCCCACTGACAGACCACGAACTCGATTCCGATTCAGATGTGGAAGACGACCATGGAGTCACACCTCCACCATACAAAACCGCACTCGACGCCATCACTGAAGACGATGAGGCCTCCGAACCCGACACCGGCTTCGTCAACGTCGTCAACCTTGGAGCACCAGAGTACTGCCGCGACCCCGACTCAACCCAGCACCCTGAGTGCCACGGCCGCTACAAGACCGACTCGTATGCCCACAACAGATTCGATGCAAAGCTGGACTTCCAGGAGCGCTTCGTCGCCGCACACACCGGTCGTGACAGCGCTGCGTATTACCGCAACTGGCGCACCCTCAAGCTGGACCATGGCGAGACATTAGTGCACGGCCAGTCCTCGCTGCGCAATCCTATTGCTACTCCTGAAGAGGATGTAGAGCACGATGATCTGGACAATTCAACAGAGCTGCTGCTTCGCCTCATCGCTGAGAAGTATGGACCGCTTACCCTTCAGGGCCAGAAGAGCAAGCCAGCAGAGCCGGGAGCGGAGTGCTCGGAGGAGTGCAGCTTCAAGGTCGACAAGTATCTCGATCAGGACTCTGAGGACGATCTGCGGCTTTCGGACCAGGAGCTTGCAGACGAGAATGAAGAGCTTGGCTCTGAGCCTAGCACCTTGTTCGATGGAGTTGCTGACTTCAGCGATGCTGATGCTTCCACGCCGGCGAAATCGGAAAGCCGCAACGCACCTGTCATGACCGAGGAGGAACTCGAGAGTGTAAGATCTTTGGTACTTCTGAGTTTAATTCATACTGATGGCTTGTAGATCATCAATACTCCTCATGAGGACTTCGTCAACGGTTACGTGCAGCGGTATGAGGCGATGAGTAAGAAGGCTGCTCGTGCAAAGCTGGCTCGCGAAGAGGGGATTCAATCTTCCGTTGCTTCAGGAGCTGTTGGAGAGGTAGCTGATGAAGCTCTCGTCGTGTCACTCGATACTACGGTAGAGCAGACGGGCACTATGATAGAGCAGACCGAGACTGTGGCGGAGCAGATGATCTCGCTCCCAGAGTTTTTGGTGACTGCCGCAACACCGGCATCGACTCCCACCATGAAAGCTGCACCTTCGGTTTCTCCAGTTGCCGTTGATCACGAGGTCAATGCCCAGTACGCCAACGAGACTCTTTCAGTGTCTTTAGACCTAAAATCTGAGACGATCGAGTCACCGCGCTCTTGCAGCATCACTGGCCCAGTGCCTACTCTTGTGTCCGACGAGATAGCCGTAATCGCCAGCAACGAAGTAGCACCTCTCGAGGGATCTGTACGACCAGATAGTGCATCAAGCTCGTACTCATCCCTTCCCGCTTCTGTGTTCTCGAGGCGAGCTTCTATCACGACAAGACCGTCCAATGAGAGCTTCTGGTCCGATAATCTGCGTCTAGTCGACACGCTGGATCTTCAGGTTGACGTCAAGCTAGCTCCTACAATTGTCTCGCATCACGAGCGCTCTGTGAGCATGCCGGTTATGTCTCTTTCCGCATCAGACACGTACGAGATATCGACAAATGTTTCAGAGTCGAACCACGGCGCCTATGCGCGGTCTATATATGTTGGGTCGAGCACGCCTGTTCGCACAACTTCCGTTGCAAATAAGTATTTGACTCCGATCATCGAGGTCCAAACTCCGCTGTCATCATACCCAATGCCACCAGCGAAGATGCATCCCAGAAATGTCATGGACGATCCATATGAGGACTTTCCAACAAAATTCAACTACCAACAGCCCGATTTCCACATCCCACCTCGGGCTCCGCGTCCATCGCGAGACGATCCACTTCAGTTTATCCCGACCTCAGTGTTCACTGACAGCTCGTCATACACAAACCGTCGAGAGCGCGGCGACAAGTTGGCAAGCATCAAGCACCAAGCCCAGGCTGTTGCTAGCGCGACAAAGTGTGCCACGCGCCGTGTCTTGCGCTCGATGAAGAAGGTGTGTGCTACGGCTCGGTCCCTTGTGCCAGTAACCCTCCGTTCGCGCCATCCTTACGAGCCTTATGCGCATGGTTGAGCGCCCCGCAAATTGCCACTGACCAAGGGTATTTACCTGTCATATTTCCTTTGTTTCGATACCCAGCTCTTCACCTGTAAGCGTTTAGCTGCAATGGAAATTCCTTCAAAGCATTTCCTTTGTTGATGCATCGTTCCGTTGTTCGATCAAATAGGCAGCAAGCAATCTCAGTTTGATATCCTAAAACCTTTCACTTTTATACTGTATGTCTGCTGCCGTACGCTGCGAACTGATCTGATCCACGATTTCGTCTCGGGCAGAAAAACACAGGTTTTTCCGACCAAGCTTGCGACTGATCGACCGATTCCCTATTTTTATCATTTCTCGTTTGCAGTGGCATATCACAAGAACAATTCCCTGGTATTATCTGCTATTTACTACTTGGTAGACATTGTGTGACAAACCATGGTTCCGTCCAAGTCAAAGTCTGGTTCGCGCCACGGCCATCAAGCACGACCCTTCTTTCACTCTATATATCTCAGAGCCCTCAAGTGAAAGCTGTCACAACGAAACTTCGCACAGTTATCACATGCAGTCCTAGCCGCAAGACCCACTTTACCAGTGGTTCCCTATGGTTACAGGCTGCCCAGACCCACCGCCTACACCCCGACCGCAGCCACCGCCCCGCAGTCCCTCGCACTATATTTTTCCAACGACAACTGACGGCTTCCTCCATATATCGCTCAATTTCGATCTCAACACAACCACAACCACACACACAAAACTTCCACAACTCTCAACTTTGATTTCACAACATCCGTAACCGGCAGCAACTGGGACGACGACGAGGACGAATTCTATCTCTGCGTCTACACTGGCGCCGTCGCCGAGTTTGCAGCTCCAGACCTTGCCAAAATCTCGCTCGGCAACACCAGGGCTGCGCTCTACAAGCGACAGTCAGTCACTGAAAACGAGCAGGCGCAAGAGGTCGCAAGTTCCTAAGCGACCACAGCTGTGCAATGCCAAGTCGATTACAACATCGACCCCGACTTTTACCCAACGTACGCAGGCCGTATGATCCAGAGCTGGTACAGTGATTGCCGCCGCCCAGCATACACCGCCCTGAGCCACGAGGACGGATACGCGTTCCCCTACCAGCACTGGAGGTACACAGCCAACTGGAACGCAACCAAGCTGACCACGGGTGCGAGTATGGCCAATACAATGACTATGGCGCCCTCTCCTCTGCAGCTGTCGAAGACTTGGGTCAGCGACAGCATGGGCGAGTTCAGCGAGGACCGCGGCTATGTCCAGCTCGTCCCTTCGCTTCTGAGCCCGCGACTCTCGACGCCGCGACTTTCGCACGAGAGTGAGTTGGATGAGGGGCGAGACGAAGCGCAGACCCCGCCTGATATCCCATCAGTGGCGCAGGTTGGCAAGTGCGAGGACGAAGTTGAGGAGGTAAGCGAGATTAGCACGGTGAATGAAAAGCTGTATAATAACATTCAGCAGTACGACCCGATCACTGGGGTCATCGATCTCTCAGCTCACAGCATCGTGGACATGAAGACTGAGATGGCCCGCGAGTTCGCTGTGTTCAGCAGCATCGCGGAAGGTCTCGACGTTCACCAGATCTTCGGTGCCGCTGGTGATGACATACTTGATGCCGGCATCAACGCGGCTGCTCTTGGGGTCTATTTGTCTACCATCAGGGCACGAACCGCTGTTGAACTCACGACGATGATCACTGGAGCCGACATCTCCACTCCATCGCCCGGGGAAGAGGTTGCCAACCCCATGACTGCCGCATACAAGCGGGTCTGCAACGGCGAGGACAACGGCAGCACACCCATTGAGACGCCCATAGTCGTTTCTCATGGTCCGTCACCGGATACCAAGTACACCCGAGACCCAACCAGCACTTCATTGGTCTGGAATATGTCGCCACCGGATTGTTCGCGCTTTCCTCTCTGCCCTGGACGCGCATTGCGGTCGCCACTGCTGGAGCGCTGGTCGATATGGCCGCTTTTGTCGTTCGACATTGAGATACACGACGCCATTCTCATCTCCCAAAGCACATCTCGTGACGATCTTTAACATTGTTTTCTTCTCTCTTGACGATTTCCCGCGGTTCACTGTAATGCATCAGCGCGCTTTCCAGCATTCAATGGCGTTCTATACCCCCGGCCTACAGGTTCTTTCTGAGCATAAAACCTCCGAGCAGTATTCGTCAGTTGAATAGATACACGCAAACCCTTCCACGCGTCTGCATTCCGAGATTTGCTGGAGCTATGCTCGCCTTTGGGCTGAGTCAGTTCTGCAATGGCCTGGGTTATAGGATATTATCACGATTTACACCAAGCATCTCGTTTCGTATGCTTGATCTCGCCTTTTGGTTCGAGATCGGCATTCGAAATAGGATGGCTTGTTGAGCGGAGGGTAGAAGCGGACAAGACATGCGCGGGAGGAGATCTACATAGTCTCAACATTTCCATCAATGTATATAGTCAATGGACCACTCGAGTCTTCAACTCAATCATTTCTGACCACTATGCATATTCAAATCTACCAACACCTAGTTCCTCGCCATTGGCCCACATAATTTTGCCCCACCCTCACTCAGCAATCACAACACTGCATACTCGAGCATTGACACAGGGAACGTCCATGGAAGCAGGTAATGGCAAGTAAAAGCAGAGTAATGCAGCGGAAGTCTAGCCAGAACAGTACAACGGTGTGGTCCGGTATGTGTTCATGACCATGGGAAGCGGTGCCTGCATCGGCGGTCGTATTTCCGGGTGCTATGGCTAGTGGGGGTTGATGGAGGTGGTTGCGAGGGTAGTTGAAGCGAAGGTTGATACCGGGAAGGGGATTATGATAGGTAGCGGCAGAGTTAGGTCGAAGGGCAGGTTTCGGAGCGGAGTTAATTTGGTAGATTTATCAATGTTCGGGTCCATGGCAAGCCTGAACCAGGGCTCCGCCCGCACAAGGGTACGGAAACCCCTCGGACGTGTATCTGAAAACCTTGACACTCGATCACATCTGTTGAGTGCCTGTTCAATGTATGCCAGTTCCATGTTTAGTTAGATTTGAACGAGATTTCGACAGAGCCACAGATCGTGCATATTCCACGGCCACTGCCGCTCACGACTGGCATATTAGATATGGTTCAAAAATTGCTACTAAACATCGAGGACATGAATTGAAGCAGAAGGACCTTAAAGGCTTGCCTCTCTCAGCATCGAGTCTTCTCTCTACACAACTTCCATATCACACTCTCTCAAGTTCAAAGCCACATTCTGCTGCAAAGTACTCCTGGCATCAAATCGCTACTCAAATTAAACCTCGACACAACCCTATTCTACCATCAGAATGGGTCGTCATCACCATCGTGGCCCGCTCAAGCGGAATCAGCACCCCGCTAAGATCCTCGTCAAAGCGCTTCTTCTCTGCTGTGTTGGCTGCTTCTCCAGCTAGTAAGTTAATTCGCTTGTCTCACGTTTAGATATATTCTGACTGTACATAGAAAAATGTGGCATACGCATCAAATTCTCATCGGGGCGTTTTGAGAAAGGGACTTCGCACCGCCAGCGCAATCTCCGTCTGACCACGGCTGCAAGCCGCGGTATCCCTACGCGTTTTTAGAGGCTCAGCGAAATTTTCTCAGGGTTTAGAATCTCATCTTTTGGTTGTATTAATAACATGTTGACCTGAGGTAATGTATCATTGAGGCCTTCGGCTACCTATTTGCTTGTCATGTGCTGTCTAGTCACTGTCACGGACTCGGACACATAATCAATCGAGAGCGCGATATGAGTACAATCACCGAAAATGCTGCCTTATCCACGTGTATGAGATATCGACATGAATACCTGCATCAGGCCAGGGGCCATAGGACTGTGACCACCTCCAAGCTGTACCGACCGCCGTCTACTTATTCCGCAGAGTATGTCGTCGAAGATACAGTGATCTCTTCTTTTGAGCAGAATACCGAAAGCAATCTATGTACATGTTGTTCAAATGTTGTTCGATCATGTGAGCCCCTAACTATGTACATACTGCAGTGAATCCGGGGGCTGGCGGACCTGTTGCTTGTTAAAGCTACTTCATGAGCGGTTCAACTCCGCATCCAACTTGCCAGCTTTAAGATAGATAGCCTGATTTTCCTTCCTGATCCTGTCCCGTTGATGGGCTGCCTCCCCTTTCGCAAGTCTGTGATCTTCCCGCCTTTGAGTCGCATCATCTCGCCGCGCAATCAACTCTTATATCTGTGCATTGGAAACATCCTCTATCTTCTTGGCTTCGGCCTCCCTTGTGGTTTTCTCATCAACTGGAGCCTGCACCTCTTTCAGCTTCTCGTGAAGTGTATCTTGTTCATCCGTAGCCTCCTCTGCTTGTTCCTTTGCCCCCGCTCCTTTTTCTTCAGCTTCCTCCTGAGCTTTCCTCACCTTGACAAACATGGCCTGCAATTTCGCCTCGGCTTCCAGGTATTTTTCCTGCCTTTCGTTGCTTGCCTCATTCAACTGACTGAGGCCGGCACGCAATGTCTTGCGCTTAATCCCTCTTGGACGCGCAGTGAGTGGCGTCTCCGCAGAAGCGGTGGGAGCTTGCCCCGGATTGCTCGTACTTTGAATGGCATGTTCATTTGGCGTGTGAGCTACTTGATTTCGTTCAGAAACTTAACTTGTCGCAGTCGTCTTCAAGTGATCCCAGCGACCAGTGCCTGAGCTACTCGACGACAGTCCTCGTTCAATCCGTACTACGGAAATGCACATTGCTTTTGGCATGTATGTGGTCATCACGAAAAGATCCTCACCAGACTCGAGATTGCCCACTACAAGGTGAGTAGTTTCTCCCTCTGGGTCTTCTTCCTATTGCAGCTCTGGTGCGCTGGTTTTCTTAAAACAATACTCATGACCCCTGCTTAGGTATGTGATGATCTTGTCTCCTAGTGTCTGTTTTGACGCAGCCATCTAATGCCAGGAAATGACGCTTTTTGTGTGGTGAACAACGCAATCGATGGATAACATATGTAGCAACGGTCAGGCATATGTACTAGTGCGCTGGAGGCGGTAGTGTCACGCCGTTTCAACTCCGCCGAGGGCATGCTGCACCTCGAGAACAGGATGTTGCTCTACCTGTGCCCCTGACTCAACAACAGTCTCACAGTTGCCTGCTTCTAGGCTGTTCACCACACCATTTTCGGCATGTCGAGTACGAACTGCATCACCCGATGACATCTTTGGGGTCTTTTCTGAGTTCGATGCAGCCCGAGTGACTTTCTGTCGCCTTTGTTCCCTCTCTTTAGCACTGATATTGTCCGGCTCTTTAGTGTTCCTGCCAAGCCGTTGTTTCGGCCTTGCATCGACAGAACGTCGAGAATGTGTGCGCTGTGACTTGCCAGGTTCGTTAGCCAAACCCTCCATGTTTGTGCAGCCATCTTTTGGCGGCTCTCAGGGCTCACTCTCCTCCGTATACCGCTCTCTTGAATGCTTATTTCGCACTGCTGAACTCTCTACATCACCCATCTCTGCAGCTGTTCGCTTCTTCCCATTTGGTAGGCCACGTGGAATGCTCTCCCTAGACTCGCCTTCGCTATAATATCGTCCGACTTCGCTCGGTGGAGTATGATCGGCGGTCACGGATGCCAGACTGATATTCCCTACGATACCGCTGGCTATATTGAGTTGCTCGATAGTGCTGCCGGACTGTCTTTCTGTTCGCGAAGTATCCTTTGAACCGTTGAGCGCTCGAAGAAGAATGCATCGGACTCCATAGCCTCGATGAGTGACTGGCGAGCCAAGCTCTATGATCACGCATGAATTTGAACATAGATGCTATTCATGCTTCGTAGCCTTTGGGTCTGATGGAAGTCCAAGGCGCAACGCCTTTGACAACGAGAAGATACTGGCATAGCAACCGCAGATGGTTGCCGCACTCATGAGCTTCTCCCTGAAACTCAAGCAGAGGATCCTCATCAACATGCCATACAGTCAGTGCGAAAGGCTGATGCAAGATCCTGCGATACTTCTTTGGCCTGTACTCGTCCTTTCCGGCTCAGTTCCCGGAGTGAGGCCACTTCCAAGGGTTCCAGAACTGTCTGGCTGGAGTCGAGCAGATCGTTCAAGCTCAGAACTTGTTCGACCAGAGCCCACAATTCTTGACCGGCTGCATCGTTGCTTGAAGGAGTGACGGATTTTAGAATTGAAGCGACAATCTCGTTGAATGCATCTGTATTATCAATGGCTGGGCTGTGACAAGCACGGGTCGAGCCGCGATATATTGAATACACGAGACGGATACGTACGACAGAGCTGAGATGCATTCGATGTCGTGGGATATGTACGAAGTGCGCGTAGGTACGCGCTCGCGAGGGGGATTTCTTGGCATCTGGAATAAGATCTGCCCCTCCGCTTTTTCGACTGAAACCTAGCTCTCCGCGTTCACAAGCTTCGAGACAACAACGATTGTTCTCCAGTTGACCGACGAAAGTTTTATCTATGCTGTATGGAAATGTGATGCTCTGCGAGCGATGACTGCACCCCTGAGGGAGAACGCTCAACCCTATCCACGATCACGCTGTCCTGGTGGCCGTTAGTAGGAACGAGGTGGAGACACCGGCTCGGCTCCCTGAAGATTAGTGTGCCTCGCCAAGCAAAGGAGACGCGACTCAAGCGATAGACATGCGCGATGCAGCGCAGGCGAAACGCACCGAATGATCGTTTCCAAAAGCTTTGCTGCCGTGATGTCTTGCCTCAATCTGTACGTCCGCCGCGCGACAATCCGGAATACGGGTACGAGCGGATAGTCGTCTAGTCGTGAGTTAGGGGCTTAGATGCGGCGGCCCCATCCCTGAGCTGCTCCTTACAGCGTCTCAACGTCTCAACTTCACAAACAGGCCCAGCTTTTCCAAGACGCTCGTCTCCCCGTCGTTCGCAAGCGGATGAGATACATTCACTGTCAGCGACAATGTTCGCCAACAAACAGCACCTAATGCCGCGCCCGGCTCGCCTGCTCCTCTTTCTCGTGCTCGTGTACGCATTCTGTTGGATCAAGGGTTGGCCTGCGTACTATGACGACGAAGAACTGCCCCCAAGCCAGCGACCGAAATCAACAACAGCCCTTGGCGAACACCGCGTTCCTATCGACCATCTCATCGTTACTGTCACCACCGCCGCCACCGATGCGTACGCGAAACTCGCGCCAGCGTTGCTGTACCTCGACGAGGCATACCATAAAGAATTACTGTTGATGGGAGACCTGATGATGGACATCGGACCATTTCCAGTGTTCGATGTCCTTGCGAGGTACCCTTGGAAATACGTGGACAAGACCGACGAGCTGGAGAGATACAAGCGGCAACTAGAGTATGTAGGCAAGGGAATACCGCTCGCCCACCTGAAGGAGAGAGACCCGAACAAGGAGAAGGCGGTTTTGAGCGCGCTGGCAAAGTACAAGATATTCAGGGCGATGGAGAGCACGTGGGAATATCGACCGAAGCGCGACTGGTACGTCTTTACCGACGAAGAGACGTTCATTGACCGCGGGAATCTGCTGGACTGGCTCAGCCAGTATGATCCGAAGCTGAAGCACTTCTTCGGCAATCCGCCTATCGCTGAAGTGCCAGATGCCTTCGCCGCTGCTGGCACGTCCTTCATCCTTTCAGGCCAAACTATGCAACTCTTGTTCGAAGATCGCAAGAAGATGGTACAGAACTGGGAGAACTGGGACCCTCTGATCCCTCAATACCCGTCAGCGGTTCATCTCGTGGAAAGCTTCCTCAAGATAGAGCTGAGTCTGGAGATGAAGAGCTTCTGGCCTGGCGTGTCTGGCTTCAATCCGAACACGATCTCGTATTCGCCTGGTCTGTGGTGCGAACCCGTTTTGATGATGCACCATGTCACTGCTGCCATTGGAAGCAACCTCTACAAGTTTGAGAAAGAGCGAGTCGAAGATCACAAGATCGACAATGCGTTACGCTATGCAGATCTCTGGTACCGGTTCACGGGTCCGGAGGATCTCAATCAGACTCGCTATGACTGGGACAACCTGTCCTCCGAATTCACCAATAACAGATGGAACATTCTTTTCGAAAAGGACGGCGAGCCGGACGCTAATCGCGCCACCAGAGGAGAAGACTCATGGGAGGCCTGCAAAAATTCGTGTGACAGCAACAAGTATTGCCTGCAGTGGTCGTACTCGTCGCTTGTGGCGAACAACTGGAACGAGAATGGCTTCACCAAATGCCACCTGAGTAGCAGCATGCGCCTCGGTACGCACGCCGAAGCGGAAGAGGTTGAAGTCGATGGCGAGAAGCAGTCTCGTACTTGGACGAGCGGGTGGAGAAAAGATCACTTCAAACGCTGGGCAAATCAGCAGCGATGTAAAAACCAGCAGCACTGAGGAGTCTGGCCTACCTGTGCGGACTCCATCCCGCGCTAGTTGGCTTTGTCGTGCCCTTTTCTAAAGAGGATAGTAGGCTTGAAGGTCTCGCAGGCCCACTTTGAAGTGACAGAGATCAGCAACAGACACACCAACCTGGCGCATACAGGCTCGAAGCAACTGCCGCAGCAAGCTCATCTTGATCCTCTTCCTCACTCACGTTCCCGAGAGCCGTACTAGTCTGTTGCATGAGATGCGGATAGCAGGCTGTTAGGTCTTGAAAATCAGGGGCTCACATACTGGTCCTTGAAGATGCTGCCCACAGTTGAGGATTGTGAGCAGTGTATACTGCTTGCCTCGTGTCAATATTTAAACGCCGAGATCCAGACAGCCGTCGGTACGCCGGTATTCGGGAATGCGCATCCTGTTTAAGTGCGCGACGGGCGCAGGCGAGTACGCGAGGTCGAAGGCTGTGGCAGATGGCAGGTGGCAGGTGACGTGGGCGCTCTATCCTCGAGCTTTCGTCATTCGGCAAGACCGAATGGAAACAACCGAACTCTCCAGGCCTGAGACGCCAACGCTGACCGCAAAGCAAGCGTTGATCGAGCCTCGTTGCATCCAGTCTATTCAACTTAATCTCACACGCTAAATCTGTTCACTAGATTGTTATCTTGCATAGTCGTAATGTCTGAAAAATCTGTCTCCCGGACCACGTCGCCCCACGCCTCACAGCATCCCGTAAGAGCTACACCGATCACCCAAACTATGGGCAATAATCTTCAAGCAACTGCAAATATTTCTTCCTGTTGTGCTTGCCTCAGGCGAACGGCGTGGGTTCACGGCACGTCGCGAGCTGTGTCGAAAGTTTTCCGCGTCTCGAGCGTAGCGGTAGTGGTGAAGTGAACACGTCCCTCACCTTCATGACAACCTACGCTCGGCGCGGACCTCGAAATTCGTCTCTTTCTCTCACCCCAATTCTCTGTTTACCATGCGCCAAAAAAGCACAACAACATGCACTCCATGTATCGCTCTCAGCAGGCCGGGCGTCCATTCCCGGCACCAAGCATGTCCTTGTCCCAGCGTTCAAAGTTCCAAGCACCGGTGAAGGGCTTGTTCTACAGCAGTGCATACTCGGGAACTCGTCCTTCACAGGCGACTCGACCAACGTCAAGCCCACTCCTGCAGCACGATGCCGTAGCAACCCGGAAACCCGCGCTGAAAGGCCATGGTCCTGCACAGTACACATTGGACAATGGACCGCGCGATGAACCCGGCACAGCTGCGTACTACGATAGCTGGACGTTTCGACGGAAGGTCAAGGAGGGCTGCACCATTGTGCCAAGGCAGGCCATTGAAGCTGGCGAATGCCTTGACGACAGTGCTGATGAGGACTTCATCAAGAAGCCCAAGCACACAGACGAGAGGTGGTCACTTGTCATGGTTTTCAGTAGGACAAGCGTACGCCGGGCAAGCACGCAACGCAAGGTGAATGAGAGAATGCAGCGCTCAAACCGCAGGATGTAAGTCAGGCCTATTTTCAAGAGAATGAGACAATGCCTAATAGCTTCCAGGAAGTTCATGAGGAACCTGGAGAAGACAAAGCCTTTGTTCAAGTGGGACTAAGCAGGCAAGGTGGGCGTGGTTGCCATATTTAAGAACTAGCGCCGCAGCCACCAAACGAGACGTGTTGAAGAAGATTGGCACCGACACGCCTTACGGGCACGAGAATCGACTGGAACTTCAATATCAGATCTAGGACTGCGCCCCACCTACGCCAAGTGATGTCTGTTTGTTGTTCTGTAGGTACCCGTACAATTCAACATTTCTCGCCGCGATACCGCCTGTGATCACTTCCTAGAAAGCTGCTGCAGATACAAGACGTCGCTTCACTTACGTACAGCATTCCGAACATACCCTTTTCTCCCTTCACTCGTCCTTCGACCCAACGAAGCCTTTTGCCTCAAAAGGCTGATTCATCTTCGTTCTGCGAACAAGCCCACACCATCATCTCTCGCACGAATGCGTCGACTGATTGTCCCTCATGAAGACCCAAGCTCTCCACTCGGAACGACCATAGATGTGGATTTCCCGAGGGGGCCTGAACTTACATGGACTGACTTCCACCCCGAGCTTCACGGCTCCAGCGCCCTCCCATCTCCACAAGACAGAATATCCTCAGGGCCGCAATGGCGACGCGTCGCTGACGAGATTGACGATGTCCGTGCTCGCTTCATCAACCACAACCCTATAGGCTTCCACCCCAGATGCAGCAGCGTCGATCGCTCAGCGGTGCTCGTTGTGTACAACGAAGCGCTGGTCAAGCTTGAGCATGCATCCAACATCGACGCTATCAAGATATATCTTGAGGTGAAAACCAAGGTCTCGACAATCCTCGATCTCCGGGAGGCAAAACCAGACGACGCGGTGTTTTACATCAAAAGCGCGTTCCTCAGCCCCCTGGAGCCGCACTACGCGCAGCCCCGGCTGGACTACTACGACCGCGGCTTTAGCGACGGAGACGATAGCTTCTACCGGTCAGGCATTGGGAGGCTGGTGGAGTGGAGGAAGGGAGGCTGGCCGAACATATATCCTGCAGAGGCGGTCGAGCGAGAGATGAGAGAAAGGGAGAGGAGGGCAAGCATGTCCCTGATAGAGATCCACGGGGACGATCTGTTGAAGGCACAAACGGCGAATCCGTTGGATTGGGGCGAGGAAGTGGATGCTGATTCAAACAGACCGTGGAGGTAAGAGTCGCGGTCCTGAAACAAAGAGTCTGCCCACACTTTCACAGCGGAGCATGGTCGCGACCAGGGCAATCTCGGTCTGCTCTGGAAAATAAGGAAGTTCAAGAACAGGAAAGAGATAGGGGGTAATTAACATTTACGAATGAAGACTTTCATTGTGATCGTGGGTAGGTTCGAAAGTGTACTGTCAAGGTCTAATAAGCGTGCCTGCGATGTGCTAAGTCATGTTGAAACCAGCAGTACTGAATGTGTTACTTTTCACCGCCACGGATCTCGACGATGCTTTCCGAAGAGGGGCTGTTTGCTGGGTATCTCGAGGCGCCCGCGATTGCGAGAAGTTGATGTGGTGCTCATGGCACTGTAGCTACGCCTCAAGGGAGTCTTTACCACCAATAACCCGGGAACAGCTCGGTGGCTGCTGTTTCAATTCGCCGTTGTGCCAGTTATTTCAAAGCCTCGTACGTTTTTCACTGAAAAGTCGTCAACTGTGCGCACGGTCGACAGTTCCAGTACAGGAGGCTGGCTACCCTTAGGTCTTGTATCTTCATGTTTTGAGACGTTAGAAGTCGATAGAATGATGCTGCTCCTGAGTACGCCAATATAGGTAGTGAGGAAATCCCTTTCTAAAAGCGGCCCAGCATAGACCTTCATCAGATACAAGAGGTATGGACTCGTCCCCAGTAGATAATGCTAAAGAGTACAAGTCGAGAGTGTCGACTTTGTGTGATTGTTCCGCACAGCCTTCAGGCATCGGCGATACCGAACTAAGTTGAGTATGTTGGACAATTCAAATCGTCGCCGCACGGAAAGCTTTCAGTCTGATTCTAGGAGTGTCTCATAGAAACAGGACAGTCTCGAAGCACTGGTTCGATCGAGATAGAAATGATCTGTTCCATGCTCCTGAACGGTCGTCGTAGAAGGTTCCCGACTCACGGTTTGCACAGTTGCACTATCGTGAAGTGAAAGATGGTGTTCCGCAGCAATGACAGTGATGCTTGGATCATGCAAGGAGTAGAATTTGAAGCATGACCATAACCATGGCCACTCTCCCAGGGTAGCCTCGGGATCAGTCAAGAAGCGGCAAGACCACATGTGAGCCCTGATATATGGCACTTTGGTGCGCCACCACAATGACTGCTCAGTCAACACAGAGTCTTCAAAGCAAGTATGAAGGTTGACAAATATCCGAACTACATACAAGAACCAATGACGCCGAAAGGCTGTCCCCTGCAAGCGTCCTCTCAGCCGACGCCCAGAAGCCCTCAGCCCAGAAGCCCTCAGCCCATCAGCCCATCCTTGATCATCGCATCAATAAGTTGCACATGCCTATTCGCATCCGTCTCGCTCCACTCGGTATCGTAGTTCAACCCATACGGCCAGATATGGCGACCTCCACAGTTGATCACCGCACTCTGCCCATCCCAACTCCTCAGTAGCGGCAGAGCCGTCCTCCAGTCACTCGCCGCACACTTAGTGTTGAACGCCGCTGTCTGTCCGATGCCGAGAGTATGCGAGATCTCGTGCATAGCCGTGCGCTCATTCATGTACGCTCGGTTCGACCCAAAGCGCAGGTCGCCGTTGAAATTGGCTTCGGCGGTGGGTACACCGGGCTCGTAGGCAACACGGACCGTCTTGGAAGCGGATGAGTAGCGGTCATAGCGGGCGACGGCGAGGCGCATCGCAGTTTCGATTTTGGCGTAGGCGTCGGTCTGGTCGGCGGTGGGGCTGGAGGCTTTGGCGAGAGTCCAGGTAATGGCACCTTGCACGCTGGCAGCGCAGGTCATGACGGGAAGAATCGTGGAGAACCTCATGACTGTGTCTTGTGGCTTGAAGGGGGGACCTGGGTGCTAGTGTAGAACTTTTGATTTCAGTATGAAGGGATGATTTGCCAGAACTGTTCCTCTTTGCATCATGATGCTTGAAGCTTTATACGACAACTCCATCCTGCACCCGCTGATCCTACAACGCACTCCTGCTTCGATACCAGAACAGTCGCCCAGATATTGATGGTCGACTTGGCTTCCATAAACAGCCACATATCCGTGCAGCAGTATATCACCAGACACCGCATAGACTATATCGGCGACGTGCCAACCGGACAAAAGATATAAGGTTCAGGATATCTGGTTCCGCTGTTTATCTTAAATTGCCTTGGCACCTTCCGCAGAAACGCCATGCTTGCCAGATACCGGATCGAGGCCCGCGTGTGTCGATCCTCGTGAATCTCTGCGATGCAGAACATCTGTGTAGCCGTGGCAGGGATATGATCGGCAGCTGCGATACTTGTGCTAGGGACTGAAAGTTTAGTGAGGCTTGCTTGAACGGACTGTTCACGTCGGTGTTCACATGGAGAGGTGCAGAGTCTCGCAGATTCGCCGACTGGACGTCAAGGCGAGGAGAGTGAAGGTATGGCGATCGTTCAATTGAGAGGTATTTAATTGAAGTGGGAATATAGACGCCCGTATGAGCAGGGTATCAATCTTGGCGACAGGTGATGCGAACATTGTGGTAATGAAACAATGTAAAGCCCACCAGCAATGTCACTCTCGTATCGGACGGCCAAGCAGCTGTTGATCAGAGTGGTGCGAAGAGTGCCGGTCATCGGTGACAGTCGTCTATGCACCGCCCTCACGCTTGGCGTATTCCTCCTCAATCCTCTCCTCGTACAGTCTCTCTGCCTCCCTTTCCTTTTCTTTCTCTTGGTCATTTTCTTCTGTGTTCGCGCTCGCTACGCTTTGCGTCTCTGGCCGAGCGACATCGTGCGCTGTTGAGCCGGATGCTGAGCTGACGGACGTGGTAGCTGAAGGCATGTTGTGTTGTGTGCTGGCGTGGTGTTCGGAGAGCAAGGAGATTGGTTGCGAGATTTGATCTTGATGAAGGCGATGTTTGTTCGATAAGTGCAGCAGGAAGAGCGCGATCTTATACTTGGAGACATGTGAGTCGACCGGTAGGCTCTGACGTCATTACTGTGGCGCGGTGGCAGTGCATGTGGCTGGAAGCTTCTCTGCTGGCTGATTGGTGGCCCGCCTTGTTGCTCGCTACTGCTCGAATGACCCGGGGAGCTGAGAGGGCCGAGGCGATTCTCATGAGACCCTCAAGTCTTCGAATCGACAGTGCTAATATCGCTCTCTAGCCAGCCAAAGCCTTAGCAACGACCTCCTTCGGCCTCTCACCCATAGGAATCTGCAGTGCGAGCTCATGACCCTTCTCCGTCATCTTGCCCCATGTCTTTTGCAGGATCTTGATGATCTTATCTTCATCATGCTCTTTCTCAAAGGCCTCGAACTGATCGTCCAAGAACACTAGACACGCTACATCTTCAAGTATCTGCGTCTCCTCATTCTGCTTCAGATCCTCCTTCCTGATCAGCGCGCCCACGCTTTGCGCAACTTCTTCCGAGTATCCAGCGTCTTTGCAGATGGTCTCGACAAGTTCGGCCTGGCGTTTCTTGAGGAATGTGCGCCAGGCGTGGTAGCCAACGCGCGTCATGGGGTATGAGGAGCGGGGGACTTCCCAGCGGCGGAAGTGCTGCGCGCGGATTGCGAGGCGAAGGTGTTCGGGTGCATCTGGGGCGCGTTTCTCGAGGTACGACGTGGACTTTTGCGCGTAGTGCAGCTCGTAGGGAACTTCCTCGCCATTGACGGTGGCCTTGTTTGGGTCGAGCGCATGCGCTTCGTCGATGGCTGCGAGAGCCTTCTCGTAGGGTGTTTGCGATGCCATTGTGAATTGTGGACCGCTTCTGTGACAGCAGAGATGTGTTGTTAACGGAAGATGTCAGCTACATCTTGGGAAGTATGATTCGTTGTGAGGTAGTGTCGGAGCGAAAGCGGGGTCTATGCCCCGCTCGTGGTGGGGTACATTCAAGACCATCTGTAAGCCCCTTGTATCCACCAAATAAGCTCGGCTACCTAGTGTTCGGCCACCCCTAGTGTTCGGCCACCTCACCAATGCAACCAACTCAATTTGGAGTCGCAATTTCTCAACCACCACGCTTAGAATTGAATTAATGTACACATAGACTCAAGGCTGCAGGCTTCTGCTGCCTTGGCTGCAATCTCAGCTGCTTTTTCTGGTGTTGAGGCAGCGTTTTCTCTCGCTTGAGCCGCCACGCGATCATGAGCAGCCTTGATGTCCTCTATGTTGCTGAAGCGCTTATTTGGGTCTATTTGAACGCGCTTTCTCGGCTGTGTACTCTTAGTACTATCTAGTAGATATTTGAGTCGTTGATTCTCTGCCTGAAGCCCAGCTGACCTAGCGTTGGTGAGAGTAATTGCCTTGGCTGCTTTGCTAAGCACCAACCGGGTACCTCGCGAGAGGTTCTCTGATTCCAGCAACCTCTTCTGCGTGCGCAATAGGTGCTGGGCGCTTCGTGGTGTCTCAAATACTGCCTCTAAGGTTGCTCCACGTTGATTAGCTGGTGGTGGAGTACTTGGGCGTCCAGATATCTGAGACGAGTTGAGAACCAGTGAAGGCCTATACGGTACCAGCCCAGCAGCCTTCCAGCTGGCTCTAATTACTCTCTTATTGAAGCTCTCCTCTCGCGCTTTGTTGTAGCAGACAACAAAGCGCTCTTTCTTAACTGGTGCTGCGTCATCAAGCGCAGAGAGCGCGCTGATCTCCTGGCGATAGCGCGACTTTAGTACTGAGAAAGCAGCAAGGTCTAGCGGCTGAAGAAGGTGTGATGAGTGTGCAGGTAGGTAGAGAAGGTGTATCTTATTCTCTCTGCACTCCCACATGAAGTCAATAGGGATATGGGAGCTGTGGCCATCAAGAATAAGCAGCCAGTGGCCGCTCTGTGATGGTGAGGTATTTGGTATAAAAATACGCCGTAACCACTCTAAACCTATAGCGTTTGAAGTCCACCCATTCGTTGAGGTTGTGTATAGCCAGTCTGGTGTATTGATTGAGGGAATCCACGTGGTTTGGAGGTGTACGCCTTTGAAGATGACGAGGCACTGCAGCTTTGTGCCAACAGCGTTAATACACTCTATAATAGAGACCCACTCGCGCGATTCTGGTGAGCCTTTGTAAGCCTTCTTTTTACGCGCATCCGCAAGGACTTGGTGGTTAGTACATACACCAAGTGCGACGCCAGTCTCATCCATATTCCACATGTTCTCACACTGTATGCCCAGCTCCCTTGTGATGCGATCAAAGTGATTAAGCCACTCTTTAATAGTGTTGTAATTGGCTGCAGTAGTGCGCGCACTCTCAATTTTCCTGCCAACTACTGATGCAACGCGTGGCTGCCGTGCAAGAAAGTGAGGTATCCATCGTTTGCCAAGTAGTTGGGTATCGCCGTTCATACGCAGGATTCGAGTGGCCATCTCACGTACGCGAGCGTGAGATGGAGGCTGTGCGCGTGTATCCTCGTCAAGAATCCACTCCACAAGGAATTCCTCTTGCTCCGGAGTCAATCGCTGCTCGTGGTGGTGAGCTATCGCGTTGGGGACGCGGCCATTGAGGCGCTCTTGGAGCGACGATCGGGGAACGCCCCACTTCTTACAGACTGCACGCTGGCTTTTTTCAACACCAGAATTAAGATCAGCGATAGCAGATTGTATAGCAGTCTCACGGGTGTCCATTTTGAGCAGGTGGTGGTGGAGAAAATACGCGTTGATTGAAAGTGACGCGGAGTTGGTGGGTGGCCGAACACTATGGCTGGCCGAACACTAGGTAGCCGAGCTTACTCGTACTGTATCTCGATCGAAACCGGTATAGTTTAGATCAAGGGCTACACATACCTGCTGTTGGTCGAGCTGCGCCTTTCGCCATAGATAGCTGAACATAGCTTAGTGCGAGTCCCCTCAGATATCAACGTGAAGTTGTGACCTGGTCCCTTGGCCTCGTGGCTGCGCAATTTCAAGCGTTCTCAAAGCCTTTGGCATAGTTCTCTCAAAGCCAACTCCAATTGCAACCCGAGCTGGCGTCAAAAAAATTACCTTTTCTGACCGCAGGCATTTGCGCATCACGAGCTGCTGCTCTTCATGGATGTGGTTCACTGGTCAACATAACCGGAGTACTAACAGAACCGGTGCATCTACATTGCAGCGAATGCCAATACTGAGATCGACCAAATTGATATCTCGTGCTACAATCAATCAGAATCGACCACCACATAGAACCGTGCGTGACAGACTCTCGTGCCGCCCTGATCAGCGCGAGGCATAGAACAACAATCCAAAGAAAGAAACCCCACCAAAAGACCAACCGAAACGAACCTCCCTCAATCAGGCTGACAAGCACCAACCCTCCGCCAGGACAATGCACAAACAATCACTTCTCACTTCCTACACACTCTTCATTGCAGACCAGCGCAAATCTCATAATGCACATCATTCTCCCAGGTAAGATTACCACCCTGCTAGCGCTCAGTGCCCTATCCCACGTTGTCAACTGCGCACCCGCACTGCCAGTTCCCGAAGTCCAGACCACAACGGCACTCCAAGCAGGAGTGACAGGGCGCTCGATCATCCAGTCCTGCGCAGAGCTCGATTCGACGAATAATTGCGCTCCGAGCACAGACACGCACAGTAAGGACACGGTCGTTGTCGCTGCTCGAAGCGCTATGTAGGATGTCGCGGTGGAGAAGGCGCGAGCGGGGGAGAAAGTCGGCGGTGGTCACGGAGAGGGTGGAGGACATGGAAGAGTGAGGGGTACAGCAGCGAGCGTGGAGGGCGGGGTTGAAATTATTACGATTGCACTGAGCAGCAGAACTGAAGCGCCCTCGCTCGCTACGTCTGCGCAGAAGCCGATTCTGGAGAGGCTTGTGTGCCGGTCACAGGACGTGGCGAGACTAGCGTGGACAATTCCGCCTTGGACTTGGAGGAGAAGAAAGGCGGAGGCCAGGGGTGGGTACACACGGAGGAGGGAAGGGTGTGGCTGCGAGCGTGAAGGTCAAGGTTGGAATCATGGACGTTGCGGCGGCTACGACGACCGTTGCGTTGCTCTTGCTTTGACAGCGGATGTGCGGCTGGTGTGCGCCGCCGCTTGTTCGACTTCTGTGTTGAGTGCGTCAGTCTGTGGCTTTGCCCAGAAGTGATAGAGTAATGTGTATGAAGTCTGGCTCAGACTTGCCTTTTACTACATTCGTAGTGCCACCGACACCAAGAACCCGTGTGTGACATGCCACCGAAGTGAGCATGCCTGAGGAAGGAGCTGGTATCTTGCGCGTTTGGAAGCTCACTAATCATCGCCGACAAGCGAGGAAACTGAAAGAATCGACTTACTCGTATCATGTCAGAACATGCGTGCCCTTCGTCTTCCCAGTCTCCATCTTCGCCGTCCGGGCACCGAACTGAATCGCCCGCTTTTTCTCGACCGCCACTCGCTTCATCCCCAGCTCCCACGCCAGACACCGCAAAATGCGCTTCGCGGGCTCGACCGTGACGTCCCCGTCAGGCCCGTCAGCTTCAGGCCTGTACTCTTGACATCCAAAGTCGCACTTCTCCGCGACCGATAGCCGGAGCGCCATGGCGATGAACTCTTCATCGAGGAAAGGGAATCGGACTTCGCGCCCGCTGTTGCTGATCACGCGGTCGTCGCGGCCTAAGTTTCGTTTGCCGAGGCGCTCGAAATCGAGCTGTAGCTCATCTAGTAGCCCTGGATAGCCCTGACGCGAGAAAGCGGTCGCGTGGCGCTGGTACCCGCCGAAGAGTTCGTCAGCACCGAGTCCGGAGAGGAGGACACGTGCGGGTGTTGTGTATGGGTGTGATACACTTCCAGAGGAGGGAGAGGATGCAATGCCAACGCCGCGCGAGGCGAAGTACAGGGCGTAGGAGATGGAGAGGTCCATTTCGGTGTTGTGTGGGTGCATGAGGGTCATCACTGCTGTGCGATGAGCGACGGTTTCTGTGTAGGGCACGTTGACCGCGATGAAGCGCCACTGCCGATTTGGGCACACCCGTTGCAGCTCAGCGTGCGAGGCGTGACCTGTGATGCGGTCTGGGCAGAGCTCGTAGGGGCTTGTGCCGGGTTCCAAATTGCTGTGGATCCGGGGATTCTCGAAGGCAACGTTGAGTAGGTCGATGCCTTCGTCAAGAGGGAGGAGGTCGTGACACAGCCTTGCGAGGATCGTGCAGTCGATGCCTCCGGAGAATAGGATGGCAATCTTAGCGGCGTGATCTGACCTTTCATGTGCTGATGCTGGCGATGGTTCGAAAGCTTCCCGGACATGCTGTGTGCGAAGTGCCAGGGATCGTCGCAGTGACTGTCCCAAGTCCGACACCTTCTGATGGTTTGGCTCGAGGCCAGCGAGGCCCTCGCGGTTCATGGGTGGGAAGGGTAGTTTCTGGCGACGTTAGCAGGCGTCTAAAAGTGCCGCACTTACCTACAAGTGAGAGGGTAGAGCTCGATGCTTCGCCTAAGCGAGTGTGAGGAACACGCGTTGTGCTGAACAGGCTCGCGGCATCTTTGAGATTGATGATGTAGATGCCATCTGCCTCTACTTCGGCCCATCCGTCACCGGAAGAGTTGTCGCACACACTGGACAAGGCGAGTGAACCGTCTGCTGCGGTCTTCCTCAACAGCGAACGTCGCCCAAGGCAATCTCTGCCGTAATAGACGTACCCGTCTGCACGGTCGTAGAAGACAAAGGCATACGGCCCTCGTATTTGAGACAGCAGCTCTATGACTGCAGTCCTTCTGTCAAGGGATGATGCAGCCTTCAGCAAAAGCTCAAAGACAACTTCCGAGTCGTTGCCTGTGACAATATGTCCATTGATAGACCACGCCTCGCCGTTCCAGCAAAGCACGTGTCCATGGTTCTGGGCCTCGACAGCTGACAGTCCATTGTGCTCATCAACCAGCGGCTGTGAAGTCACCTCAGTGCCCCGTAGTGACAGCACTGTTGAACAGAAAGTGGCGTGCAGCCGGTGGCCGTCATTTGGCTGATCGAAGACTTCTTGATGCCAGCCTATATCGTCTGGCCCTCGATTGCGCAGGAGAGTTGCGGTCTTATCATCCGGAACTACATGATGATGGCGACTGAGGGAGAAGAAGATGCCGCACATGGATGACGTTGGCCGAGCTGGAGATGTGTCGTTGGTGTTGTGGCGCAGGTGTTTCAGCCTGGCTCGTGCGACGACCCTGGACGACGCGGCATCTCGGCTGGTGGATGCCGATAGCCATGCGGACATGTCTCAGCGCGGGTGCAGCACAACGACACGCAGTAACGCTCTGAACGCAACGCATACGAATCTCCCTAAAGCTATCTGAAGCTCCCGCCGACCTATAAGAATCTGGTAGTCGCACTACAACCCCTCTTCCAACTCGCATCGCCGAACGCGGCCTATGTCTCTCCCGGACGCAGCTGCCCAACCCGCCGCAACCCAGGACAAGTCACATGAGGAGCCGCTGGAAGACGCCCTCGAGGGACACGAGAGGGGCGTGAAGGCATCCGCCGGAGCTGGAGTAAAGGAAGTTGGGCAGCCTGGGAAGACGACAACCCAGCAAGATGACGACAGTGACAAGGCGGGGCAGCCTGCAGAGCACCAGGGGGAGAAGTTGGTAGACGATGCTGGAAAGACGGAGGAGGAGAATCCGGCAAAGAATGCGGAGGATGAAGTGCAGCTTGCAGAGAACGCCACCGCTAGCCCCAGGACCGAAGAGCCAACGTCTGCGGAGCTCATCGAGCAGCTCACGGCCAAAACACAAGAAATTGCACTCGAGTCGACATCATCGCGGACGCCTACGCCCCCACCGATAGAGACAGCAGCTGGCAAAGCCCCCGTTTGCTCGCCGCCACCGCCGCCTCCACCACCCAAAGACGACAAGTACTTAGCCACAAGCAATGGCCCCAGTCGATCGACGTCACCCTTGTCGCAGCAAGAGAAAAGTGGGCGGAGCTCAGAAGACGCTGCGGCCGCAGACTACACATCGAAGCTGGATGGCAGTGAGGACGTTGCCAACGACGACCAGTCCGAGATTCAGAGTATCATGGAGCAGTTCGAGCAGGGTGGACCAAACGCAGAGGAGATCATGTCGCCCCGTATGGAGCGCGCGAATCCGCTGCTCGAGTCGCCCGCCTTCCCTCCCCGCCACTCGAGTCTCGTGCCCGTCGATAAGCCGCTGCCTACACCAACCGCCGACGATGCAGCTTCGATACACTCTCTCCAGTCTCCTCCGCCGAGGACATCATCGTTGTACCGAGTCGGCACGAACACCTCCTTCGTCGAACCCACCTCACCCAGCGCACATGCTCCCCAGTACAAGCCCGCACAGCCACTCCCTGAGCCCGAACAAGATCTGCCTTTCGACTTCCATCGTTTTCTCGAGCAGCTGCGCCACAGAACCGCTGACCCCGTCGCCAAGTTCCTGCGATCGTTCCTGCTCGAGTTCGGCAAGAAGCAATGGATGGTGCACGAGCAAGTAAAGATCATCGGCGACTTCCTCGAATTCATCAGCAAGAAGATGGCACAGTGCGAAGTCTGGCGGACTGTATCTGATGCAGAGTTCGACAACGCCCGGGAAGGCATGGAGAAGCTGGTCATGAACAGACTTTACAACCACACATTCTCACCTGCCATCCCACCACCAGAGCCAGCGTCACCACGCAAAGGGCGGCGGCGCCAAGATCCCCTTGGACCTGGACGACGAGGTCAGCACCAAGAGGATGTCGAGCGTGATGAGGTTCTTGCCCAGAAAGTTCGCATCTACAAATGGGTGCGCGAGGAGCATCTGGACATCAAAGATGTCGGCGACAAGGGGCGCAAGTTCCTCTCCCTTGCACAGCAGGAGCTTTTGAAAATTAAGTCGTATCGCGCGCCCCGCGACAAGATCATTTGCATTCTCAATTGCTGCAAGGTCATCTTTGGATTTCTGCGCACCTCAAAGTCTGATCAGTCCGCCGACGCCTTTGTCCCTTTGCTCATCTACACTGTCTTGCAAGCGAATCCAGACCACCTCGTCAGCAATGTGCAGTACATCCTTCGATTCCGAAACCAAGACAAACTCGGCGGCGAAGCAGGATACTACATCTCATCGCTCATGGGTGCCGTGCAGTTTATCGAAGGTTTAGACAAAACCTCCCTCACAGTGACGGACGAAGAGTTCGACAAGAACGTCGAGGCTGCCGTCAGTGCCATCGCCGAAAAACACGCTCCGTCTCCTACCGCAGAGATACATCCCGAATCTGCAGCAGGGCCTGCACACCTGCACCCCTCAACCCTGGGCCACAGGCGCATGCCATCTCCACACTACCACCACATCCCCGAGAAGTCCTCGCCCTCGCGACCAGAAGTGATAACGCGAAACTCAATGGAAGCACAGACTGCCGGCCCGCGACGCTCGACCTCTCTCAAGCACCGCTCACACAAAGAAGCCGACGAGCCGCCCGAGGAAGAAAACGCCGCGGTGGCAGGTCTCCTACGCACGATCCAACGCCCACTGAGCACCATCGGCCGCATCTTCGGTGACACAGACACCCACGCCTCATCATCACAGCAGCTGCCTCGCAGCAACTCGACACCTCTGAGTCCAAACGTACATCACCAACAACAGCCCGGGCACGAGCGGTTCCCTGGCGCTACCGCACCGACTCAACCCAGCGAGAAACCTTCGCTACCAGCTCGACTACCGTCTGAAGAGCGCCGGCATATGGAGAGGCTGAGCGCTGAAGACGCTGCGGCGCGACAAGCAAGCGCGGAGGTCGAGCAGGCGAGACGCATTCAGATCCAAGAGCACGAGGTCGTGGTCGAGACACTGACGGGTATGTTCCCACAGCTGGACCGGGATGTCATCGAGGACGTGGTGCGGGAGAAAGAGGGTCGGTAAGTTTCTTCACACGCACTGTAGCAAGCCTACAACTTATGCTAATACATTGAAGGGTCGGACTGGCTGTCGACGCGTGCTTGGTACTTGCGAACCCATAAGCTAGAGGATCACAAAGATCGAGACAGATGAGCATAGCATTTTCGAGCGACTAAGCCTATAACAAATCACCACACCAACGCTTCACTGCCTCATAGTCCACTAGGAGACATTTTGTGGAGACGTCGTCAGCATGTCTTTCACAGCCCCGTGTCCTTTCACTGACTTCAGCACACACGCGCGAGCTCCTCGCTCATATTTAGGTCTCCTCCAGTTCATCTCAGTATCACCAGCAGTATCAACTGACTTGACACTTCTACAGCATCTTTTACACAGTATCGACACCCACCTCAACATCAAACATGTCACGCTTCAACCGTCACGACCCTTGGGCAGAGCCCACTCAAAACTCAAATGCAACCCGCCGCCGTGTCTTCCATGATGAGGACACGTCAAACATGCAGATGTCACGTCGGCCCCAGCACTCCTCACGCCCCCCTCAGTCGACAACGTCCGGTGCCCTGACCCGTCGTCCCACCGAACGCGTAGAGTCCTGGCGCAATGAACAGCGCGATGACGGTCTCAGCGGCGCTATGAGCCGCATGCGTGTGTCTGAGCAGCGTTCAACTCCCGCGCGCCCGGCCCGTCAGCGCTCGCCTTCCGCGCCCCCTCCGCCACCACGTCGTCGAGAGCGCGAGACTCCTCGAAGCCCTGCGCAGCGCCGACGCGCACGCCCCGCCTCCCCCTCACCACCGCCTACGCGCCGTCGTCCCTCGCTGCCTCCTACCCGCTCGCGTCGCGCACCCAGCCCGGACTGGAACGAGGAGGAGCCAGCACGCACCCGTGCGCCTCGCCGCGCAGCCCAACCGCCGTCCCTCCCGCCCTTTGCCAACCCGTTCGACGAATTCGCCGTGCCGCGGCGCACACGCAACCCGCTCTCCTTCGACGACGTCCCGGCGCGCTCTACACGGGGCCCGTGGCGCACCCAGCCATCCTCGTCCTCATATAGCATCACTACGACATTGTATTCCAGCACCAGCGGCGGCGTCTCGCGCACCTCATCCCCAGCCACAATGGGCCGGATACGCGATGCGTTCTGGGCGACGCGGCACGGGGCGGGCGCGCAGCACGACCCTGGGTGTCCGTACTGCTTCACGACGCAGGGCGAGGCGTTGCGGGCCGCGGCGGAGTGGTGTGCGAAGGGTGATGAGTGCTGGGTCGAGTGGGATGCGCATCGGAATGGGATGTGGGGGCTGATGGTTCCTGTGGACGACGAGTGTGCGGGGGGGTGTGGGGACACTGGGTTCGTGTGGTATTAGGGACGGTTGGGTGGGTGGGTGAGATGAGGG